AAGTATTTATTGCTAAAAGAGTTATGGGAAATTACAAATTGAAAATACCCGAATGTCTGAAATTTTTTACTTTAAAACGCTTCTGTTACATGTTCATTACTTATTTTCATCATCCTGAAAACGTGAATAACCTCAAAATTGTATACAAATTTTCGATTTTGTTTTCTATAAAAACAACGGGGATGTTTTTCTTATCCTCTGTAGTAGCATGAATGTTATTCTCAACACCAAACCACCTTGGCAACAATTGTTTATGACAATTGCGAGATCGTCCATACCCTTTCAGTGTTTAAATCAACAAATATAGTATCAAACAATACGAATACCATTCGTGACTGTTACAACTAATAAATAGCGAGAGATATCGTTAATATTTTTATAGAACGAAATAGTATTTTGCTCCAAACGAAAACGTGAAGTACATTATAATGGTACCCAAAGTATTTCCACAACAATCCACATCAGGCATTACTAGTAAATGAAATCTGAACAGTGTTGGTTGCCAATTTCTCTCTAAGGTTATATTTGATACCAAAACTGTTTTATATATAAATTGTTTAAACTCAATTAAACGGGTCCATTAATACCATCCAAAAATAAATCGAGAAAAACTCACTCGATGCACATCCATGAGAACTACACTTCAAGACGTAAGAAATTTGTATGAATAAACAATCTACTTGCTATACTATGTTGTGTATATACCTTTAAAAATAAATTATTTTAATATTAGAATTCCATTAAATTGTGATCTACGTATCCGGATACATCCTATTTAGTCGTTATAATAAACAAATTGGAATCTCAAACTGGAAGAAAAATTAAGCTTTATTTCAAATAACATGAAAAATACGATAGGGAAAGTTTTCGTTAAAATCAAAATATACCTGATTCAAGCCTATGTTTCAAACTAATTCTATTAATTCTTGAGACATGGCATCGATTAAAATAAAACTCAACCTATATAAGGTGTATGTAGCTTACAGATTTAAACGCATCTTATCAACTAAATACCATTATCTTGTGATGCAGACACAGATTGGCATTATCACACGTGAAATAACTAATCGCGGGCCTTGAATCATCCCATATGCAAATATGACTGTCTAATCTGATACTTCCACCATCATCACGAATTTCAAATAGCATGGCAGCATATTGTCGCCTGGTCGTCTACGAATCCTAGGCGCAGCCATAGTTCTTGTTACACACAGCAAATAACGCAATTTTTTACGATATCTGCGCTGTTAGCAAACCTTGCCGAAGTTACTGTAATCTATGAGTAATTTAAGTTTGGGTTTTCTTTATGAAATACTCTAGCAGATACACTATAGCCTATTATGGGTAGTTCTTGAAGACACGAAACCTGATCTGGTAAATCATGTTTAACGCCAGGTTTGGTAGAAACCATAGACTTGAGGAAAAGACACAGTAACAGGTAAATTTACATACTTTTTACAACTTATCAATACCTGCCTACCCACCTTGCTACCTGCGTCCGTTCAAAGAATTTGATTGACAATAGAGTTACAGCTTAGAGTGTACACAGTGGGAATTACTTTTGACTCGAGCTTGCAACATGATGTAACACTCCTGTTTTAAATTTTGTTTCATTTATTTCATTGACTGGGTGCGCATTCTGATAATTGCCATTGCATATACTCAGATTGGGTGAGGAATTGAACTATATATTAATCATATCGTTTTGAGGACAACAAATTTGCGTCAAAAAATTCCCTAGTTTGCAAATCTTGATCGGACGCAAAGCATTCAACTAATGGGGATTTGTACAGATTGTAGGAACGGTTGCATCTTCGCATGGTTTTAATTTAATATCTCAGAACTGTAAATAATAAAATCAGAAATTAAAATTTATCAAAGATGATATTACAATATGTTAGTCAACATGACGTAATTTAATCAATGTTATGTAAGAACCGGATTTTTCATGGAAATGAATCTGCCTGCCTGCTCATTCTTCAGACGTTCATTTTTGCCGTGTATTCTCTTAAACTCTTCATTTTTTTTTTCAAACATGGACAGCACAATTGAAACCAAAATTCCAATTAATCTATCTGGTCATTTTGAACTACCTGAAATTTTGAAAGATGTATAATCTTCCATAACTGATCATTACTTACAGATTAGACTTTGTTCCACCCATGCTTGGCTACTAAGAAAGACCTATTTGCGATGATATAACACATGGGAGTAGCATATTCATAATTCTTTTCAGATCATTTCTATCTGACTAAATACTTAGCAACAATCATTCGAGCCAAGCTCGAGGTTTAGCAACCCGTCACCACGTTAACGTCACTAAATCAGGTCACTTAAAGGCTTTTGTGGCGGATAACAATTATTTGCTTAATTGATAATAATATCGATGTTTGTATTGTCAGAAAGATTTAGATGGATTTCAAATATCAGTTTGGCGATTAACCAACGATCTATGTTTCCTTGTTGTTGCAACCAATTGGTAACCATGCTCCACAATCTGTCTAGAATTATAACCTTAAAATGAGCTCTTTGTTAAGAAAAAATCGAAACATATAAAACATATACGTCCACCTGTCTCTTCCAAAGATTAGACCTATCAGAAAAATATCACCACACCGGATGAATCCAATCATTTTCATGAGTGCCACGTAAGACAAATATTGACTTGACCGCGCCCTCTATCGATACGTAATTTGCGTGATGCTAAATTACCTCGCACGCACGAATTGAAATTTGACGTTCGTCTATTTTCGTATATGAAATTGTCATTTGTACACCTGTTATTCAGAAAATAATAATTTTATATGCTGATGTGAAAACTAGTAGAAATATACTTATATAACGAACACGCAAATAAAATCCAAAACGTTTTGGCAGTTTAGGTATTTTTTGTATGCAATTTGCACATATTGCCTCTTTTAAGCTATAATTCAATTAAAATGAGATGAAATAAAATATACACGAATGCATTAGTATGATTTTTTTTTTGTGCAAGAGTTGCTAAAATACATATATATAGGATACTAATTTTTAATTTTAAAATAACGTAGATAAACTCCAAAATCGCGAGTTACGATTTTATATATATATATACATATTAATTAATATTATACAGGATGACCCCAAAAAACAAAACTCAGGTAATTTGGAACATAACTATTGTGCAATACGCCCAAGATTACTGAAAATTTTGAGTACAATCATGCACCAACAAAAGTTCAATTGTTAAATAATTCGATATTTCATTTTCGTAGAAAAAATTTTGAAATTAATGTGTTTTATCTATTGGGTCACCTTGTAAAATAGTCAAACGTAAAAATGCTTACTCTCATAAAAAATTCTATATCAATGATGTATTAGAGGCAATTAGCAATGTCATGTAGTGAATTCATTATCTAAATATGACGACAACTCAACACGAAAGAAGTATACGAAAAAAACTTACTCATTTCATCGGATGTTTTTTCAAATCAACTGTATTTTTATTAATGCAAATTTAATGTAGGCGTTAGCTGTTTGAGTGCTAATTATCAGGGCGTTTGCCGGAATCAATGTCGTAAGGAATAGATAACTTGCTTCATGAAATTCGTTTTCAGGCACGTTTTAGAATTTGACTTCTCTTACATCGGGTTTTAAATTGTCGTTCAAAACATTTTGTTTAAGTTGATGATCTTACGGCTATGTAAATAGATATGTTGTGTAGATAAATTCAAGTGCAAAACAAATATATGATAGAAAATGTAAAAAATAGCGACTGAATTTTTTTTGTGAAGAGCAAAAAGAGTATTTTAGGGGCATTTTTAACAATTGTAATGAGCATTATTAAGGATCTTTCAGCGGGTCAAATGGCAGATAATAAAGATTCTGGCACCTGCCGAACAAAGCCTATAAATGCACGTAACTAATACTCATACCTAAACTCACTTCCTCAGTATTACAATCTTTACATTGAGAATTCTATCCGTAAATCAAAATTTAATACGGGCGTTACGTACTTGATTTTGATATTTACAATTCGCATCGTAATTAACTGGGCGTTTGCCTAAATCGTAACTTTATCGCTGGTAGCAAACATATTGCCTCCGAATATTAAGTTTGATATTTGTATACCGTTACATCAATAGGACATTGCACTTCTGAAATTTACTTTGTTGTATACTTAAGTCTCACTCGATGCGGGGTTACTAATATGGTGTGTAGATGAACGAGGCGGCGTAATCGTTACCCATCTGCGGCGGACTGTCGCACTATGGACTACGTGTCACATAAGTTATTTAACATGGGAAAGTATGTTTTGCAGTATCCTTGTTTACAGACTTATATATTATAATGATTTAGAAGGGACTGTTAATTAAATCTGCTCTAAATATATATTGGTTCTGAAATGAGATAATAAAAATTATGGGTGGCACTTTGGTATGCAACCCTAGAGTCATAAAACTTCTTTGTTACTTGAACTAAGTCGCATAAAGTTGCACCAAATTCATACTCCCCATAAATAATAAGACATCATTTGTTTGACGTTTGCAAATCTTATGTTATTCTCTGCATTCAAATATTCTGTGGAGCCTTCATTCACATTAACACACAATACTGGTTTTAATTAAACATACAATAGTGCATTTATAACTTTTAAAAAGAATTGATAATCGCAAAAACTAGTTTCTAATGATTCCTAATTTCTTATGAACAAAATTAAATATAGCTTTGCATTTGTTAGCTCCGAGCAATACGTTGACGGGATTTTCACACTTTATACAAAGTAAATCTATCACTTGTGAACATATGAGTAGTTTGAATAACATCTCTATTGTTTAGTTTCGCATATATATTCCAAACACAATTCCATAATATCACAAGTAAAATAGTGATTCTTGACTGTAGTTTAATTTTACAACCGATCTAATACATGACCTGAAATGAGCCTATATTAAGATCAAAATGCTGAGCCATTTTTCGCCTCTCTTTAGCAGTGAATTTCACAGAAGACGTATAATTGATTCTCACAAAAACAACACAAAATTTTATTCGAGTTATTGTAATAACAGCAATATAGCAAATATTTTAAAATGGAAATAGCAGTACAAATCTACATAACACATCAAGATTGATTAAACGAATAATATATTAATACAAAATTAGAAGCCAAGTTGATTTGGAGTAACAATGTTTTAACTCTCGCATGCAAGAAGAATACGATAAATGAACAAGAATTCCTTCCCAATTTTTTATAAACTATACGATTAAAAATTATCCATGTTCAATTTGACACATTGTATTGTTTTTCAAATTGAGATTCTGCGAATTTTACATATATTTATAGTCCTTCGGCAAGTATCTTATAGAAATTATTACACAAATACACTGCACCATAAACAGTAAGCATGTTACTTTATTCGTCACTATATGTGCATCTGCATAAATGAGAAAAGATGTCTAATAAGTTAATGATTCTTACCCAGAACACCATAATAAAGTTTTTTGAGAGAAAATTTTTTTTGCATGTATGTCGAAGTAATGTTGAAGTTCTGTGATTACCCACTCGCAAGTTAAATACGCCTATTTTTTTTAACGCTGTTTATTGTAAGTACGTGGTAGATCAAAACAGCTTTGAAATATATCTTTTGGAATACAACAGGAAAACTTTTCATCTGGTTCTTGCTTCATACCACAATAGAAGGCTGGTCTTCTGAACAAAAAATAACTCGTAAATTTGAAGCTAATCTATCACAACGTTGTAAATAAATTAAAATGGGAAGACATTTACCATTAGAACCAACTATGGTTTCATCTGAGTCTCGATCTTCAATTTCAGAACCTTTTTCCGAGCTTTCACCATCGTGTCGATCGTTCATGACGTCAAATACTTCTCTTAATAAATTTGAAGTTTCGTTTATCACATCTTTTTCATCAGTGTCGTCAGATGGCAGCAAAGGCAACTCTCGACTGACAAGTGGACTCGTGTCTGATGATCCGGATGAGAATGTGTCGGAGTTATCGTCACTCATAAAATATACTGGTCGTTGCAGTGCAGGGTCATCAGGATGAAACGAATTGGGTGTCGTCATGTTGTTACGAGGAACACCTGAATTCTGATAAATATTTGAATATAAAATGTTTTAAAATAAAAAAAAAAAACAGCATAGGCCTAATTCTTCTTCGCTTATTATTGCTCAATTAGCTATATGGAATTCAGGGAACAAAATTGCGAGAAATTGACTTTAATAACATGCTATGGCTATTAAATAAAGGCTGTATAATTGAAAGACCAATGTAACTCAAAAGCATATACTAATCAATAATCACAACCACTTATCATTGCGGATTAAGACTATTAAGGTTGACGATGTGCATAAATAAAATATATATATTTGTGGAGATTTTGAAGTATGTTAATTCTGTTTCCAAATATCCAGCTTCCTTACCTCGTTCAAAGAGTTCCGTTTACTACGTGGAAGATAACTGTAACTTAATGGTCTTCCCTCGCTTACTGAAAAGAAATATCAATATCTCATGACTTATGAGATTTCGAGTGAATATATAACATAAACTATTTCATTTATGATTTTTTTATAGGAATCAATTTTACCACCAGAACTAGATAGACAGTAAAGCGGTCTAATCGATAAGGAGCTCGATTTTCTTCAAGAACTAAATTGATAGACAGGTATATTGGGATAGCCGGTGTATGCATTGTCGTAGACAATGGGTGCAACCTTTTTTGTCGGTGTGCAATATAGCCAACTTCGAACATTTAGCCGGGCCACACAAAAAAGATTTATTTTTCTATGTACACAACGAACTGAAAAGTTAGCGACAACCAGAGCGCCGCGGGGAAGGCAAGAGGCGAGAATGCGGCTATCCCTTAGCTTTCTTGAAATAAAGGCTCCGGGCAAAACGGCGAGAGATTTAGTGAATTGATAAGATCAAAAATCATTATGTATTTTTTACCCATGTGAGCACTTTTTCAAACATAAACTGTCGGAAGGCTGCCTGTTGCACATCCCTGAGTTCCCGATGACGACGGAAAATTCATAAAAATAGTTCATATGATATTCACAAAAGAATTACTCTACTATTCCAGTCAAAAGCCTGTTCCATCAAAGTTATCCTAGCGATGATATGCAATAAAACATTCAAGACTATTTATTCTCAGTTCTAATTATACGCACCGGTAGGAGGGTATAATTTTCCTGCAACTATTGATCCATTAGAACTGGCAGGTGAAGATTGCGCATGGTAAGAAAACGGACGAATCTCACATGACGCAGATTTTTCTGTAACAGTAAACAAAGAAAACAGACGAATAATAGTACTATTCCGTATATGCAGTGGTGGAATTCAAATTTTTTGTTAGCCGGTTTCTTCACAAAAGTCATATTTTTTAGCCGGTTCTGTTGCAAACAGAACATTGACAGTAACCCAGTAATGCTAACTGGTTTGCTGATCTCATAAAATTTCGTAAAACGGTTCTATAAAACCGATGCGAACCGGCTGAATCCCACAACTGCGTATAATAAAGTTCATAAAATTTCCACCATTTATTCGCAAGGGAAAATTGTTCAAAGTAGGTATTGATAAATTGTTCTCACGAAAGTTTGCTGGTAATCCGAATCCGGATGTTTCAGCTACACTCCCAGCTGCATGGAGGTCTTCCGGTATATTTTGAGAATTAGGTACTTTCACTATTTCATTTCGTATCTCAATATCTGGATATGCCTATAAATTGTAATTTTTAAAAATGGTTGATTGTGAAAAGTATTATACCATTATTACACATCGATAGAAAGAAACTCATTGTAAAATATGACGCCAGTGATAAAACTACAATACATTTTGCCTCCAATGAAGCAGTCTATTTTTCAAAATAGTTTTTTCAATTCACGTTGAGTTGTTTAATTGTATACACAAGTTTACCTGAAAAGTAGAGAAAACTTGTTTCCTGTTTATTCCCCCTGCTGCTGCTACTCCTCCCCTGGAAAGCTCTCTGATTTGTGTTGGCCTTGGTGACTCCAGTCCGCCTGAATGCAGAAATCAAAACGTTAAATTTTGAAATTACCAATCACACATTTATTTTATTAACAATAATGTCATAACCAACCCCAAGACAAGCCAAATTAAAACCGAATACCTCTAAAATCCGTTTCTGTCATGTAATTTTGCAATTCTTTTATGACACTTCTTTCTGCTGAGTTAGCTTTAGGAAGAGATATTGGAGGCGTTTCTTCTATTCTTGGAGGTTGTTCAGTAGTTGATTTCGAATATTTACTGACAGTTGCTGGAGAATGCGCGGTCATTGCTAAATGACTGCTCATCTAGGAGGAAACACAGTTAACAGTAATGATAAAGGTGGCTACAATATAAATAATATTATTAATGAAATGTGTTGCACTCTCTCTACAGATCTATTTTATCAATAGGTATTAAGAAATATAGTTCGTGATAGCTTTTACGACAAGATACCTGAGATACTGGACGAATATTATCATTGTCGTCATCTCGGTTGCTAACGGTAACTAAATTGTTTTCGTCTTCTTCGTTCGCCACATCATATTTTCTCAGAGAGAATTTTGCTAGTAATATGAAAAAATCAAAGTGAAAAAATATGAAACGTTGGAAATAGTGTAACGTCAACATGAAAAAATGGTGTCCACTATGATCTAGTGATAACGCTTTGGACTGATATAGGTTGCGATGCCATTTAAGCTTGTACCTTACGAAGTCTCTACCCTACGAAGACATTGGCCTGATTTACAATCCTTTGTCAGTCCTAAAGATGGCAACACTCGTCAAAACGTCTACATTGATAAAATTATTTTCAAGTTCATACTCTGCAAAAACTTTGCTTGTTACTTATCGATTTTAATAGGTAAGTATGTTGATAGGTATTTGTCTGTTTGTATGTCTGTTTGTCTTTTAGATGCACGCGATATCACACGAAAGCGAGAGATTGAATCTGCTCCAGATTTTGCATGTGCATTCATCTTATCTCGGACCAGAAGCCTATTGATTTTGGGCGAATTATGTCGTATAATTAGCGAGTTATTAATTAATTAGTGCTGGTACACAAGGTGTCACTATGGAGTAAGAGCGCTGTTTTGGGGGATCCCCTAACTTTCGATCGATAAGTCTTCGGTCTCTGACCAATATTCTCGTTTTACAGTTAATTAATAATTCTCACGAGGAAACACCTGAGGGAATTCGGATCAATACAACATAATAGATTAATATTTCTTTGAATTATTCAATCGATATTTTTAATCTAACGTTTTGTTCAAAATTGTAATGAAGTTGGCGCATCAATAATATCGGAAATAGAATCATACGCATTTGTACTATTTAAAACTACCGAATCTCAAGAGCAGTGGCCACTGTCCGCTCCTCGGAACCTTTCTACGGGGTCGTCCCAGTATTTTCAAATACTTTTTCTTAATTGGCCCCATCGATGATTTTGACGTTGTGTTACGCGACTACGCCACACTGGGATGTAAATACGCCTGGCAAGGATTCAATAAAGTATATTCCTTTATTCATGTCGCGATGTGATGAAACAGGTTAAAATGTCTACCAGTAGAAAGCAAGGTTGATTGTGAATGGTGGAAATTCGACACTGAGTGGTGTCTGAAATACTTCATAATTTAAAACAATCAAGATGTGGTAATTTGTCAAATCAGGCGACAATTTGTAAAAAAGTTGAAAGTTATCATCGAAATATGACTCTGGAAAAGAAATATTTATAGTGAAACAGGAGCTCGCCAAACGGACGGTCCCTGAGAAAACATTGAGGGAGAACAAAATTGCTTGCAATCCTTGATCCCAAACGAGCCTACCGTAGAAACGATTTGCATGTTTTTACAGGAGGTATGTATATGGGCATTGCACAACTCTGTGAAGTAAATGAAGAAAACACGACGAATAATACTACTATTCCGTATATCCAGTTCGTGATCATGTAGGACTAAGCAAGACATTTTTCAGCAAACAGCTTACTCGCAAGCTTAACTTCGAGTTGCTAAAAACTAACAAGGTGTTTGATGGTTGCACGCCTCTACCCTAGTGATTAAAACCTAACACCGAGAAAAATGTCTAGAATATCCACTTACGAGTCGCAGGATCCTCAAATACGTTGTTTGGTTCTTCTATAACTTTGTTCTCTTTCTTTTTGCAACAAGTTATATTACATATGCATTCCGACGCAGACTTGAGTGAAAATATCTAATGTATGAAAAGAAGTTGATTAAAGTAATCAGGCTAATTAGCGATCCTGCTCTGTTCTTACACTATTGTTCCAATTCACAATTTCTATCCTGTACGTAGAAAATCCAATATTACATAGGTTGAAGGCATAATATTAATTAGTTCATTATTATGTCAAGCATTGAAAAATTCTAACTCTAGACTTGCGCACCAACCACCCAGTGATCTATTTTAATTTTTAAACTAGATTTACACGTACTGGTGTTGCGAGTTATTTGCATGCATAAAATTCAGACCCACAGTTACCGTATGAAAATCTTTCGCATCAGCTTAACTTTCGTATTTTGTTTGCATTTACACTTCAGCAATAAATAAAATGAGCATCGTCCATCAGTGTGATTGCGCGTAAATGAAGTGATAGTAAAAGGTATATTCGATGTAATCATATGAATGACAAAAACGAAATCTTATCTATAAAACGATAACACATATATTTGTTGAATTCGGAAACAAAAACTATTTATGCAACCACGATTTATTTGCAATTTTAACTTTAATAATACCCAATCATATAGATACCTCGTGGGATACTAGATACGCAACTATGGTTCCCAAAGTCCACGCAGCCATGACAGACGTCACATGACTTCTGTTTTCTGCAATTTCAACGAGTCCTAGTGTGTACGCGACAGCAACGGCGACCCAAGTAACAATGCTCGTTGTTACAGGACCGGCTTTAGCTGCAATCAGTCGGAAGTAAAGCTGAAAACATCACAATTAACGAATGAATACAGCACATAAACAATTTGCCAGTCACAACAAATAATGCTTCATGAATATTAAAATAACAAAACAAACAAAATATTGACAACGAGAGATGAAACTCAGAGAGTGTTCTTGAATATGGATTAAATATATTTTGTAATTAAAGTAGTGAGTTGGGTACTTCTCAAATTACATTCACTGCCGCGATTGCATGAATCAGTCGCAAAACTATTTCAAATAATCCAAAACGACTGTTACAGTCCAAATTATAGCATTGGTATATAAAAAGTAAATGCAAAGTATTTGAACTTACGAATGTAAACACTGCAGCATAAGTAGTCAAGCACACAAAATATGATGGCAACTGGAGTCTTGCGTCTGCGACTTCGTTTGGATGCTCCAAAGGCAAACAATCATCACTGTAGTATCTGAATATAAATATATACGTCGGGTAAATTGAGGGAGGCTACATACAAAAAAAGTTTTAAGCGTTCCAAACATTTTTCACGACGAGATTCTAAGTAGGCCTATCTTCTACCTTGGCGTATGAGACTACTACATTTTTAAAAGACCGTAATTTTAGAGGGGGTTGACTTAAAAAAAATTCATGTATTTGACTGACCACCTGCGATGTTTGGAATTTATCTAGTCGTCTATAACTCTATAGCATAGGTTTTCAAAATGATGTATACAAATCTCCAGGGCTCTGTGAGAGAAACCTAGAGGTTCCGCGAGCTGTTCGTTTACTTATTTTAAATACTGACTTGGCTAATTTTGTAACTGCCCAACGAAGCAATAACGGCATAAATAAAATTTGACAACGGTAACGTCGAAATGTGGAAACAAGGCGGTAATTTAAATATGACATAATCCATAAGTTCGACTAGATAACGCCTAGTTGCCATATTTCGACACTACTTAAGTGTATTTTCTAAATACAAAACAGAAGATGTCTACTTTTGTATGCATAATCGTTATGACATGTGGGCTGTTGAACTTATCATGTCGTAACTTTATTTTAAATTTATACCTGACACGGTCATAAAGTGGATCGGGGTTGCTTGAGTTTTCCGGGGCGTCGTGTAATATAGCAGTCCCTATTCTTTTACCAGACCCACTACCAACTTTGCTAATTTCACACACGGACAAAAAATTCGGAGCAAGTAGAGAAGTTTTTTTCCTCAGGATGTCACACAGCGTTGATGTCAGCAAGAATCCAAAAAAATAAACACCTAAAACGTAAGGACATTCGAGGTTTGGAATCCTTTCATTTAAGAAAATGCATTAATTAAGGTTTGAAAATGTTTACATTTCCTCATACTTCTATGATACTGATAAGCCAATTTACATTTAAAACAAGGTATGAAGTAGATACTATCATGCTTGAGATTAATTTGTATATATATATATATATATATATATATATATATATATATATATATATATATATATGGCTTCAAATTATGTCTGTGCAGTTAAATTTGAACTTAAAATATCGTTCAGGATTAACGCAAATCGATAACATTAGTAGTTAATTAGTTAATAATAGAAACACCACAAATTGATAAACAAGATAAACCGAATGAACCGAGTACTCATGAATTGGCAATTTGCTATGACAGAACTAATTATATTGATTGCTCCAACAAAAGCTGACAATGTACAAGTCATTAGTTGAGCTTCTATCAATGTCAACAAATATATTGCATCTATTTGCATTATATATAATGTACAAATCAAAACAGCACGAATGTAATGGACACGAATGACAAAACAAAGTAGTATGAAATTTTTTATAGTACTGGTAGTCTGACCTCAAGATCACTGAAATGCGATCACGGAACCACGGCAATCAATTTTTAATTTTGATGACGTCATCACACAAAACTTCGAGGTGAAAAAATAAATCCCACAGATACTTTTGAAATAAATAAAAGCAATAGCCTTCTAGCGATAAAAACAAGCTTCAAACACTAAAATTTCAAAGCTGGTTCAGTAGGTGAAAAAAAGGCGATTTTTTCAAAACAACAGCATAATTTAAGTGGAAATTTTGATTGATTTTTCTTTTAACCAATTAACAATATGATCTACATCTGATAATCGAGTTTTGCATAATCGAATGTTTATATTTGTGACAGCAATGTTTTCTGTCATAGGAAGGTCCTATTTTCAAAGGTGACAATAAACCACGCGATGTAAAGTAGATATATATTATATAAGCAAAAATACCTATGAATCGTACGACACGTCTTAGCGAAGCACTGATGTAGCAACCAGTTGATCCAATAGGAGGACCTCCGTTAGATTTACAACATATCGACAAAATAAGAAGAATTGATTCAACAATCGCAATCTGCATAAAAAATGCAAACATTTTGCAATAAGAAACGTAGAATATATTCAAGTTCACCTCTGTATAGGAGAAAACAATTTACGTCAAAAGCAGCACGAAATCAAGAAACGCAACTAGATGCACAAAGTCAAAAAACGTAAATGCCAGGTACAAGCATTTACAAGCTTAATTGTATGAGGCGAAAACAATGCCCAAGGTTTGATATAATGTAAAATAGTTCGAAACATCATTTACCTAAGGTTAATATAATGTAAAATATTTTGAACATGATTTACCTATTACAATACATCTTTTATTGCCGCCAATTATACAATGATGTGCATATAGCATTTTTTAAGTCAATACTCACTAATGCACAAGGTACTGTCGAGGTGCAGATAAAAACAGCAATATTTGATATGCTTCTATTCTCTGCGGGTGTAAATGGACGTTTCAACGTAACATCAGTCGGGCTAAAAGTTACTGCATATGTTGTGAATACACTGGTAAAATGTAGAAGATAAGCAAGCACCGCTGCAATCCCGAATATCGGAATCTAAAAATTTATTAAATAGACCATTCTAGTGTTATATTGTCTTTATCGAGTCATTATTCTGACAATTGAGCGCTACGTATATTTCAAGCCAGCTGCCCTGTTAGTAGGGCATTTATACAACAGAAACCAACGTAATTTATTTTACATTTTATCATCAACTGTTTGCATCAACTATACTAAAACCTACAGTAGTTTCCTTCAAGTCCGTTTAGCTTGCATGCAAAGTCAGATAATAAAAATTAGTTTTCTATACAACTAAAACCTAAATTGTATCAAAAATAATGTAATCAGATTTGATATATAATTTTGATTCGCTTTGTTGCGAGACACTATTGAAAAGCAATTTTACCAGAAAATACCTACCTCAATAAAATAAAAACACGGTAAAAGCAACGGTCGCTCTCTGCGAGCCTTCCTTCTTGGGGTATCTTCCTGACTATCCATCAAGTATTTTTGATATTTCTGCCAGCATTACATTTGAACTTAACCTAACTCACTTAAAACATCGACCGTTGGACTACTATCGTTTCACTAAAAGATTCAAACGGGGATTTGTTTTACAATCGAGCGCCCAAATTACCAAGCTCGGCTTCACAAAAAAATCGTTAAAACCAACAATGCAAAGGAGCAGTTTTACATCGCTCGGCGTGGCAATCAAACCTTCCCAACGAAATGATTTCCCGTGGGAGGGAAGGTCGCAGTATTTCATCTCTCGCATTCAGATAGAGTAGCAAAGATATCTGTTTATCAATAGTGCTTTGTAGACCAGCTCATCTACAGGGATAAGAAAAATAGCTTGTTACAAAGGACCTAAGTTTGGAAGAGTTTAGCAGAAGCGTTTTCTCACTTTGATTAGAAAATGTAACGTGTAAGGGTGACTCCTGAGCCCTTGAATATTAGAATCGTTTAGCATAAAAGGAATGGCTGAATAAATTATTTATGTGGCGTTCGATATTGGAGACTGCAGAGTATATAAATTGCTTACATTTTTGCAGTAAAAAAAGAATGTTTCCTTGATCATCTGCACTGATACGAAAACTGGACAGACTTAGTAATTTTGTTACGATGTAACAGATGTTAGAATTGTGTGCTTTAATTTGAAACAGAAGTCGAAAATGAAAATTGTGAAAAACACTGTCGAGGTTAGTTGATTTAAAGAAAAAAAATTATTGTTGATGTATGTTTATTCGTCTCATAAAAGCACATAAAAGATTTGACAAATATCAATATTGAAGACTGGATGTATATCTAAGTGATATTTCCACTCATACTTTTCTGTTGCACATTTGTTAGAAATTACTGATTGGTATACTTTGATTGATTTAGATTTTAGTTTCACCCTGGAAGCATAAAAACGGTAAATAGTAACAATTACAATGTCCAGTATGAATGAGATTATTCGAGTATTTTTCCTTTCTGAATCAGTTGACATACTGAAGTATACTAAGCCTGATATGATATGAGGTTTTTAGTAGCAAATAAGCTAGGGAAATTCACTATAAAGTGAAATTATGCGAATCATTGCACGAATGGGATTTTTTTACAATCAAAAATGGAAATAAATAATGATTAAGCTTGCGTTATACGTTAACTATATTCATGATGGCGACATAACCAGGAATAAAGATGAATTCACGGTAATCGATACATTTTGATTTTACACAACGGTATAATACGAAATACAAAATTGAAAAAATTATCGATTTATCTTTGTTAAAATAGATCAAGTGAGCGTGAATAAGAAGTACTCATTTTTATCGATTTTCATTTTTTCTTCATACCTGTATGACCTCCATTTTAAATACTTTCCTTTCCAATTGTCGAAGGCGTATTTTACTCAACCTCCAATCTTTTCATTGATTAAAATTTTACGCGTATATTGTACAAGTATATATTTGTTTTTACTTTTCTTGCTGTAAAATAACGGTAATCACACAATAAGAATAGAGACATGGCACGTAATAAACACGGCAACTGGTGTTTGGACCGAGCAATTGCTTCAGTCCATTTTGCTTACTTTTACATTTCCATATATTAACATGCAAAGGGATGGATTTGAAACTTGGCAAAACACTCCGATGAGAATATTTTATGCCACTTCGGTATGCGATCTCAGCGGTCATGTAGTTTTAGTATTAACTCAACCCGCTCAGATCGCATACCCAAGTGGTGCCGAAAATTTATTTTATTTTTATTCAGTTCAGGGCGTTCACTGTTCCTTATTTTTCTTTTTTTTAGCTCGTATTGTTACTCGGTCTCGGTGTCCTTTCAACGTTTGTTTCTTTCCTAAGCCCTTCAAATAAAACTCATTACAACGTCTACGTTAGTTGCAATGATGAGAGGTATCGCAAACCGTACATTCCGGTTGATGAACATCTAGTTCCTTTAAAATGGCTCTACGTTGCAGTACTGGTTGTATTACCATTGTTGGTATGTATCTATTTTGTTTATAAGTTTTGCATTGCTCTAATACTACAAAATAGACATGGTCGATAATATTGGTTTGGTTTTCTTCATCCTTTATACGAGTTTATACGTTGAATTGAATAAGTCCATTTTGATGTTCTTTAACGCCGTTTGATCTTTTAGTGCAGTATGATTAACAAGCCTTTATATGAATTTCAGTGGAACGCATAAGTTATGATTTCTTGTGCCATTCAATTGGTACTCCGTCTTCTATAATTAAGGAAAATGTCTCAGGTGTTGTCCTGAATATGTATCCAGACTTCCTCGAAATCATAACATAAAAAAAACTTCACTTTTTGCGATCAGATACTCATCGTCGATATCATACTATGTGCTGGTTTCCCAAAAGTGAAGAAAGAACGGAAGAAGCATAAACTCGCTAAAGCATTTGAAGATTCTTGTAATACTTTGGGTAAATTCAACATTTCCGTCTCAAATTTTGTATTCATTAAATTGTCCACTGAGTGGCGTTTTCCTAACAATCTTTATTGTTTTCTTTTTTATTTCACTAAATGCAATCTATATATGATGCCATGTTCTACTTCACACTTTGTGACTTGATATTTTTTGTTTTTATCCGTTTATTTATTTATATTTTGTTAATCCCTCATTTTTTTTTCAAATTTACTGATTCTTGCTAGTTGTTTACAGCTCTGTATTATTCCGGCCTGTTCATTCTCATGTTGTTTTGCAAACTTTCTCAATTTTTGGGTGGGACTCCCGCACCATATTTTCTCACCCTCTGCTCGCCAGGATGTTCAAATGTTACTGGATCCTATCGTGATGAGACTACATCAAGATTTTACATTACACAAGAAACTTGTTTACGTGCTGCCCAGGAAAAACTTCGACCTGACACCCTGTAGGTAACTCATTTACGTAAAACGTGTACACATATGTATACTTCACAAGAAAATTCATTACATTGTTACTGGGGCATGGTAGTTCATGTCTATAATAAATGCATTGATATTTCAACAGGTCGTCTTTCCCCTCCATCCATGCAGCGCTTACATGCTATGCAGCAGCATTTGTAACGGTAAGCTCGTTTCTTTCGTTTTACTCTGTGTAAGCTGAATCTTAAAACATATGATAATATATATATACACTTCAAATGAAAAAGAATTTCAATTTCTTTTATAAAGTTTCTCAATCCACCTAGGCCTTGGTTGATAATCAATAAAATAATTTATAGGTTGAAAGAGTTAGATGAGTTAGAGTTAGGTTGAAAAGACCACAAGCTATTTATATATGTAACCGATGAGCGATACAGAAATCTTTTTTTAAGTAAATTTGTGATTTGACACGAGACTGTTAAACCGAATCAAACAGAATACAGTTGTTGTAGCTATGAATTTTGATGCTGTCACATAACCTGTGTTAGAACGCTTTACGGCCTCGTGAAGACTATATATCATAAATGAGTATTTTGTGCTACATGCAATCTTTTTACGGTTTAAACACGGTTTTTCTTTGCATTTAGCTTACCATGTGAATCGCCATTTTTTGTCAGTTGTTGGAGGCAATTGTGTTCATTTTTAGATATTCTACTATTCGCGAGGAACGACTTCATACACTCGATTACTCCAGCCGTCAATTGCAGCATTATTTGTGGGACTTTCTATTGTGACGTCAATGTCACGCATCAATGAATACTCCAATCACACTGAAGATGTTGTAGGAGGAGCCGGGATTGGGATTCTGTTTGCTGCTGTTCAGGTTTGTGTAATGTAATATCATCATTTTGAGAATGAACTTAACCACTTCTCACTGAAAAGTACTAAATATTTAGATGGCTTTATATCGCGCCATCTAGAAACCGAGGTGCCGGTGAGCACTCGTTCCCGCATAACGAAGAGAAATGCAAATCAATATGTTCATTCGCCATAACCCCAAACAGGTTGCTTCACGGACGAAGCTGTCACTATCTTCACTCATTTTCGCCAATGAGCAATTTTTCATGTACCCGTTAATTTAATGTTATATGTCATATTCATATCTTCTTTGTTTTTGAATAATTTTGCATCCCCCATTTTGAGCCGCCGCACTCGCTTGCTCCAACTCCCATACTGGGAGATACCATATTTTTGTGAAGCATATGAGAAGAGACTCGATATGATATTTCCAATCCGAAGACCCGTGATCAACATAACTAGTTAGAAATTTTATATACTGAAAGAGCTCTATAATATTTTAGATTACTCTCATCGGATTTAAAGAATTACCAGAGAAGACAACGAAAAGCCAATAAAGAGTGGAATGTTCAGCTAGTGTTGTACATGTTTAGTGGATATATTGTCAAAATGAATAAACACCCACATACATTGAACCCACAATTTTCCATGGATTTGAAAGTTTTTGTTCTTTAGTATCTAGTATACGTCAAGGTATATAGAATAATTTTGTTATTGTAACGGATAGCTAGATTTACATATCTCAGCCATGTAGGCTGCTAACCAAAGGACTAAATATAACGTAAATCTAATTTGTTGTTTATGTGATGTAGTTAAACTTGTTCTACTCATCATGATGCTTTTCTTCTACAATATCTTCAGCCCTTTCACTCGAATGAATATGTTATAAACTTGGTTGATTTGATATAAGGTAAAAGGTTTTATAGTTTTTAAGTAATAAATCTCATATTAGACATCAGAATAACCGGGGTATTCTTCACGACCAACGAATACGGGAATGAAAATCAAAGTCATAATTTCTCATTGTTTCTACCCCTTGTATTACTCATTATCATATACGGTCCATAACACTAAATTGAATTCAATAATGTTGTAATTTGCAACCCTTAATATAGATTTGGAACGTGATAGAAAACCTACACAGTCATTATTGGCCACAAAAATTATAATTTTAGCCCACATCGTGTACATCCTATTATATTGACTGACAAATTCACATAACAGAAAAAATACATAGAAATGAATAAAAAGTTGGAAAATATATGCATCTAAAAGTGGTAACATTTAGTATTAAAAAGGGTAATTAAAGTTAAAATATCATACAACGTTTACAACCTTGTAACAGTTTTTTTTTCAATTCGAAATCTTCAACACAAAACAATAGAAACAAATATCTGAAAGCAGGCGCTCAGCAACACGCAATTTAATCTACTCAACTGTATGCGAAGAAAACATTTGGAACTATTTATACAATATATCAATGATTTGCACTTAAGACGAAAAATTTTCAACAAAGTAATGCATAAGGCAGTGATACTTATATTTAAATTATTATATTGGGAATAGCATGGACAAATTTGTTCTCATTCAGGTAAGATACATAAATATAACTCTAATGAAGAGTGATTCGTTCTTTTGAAAATTAGAACAATTTTAATCTTATTTTATCGTTTCATTAAACTAGCTCTTCTAAACAGAGGAAGCGAACGTTGAAATCACCGCACTTTTCGCCATTCCGTTGGTCGCTGTTGTAACACGCTAAACCTTTTTCTGCGTCGAACGTTCGGAAGATTTGTCCTGTTGTGTATGCAGCGCTGCAAAAAGAGAGAAAATTTGACTGAACGATGTTTAGTAGCATAAAACGAGAGAGTGAAATTAGAAATAGGGCTAATGAGAGACATCAACTTAATACGAGAGAATATACGAGAGTTAAATGAGAGAGAAAATCATAACGAGAAATTTACAGACAATAAATTCATATAAATTGGATAGATATAAAACCAAAGATTAAAAATAAATAACAAAGATTGTATAAAAAAAATCAAAATATCTACCTTCCGTTTCTAAGTCGCGCTTCAATAGACACGGGCCTGTCGCAAATTTTGTGGTCAAGCTTAAGTAATTCTAGTAATTCAAAATCCCCCCTATGGTCAGGGTCATCCCGATCAAACCACTCCGTCCAGACAGTTTTACAAGCTGAAAATAATGAAATTTCAATTTTTAAATTTTAATATACTATATATGATTTAATGGTTGAGAATGAAATATATACATTGGATAATTTTCGTCGATCGTTAACAAAGAAAGAAACGCAATTGCTCTGTGCGAATACGAAAGAGAATTTTTAACGATGAACTCGTGTGTATTGGTAGCACGAGCTTCACTACAAGATTACATGGCGGAAAAGAAAGATATTGCGGTGTTTATGCAGAAAGAGGCACAGATCAGCCGTTAGAATAAATCAGGGGTGACCAATCTGATTTTGACCGCGATCGACTAAAATCAAAATCGTCAAAATAGCTCGCGATCGACTATACAATATAAGCTCGGCTCTGTGGGCACATTCCCAATACAATTGCCACAAAAATTTGCATGTTCCATTTATTTAAAAAACAACTAAAATTAGTCTTCGATATATATACTTACTATAAGCAGGTGCTCCAGTTTCAACTCCCGTTTTCATAGCTTCCATATATGCATCTAATTTATCTATCCATACTTGCATTGTTTTTCCTTTCCATTCAGTAAAATTTTTCTTCGCTTTATCGCAGGCTGGAGTTGTCCCTTTTAGAGAATAAACAATTACAATTCATTGTAAACAAACACAAGAAATATTCTTGTTTTTGTACATTTGCACAGGATCTGCATATATAAAAATCCGACTTCAGAAAGAGGAATACAGTGCCATATGCGCATTTTCCATATTTATGATTTCTTTAACATTCGACACCAATTAAAATATGAACTGTTTGATCATGTATTAAACCAGGGGTTTTGTTGTTGAAAAAATGTATCAGAAATGAGTAGTTTATTACCTTTGCAAGTCTTCATATCACTTGTTAAATTGTATCCATCTCTACAACTACAAACAACTTGATTATCTACCCATGAACACATGTGATCACATCCGCCATTATTGTATCGGCATTCATCTGAATAAAGAGACACATTATATTATAGATGTGATTTTTCTTGTCCAATTGCACGCTAAGGGTACCAGATTGTTAGATCAAGTATAGCAATCTTGCCTTTTCAACAAATAAATGTAACTATGTTCTAATATATTGTTGTAGAATATGAGCAACATCATGCCCGTCGAAATTTTCATTTAGTTTTATGGCCTAAATTAAAACGTGCCTACTGTAATAATCAGAACAAACTCGGATACAACAAATCCTGTACTTACTTTCCCAATGACAACCGTACGTATGATCTTTATGTCCACAGAATTGTCCTGGATAACATGTTGTTTCTTGACATGACAATTCACCATTATGACATTGACATTTCTTTTCACAATCTTCTAAGTACGAATCAAAGTTATTCTAGAAGGAATGAAATAAAATATTTACAAATTGTTATAAAGCCAGCTTGAAGGAAATTTTTCGGTATTGGAAAATACATCACATACCGGATAATATTCTCCTTCGTTGCTTACACATCCGCAATCGGTTGCATTCACACACCTTTCTCCGTCTAATACAAATCCATCATCACATTGACAACCTGTTTAAAAGTTGAATACCATGATTTACCATGAACACATGTAACTAAATCATGACAGAAAATCATTCTAATTTAAACAGATACAACATAATTAAGTATCTTGATCTCGCGAACACAAAAAAAAAGAAAAACAATTAATTGAAATAGCTAGTTTTGTAAATTTATTGTAAATTGATGCATATGTTAAACAAATTTTCTGTTTTTCTATTTGCTATATTATTTACTGTCCCAAATATAACCATACAATATGGATATATAGCAAATTATTATTTATTTGTATATAACACTAAATGATAATATAATGTTAATGATCTGTATCGACTCATATCAGTTCGCAGGTCTGGCTTACCTGGTACGCATTCATCGCCCATAAAAGTGTTTGCTTTGCATTTAGTTGCATCCTGATCAGAGCACGTGAGTTGACATTCTGTCATGCAAGACTCAAAATGGCTGTTGGTTGGACAATGCATGATTACAACTGAAATAAACAAAAACATCGTTAAATTAAATATTCTCCTATTGAAACCATCAGTAATTACAGATGATCATGTTACAATTGGTCATTTTCCATAGATGACATCTCCTTAATTTTTGTTTTACATACAATTCAATCGTCAAATGTGGCTACATTGAATCAATCTGCAGCATGTGTAGTATGGTGAACCCAATTTATTATAGATTATTCGAATCATGTTACCTGGCAACTCCGGTGGTGGTGGAAGAGCATTTTTCACGTGGTCAGCTCTTGGTTCTTCTTTACAAATTCCGTAGAAATTATGAATATTATTATCAGTAGACTCTCTGTCACCCTGAGAGGCACACATCTCATACAAGCAATATTTGTACAAGTCACATCTGGGCGTTGAGGTGTAATTTCCATTGTATTTTTCGGAACAATAATCTTTGTATTGAGACAGTTCTAGCTCAGTAGTGCAGACTTGTGGAACCGATATTTGTTTACGACAACTGGAATTAAAAATCATTTTATTAGAGAGAAGACAATTTATAAATTCCAACCAAGGTCATTTGGAACATATTCTAGAGCAGGGGTGTGCAACATTTTTTGTCGGTGACTCATCCAACGGTTAGATTCTAATCAACTTCAAACGTCTAGCTGAGCCACATAAAAATAAAGAATGCGGCTATCGTTCAGCATTGCAGTAATATAGACACCAAGCAAAACGACAAAAGACTTAACGCAACAAAAAAAAAAAAAACGTTATGTATTTATACCTGAATGATAGACTTTTTAAACATAAACTGTCGGATTTGGACTTTTATACATGGTGGGGAGTGTTAACAAGGGCCACACCAAATGGCTTGGAGGGCCAGATTGTGGCCCGTAGACCGCATGTTGCAGACCCCTGTTCTAGAGAGTACGTAACTTTTGTTCAAAGAGTCCTAGATTATTGAACAATCATACACAAACAGATATTCATGTGCCGAAGTGTTTAATGGGACTTTTAGGTACAATCATACACAAACATGAGTTCATTTGTTCAAGTGTTTAATGAAACTTTTGGGTATAATCATACACAAACAAAAGTTCGAGTGTTTAATAAATTTTCTTCATTTTTGGGTTCATTTAAGTTTCTTTTTTATGGGGTCGCCCTTTATTTATTGAGCTGATCAAAAGAATATTAAAGAAGATTTCCAATCTAAGGTAATCATATGGAAAATATTTGCATGGAATCTGATTTTGCTTCAACGAATGCGTGAAGCAAACCTCTACTTCAGATATAACTCTACTCACCCCGCATCTGAACCTGCATCTCTCCAACTGTTAACAAAAGTTGGTACATCAGTTTCAATAACTCCCGTCGATGTTCTGAAATCGTTTGCCTCATTTTCATCAAAATCTCCACAGAGTCCTTCCATTTGATTTGACATCGGTTGGCGAGCTTCGATTCGAAGACTATTGAAATATAAGTATTGATAAAAAGTCTTTCAAAATTAAATAAAACTACCTCAAATCCTACCCAAATTTGCAAGCAATCATCATCACATTAACGGTTTGAGATAGTATTAAAATATTTTTTAATAAATTGCAAGATTCACCTTTGTTTGCCATCCCATCTTATGACCAATCCAAATTGGAATACGGCGACAATAAATCTTCCAAATTTTCTTATAGAAACTTCATCTAGTGTTGAGCCAATTGCAATATTTCTACCATTTACCTAAAAATAAATATATTACAACCATTTTGTGATTTTTTTGTAAGTAACAAACCTGAGTTGCCTGGTTATGTCAAATAGAATGAAATGGAAATTAGAACCGGCTTTCTATTAGATTATTCATTCAATTTCATGAAGGAAAGAATTTTAGAGGAATTAAAAATAGGTCAAAACCAGCTTACCATCACGGTCTTATCTTGTGCCATTATCATATCCATTTTATTTGTTGTAATAAAAACTTGAGCTACTCTTGATAAGTTGGAATTCGAGTTAGAAGATTCAAGATCGACTTTCACGGCGAATGGCGATATTGTGGAATCCTTTCGAGATTTTATCGCAGTAAATATACATGTTGCCGTTGTGTTGAATCTCATCCCATCGAATGTGGAAAACATACCATTACCAAAAGCTTGACAATAGGCTCGAATCTGTACATACGATAATACGAATGTTCAATATATATTCTAAAAACAGTTATTTTTCAATATCTTTGCGATTAACATTGGAGATTATATCAAATATTCCATCTCTACTGGTAGAATATTCAAGATTTGACAGACATTGGAAATGTGATTTTTGACTGGGAGTAAAACTACAAATCTACTTTCTGTTTAAAAAAATGTACAGCTAATGGTTGTAGAAATATATTCACATAGCACCGCACAAACGACTCATAGATATAATATTTACCCTTGATCGAACAGTGCATTGTTGGAATCCGTCATCGTCTTTAGCGCATTTTGCTCTTGTAATACATGGTTCCGCCTTTTCGCAAGTATTCATATCGTTGCCAAGACATGTACATTTATCTTGGCATTGATTAGCTCGATATGAAAAACCTGATGATAAAATAATAAGTAATAAGGTATCTGATAATTCAGCTTTCTGTATAAAAGTTTACAAAACGCAAGGACGTCAATCAACAAAAAGTTGTGGAAGATTTCTGATAAAAGAAGAAACCACCGATATGCTATATTTAAATTATTCATACAACAAAGATGTCAGTACACACAAGCTTATATCAGACTTGAAACAATTCAAGAAATAGATTGGCACAGTGAAATTTTACAGACGAAAATACTAAAAATCATTCATCATAGAAATTTTGATAACAATGGCAATGAAAACAAGATCATAATATATTAGTTCGTCCAAACAAATTTTGAGGGAATGAGAACACAAAGTAGAGACGAAAAGGTCATGAATATATTAGATACAAAATATGGTTTAATTAAAGCTGGTGCAACTTGACTTGCAAAACGAGAAGGAACTGATACTTGATTCTTCAGCTTCTATTTTCAATGGAACAAACTGTATGAATACTGGAATACTGTATAAATATCATGTCCAGCTGCCATGCGCTTTCTATAAGAGTTTTATACCTTTGGGAACGAGTTTCCTGTTAACAACACAGCCACCACATGTTGACTTAGGCAAGCAATGTCCATTCGATCTCATATATCCTTCATCACAAACGCAGTCTTCAACTTGTTGATGTCTGCATCTGTAATAAACATTTTTTATTCAATCGTTGCTCCCTGCAATAACGTTGAGGAGGTAGGTATTTATGTGAAAGCATTACTCGAAGTTGATCACTTGGCTCCAATCAAACAAATGTCATATTCTGCAACTAACTAAATTTTCAGATTTTAAAATTTGATCTAAACTTAGCTGCAAATAAATTGAAAACCCTTACTCTTTCTCTGAAGCCGTGCCGCAAGTTTCTTCGCATGCTTTTGTGCATCCCGAATAGTGACTGTTAACTGGACAAGCGATTTGCAATTGATAATTCTTTCTCCAATTACACACAGGTGTATCTATGGCCATACACTCGTGAGCGTAGGCTTTGAGAGCCTATGTAATATATAATGTAAATTAGTAAAAGACAGTAGACGATAACAGAAATGTAGCCTTAGACGTACAGAAATACGTTAAAAAAATTATTCTTTATAATTACGAATATACTGTTGCTAAAAAAAATAAGTAGCAAATCAAATAAAATTAAATCAATAAATGACAAAATTAATTATAATTTTATCCAATCTTGACGTTGGCCTTACAATTTTAGTAAAACCAACTGTTTTATTCTATAAATATAAATAAAAATCACCTCAGCCAATACGTCTTTGTCTCCACCAGACCTGCATACATCATGAACGCATGCTTCAAAAAACTCATTTGCTTTTAGCTTCGAACTACAATTCTCGAATTCGGAGTTTGGATCCAAAATAGCTCCACAGTGGTCAGATGCTCCGCTGGAAAAAAAAAGATACATTGTCATTGCTATATTCATCACCACTCGCGAAACACATGATTTTTTCAAACAAAAGTTAGAGTGCCTCTGGTGTATGAATAACATACCTCAGTAGGACATTTTGAATTAAGTATAAGTCTTTCAACACCAAGATATATATTTTTTCAATGGAAAATGCATTAAGACGATAATTATATGATATACGAAGATGTCGATCGCTGGATAACGGCTTCGACCAGCATGAATGACTATAAATTAATTATTCAGGTAAATAATTGCTTTTTATGTGGAAGGTTTTGTTAAGCTTCATTTCCTATGCTTACAATTTCTTTTCGTTTTCAACAGAGCAATCTAGTGGAGGTAATGAGACGGGTGGTCTGCATGTTTGTCCTCTTTGATCGAGAGCAAACGCGGCGACGTCATTGTTCAAAGTACCGTCGTCTAAGTTCAAGTCATCAATCGGATCTCCATTGAAATTACCACACAATCCTCTGACCTAAATGTAATCATGTTTTTATTGATGCAACATGACATGATGTATTTAAACTTGTCTTCAAATTAACATTAACGAAAAATTAAAAATTCATTTTTTTTAAATTTAGATAGATGCTATAAATATGATAAATTTTTGTTTTCGCAATAGTGGTCCTCGTAACTAACACTATCATTTCCACGTGATATATTGATATTTGGATAAATATAGCATGTTATTCATTTTATATCTGGCAAAATAAGCAATATAGGACACTAGAAATGCCATATACAACGTTTGAATGTTTGCCGGTTGTAACTTTGCGTTTAGTGTTTACTTTCAGTCTAGAATAGATATTTTTCAAATTGTGTCGAACGGTACTTTATTTCGTTACTTTCAATTTGGGTCAATAAGTATTGTTATTGAGTTTATATCTATAAGATCTTCTTTTAGAATTGGACCTTGTGCGATTGTTTTTTTTTGCATTCAATTTAATAATTCAATCAAACATTCTCTGGTGTGTCAAGAATACTTCTCTCTATCACAACCCAGATAAAAAGAACATAAACAAATCTTACTTTTCCTCCAAACCTCGATGGCAAGGTTACTCTCAAATTACTCCCATCAAAAGCTATTTCCAATCCAAAGAAAGTTTTCAAGACTGTAAACGTTCCTCTGCGATCCACAGTTATCATGCGATCCTCATCAGCGCTTCTCCAATTGTAGACACTTCTTCCATCAACCTTTAACGTGTGTTTGAATATTGATAGATTAGAAAGGATTTTATCTAATTTTGTTGCTATTGTTAGGACTATCATGGGCATTGTAAAATTGAATATTTTTCAATGTCTAGTAATGTTGGGTATGTGAAAAATAATAAAGAAAATAACACAATTAAAATATTTGATTGAGCAAAATGAATAATGAGCAGAAAAGCAAAGTAAACAAAAAGAGATTAATTTATTGCGACATGTATGATGAAAGATTGAAAGTGTAACATCATTCTGTATGAGTATTTGAATGGCCAGAGTTTGAAGTTGATTTTCAATTCGTCAAGCGGATAATGTATTTTTTTCTTCAAAATTTGAATTATATCGAAGAATCGTGTTTGTGTTTAAAGGGGGCGCGATGCCAAACGAGCTTTAATTGATTAAAATATTCAATTCTCAATGTGAGTCCCACCACTTGAAGAAATGAAAATGTATGAAAAGTTAATTGACTAGATATTTCATGGAAATGAATTTTCGCCAATTTTTTTGCCAAATGTCGAAGAAGCGCAAGTCGAAAATGCTAGCACAATAATCATTTTTTTGAAAAATTAAGCAACACTGATTCCATGCTACATTTACCATGCATGTAAGATATAATTTCATTGCTGTGCCGATTGATAAAGCTTGTAATTCAAATCAAAATGAAACGTGCTCTAAGCAATTTGATAGCGCAAAAGGATAAATTAAAATGCATGGATGATTCGTGCTTTGCGTTTGTCTACCTTTGGTTTACGGCGAAGTCCTGCGAGTCGCAGAACAGAAGTTCATGTGAACTAGGCTTTCGACTTGGAAATGATGAAAATATGGAACAAAAAAGCATTAAACGTATTATACCCGTGCCTGTGCCTGTGTTTTTAGAAGCATTGATTTTCCAAGTCCTGGAAGTCGTAGACGAATATTCTTCAGTACAGTGAGTTTATCATTGTCAGATGACGGTTGGATGTTAGCCGTCAAAACGAATGATTCCAATCTACTACGGGGATTTCCACGTTCGAACTCTCTCTTTGCAATGACGTAATGACATTGAGTGTTGAGGTCATAATTATTTCCGTCAAAGGTAGTAAAGTGAGTGCTTCCCCAAGCATGGCATGTAGATGTTTCTAAAAATTATTATACATCTTATTGTATATTATAATGACATTTTCCATCTGGTCCAAGTTTAATTTTTGTTTTAAAATTCTTAATAAAATAACCCTAAAAAGGATCAGAACGTTAAGTGGAAAGAAAGACGTTTTCACAGATAAACGTCATTTGCAATAAAGTTTCATGTCATAATAATGAAGTAAGAACGTCAAAAATATATTCAAAATGTCGCAATGTCATATTCAGTATTTTATTTACTATTATCGTTACTTTAAATTGCAAATCCATTCACAACATTCCACTAATTTTCATCCGATTTATATGATAACTTGTTGAAAGCCTCGCCTCGTGATATTGAAGACGTGAAAACTTCCCTATATTGCAGAGATTATCCGAAACTTACCGATACGAATACAGTCCAATTTTCCAATTCCATTGATGGCGCATTCCTCTTCTCTACCGCATTTTGCAGCATTGCATGTAACTATTCCAGCATTACATTCACACAGCGTCTTACACTCTTTAGTGTAGAATATGTTTCCGCTCTAAAAATAGTACAAATAGGTCATATTAAATTAAATTAGATTCATTATTAAAATTCTATTTGAGCACAAAAAGATTAAAAACATGGGTAAGATATATTTTGGGTAAGACATATTTGTTTCGTGCCTTTTTCGCTTCAAAGAAGGTCCCATGCCAGAAATCGCTTGAATGAAAGAATTGAATGAGACCACATGAGCTGACTAAAGTCGAATCTTTAATTTCAGCCTACCCAACTTCCCTACTTCATAAATTATATCTACCTTGTAATATCGCCCATCCTTAACACATCCACATTGGCTCACTGGAACGTATTCATCTCCAGAAAGAACAAATCCATCGTCAGGGTGACAACCTGAAAAATTTTAAAATAGTTACTGGCGACAAAAATAATATCTAAAATATTTAATAAAGTATGTATAGATCCATAAATACAATAATGTAACAATTCTATTTCATACACTATTCTATAACTCACCTTCAACGCAGTTATTTCCAATATCACTCAGTCTACATTGTGAACCATCAAGATCATCACACGCAGGCTGGCATTGCATCATACAAGGTTCAAAGTGGCTGTTAGTCGGACAAGGCACATCAGCTAAATACAATTTTGTTTTGTTTATTACAAGCAATTATGAAAAATGTAAGTATGTATGAGAGTAATATATAAGAGAGGCGCCGATCAAATTCTAAGTTTAGCCGAATTCGAGAGAATATTGTGAAAAACAAAGAAGTTTCAGAAAGTAATTCGAGAGAATGATGCAAAATAAATAACATATAGTCATACATTATTTTGAAAGAAGGGATTTACTGAATTGTGAACTAAACTAATAAGATTAATTAATATTCAGAAAGAAATATCCTCTCACTCAGGTTAGCTTCTTCTCTCCAATTCTTATCTAATTCTCCTCCTTCTTGTCTACAATCCTCAGTGTAGTCTGAAATCACTCTTTCGCGCATTTTTTCGTCACCCACGAAAGCGCACATGTCCAGCATGCAGTTAGCGTACACAGATTCTGCATCAGCTAAACGTTTACAATTCTTCAGTGGACCATCAGGATTTATTAGCACGGAACAAGCTTGTTCAGCTTGAATCATCTCTTCCACTCCGCACTCAAATACTGGACGTTCAACGAGAAAATCGGCCTGAGGGCTGGGACATCTAAAATAAGATTGAGGTCAGATAATATTATTGTTTGAACGCGGGCATGTGAATGAATACCGAAATTGTTATACCAGAACTTAAGTAAGTACTTTGTAATAAAATGCGTTTTACCACTAATTATTTATACACCTTAAACAGTTTTTAATTGTTTTCAACCTCAATACTACTTAAGACTGTTGCTAACTGAATAGCGACGAACTGTTGGGTTGCATATACATGGGTATCAATTATACTCACTCATCGTTATAACCCTCTACTCTCCACGAATTAACAAACTCTTCTGGTTCTTCGAATACTTCTTCAGTAAAGCCATTTGTCAAATCGTCTGAAGGGTCGTCGTTGAAATTACCACAAACACCTTCCACTTGTCCTCTCAAATTTCCCATTGCCGAGATTCTCAATCTGTAAAAAGGTTCATAATTCTAAATTTTGTAAAAGATGAATTGATAAAGGATAGTTACTCAAAACAAATTTGGATTCCTCTAAAAGGATTATTATAACACATTTTTAAGTTTCTCACCTGTCTGATCCATCCCATCTGACGTTAAGACCAAAGTCAAAATTGGCTGACATGTATCTTCCTATTTTCATAAGTTTCATTCCTGATTCAGATGTTCCAGTTTGTACGACTTCGCCATTGAGCTATGCAAACAAACAGTGAAGTTTAGTTTGTAGGGAGATAAACGAGAATAACTAATATACATAAACAGAATTTTATATGGTCTGATTTTATAATATTCCACCCCAGGATTGTATTTCTGAGATTTGTTCTTTTGTTTTTTCCTAACAAGAATCTGTACAATTAAACTATCTGGAGCAATCTAATGGATTTAAATGAGTGAAATTCGAAATACATGATCTCCCACAACATAAATTAAAATGGTTGTGTTTGGGCCTTGATAGGGATCGAACCCGAATTCATTAGCTTGCGGAGTCAATATAGTTAGACTATTGTTCCTACCACAATGAGATATCAATATTGGGAATAGATTTTTCAATTCCCACTATCCTCTTGCATACCTCAACGACTGGGCCTTTAAACATTGACAATCTTTGTCCACGATAATCTATATGAATTTCTTTCACGTTGGACACAGTAATGTTAGGCAAAGGTTGTTCGTTCACGGCAACAACGGTGAATGGGTCAATTGCAGAAGTGACCTTTGACCTGTGATTGACAATACGATTAATTAATTTTAACAATAGTATTTAAATTGATTCACTACATCTTCAAATAAAATCGAATTGTCACCTACCTGACCATTGTATAGGAGCAGATACCCTGTGAATCAAATTTCTTTCCATCGAACGATGTGTAATGAGGATCCGTTATAGCTTTGCAAGTAGCACGACGCTGAAACCAAAACATACTATTTCACAAAAACACCGTCAAAATGTTAGAAATTCATGATCAAGTAAAAATTGAAATGTAGTCTAAATAATCAAATTTATACTGTTTCCAAACAATAAAATCCAAATTCTGTATAAATTATTTATATTCAGAAATATTATAAAAAAAAAAAAGTTTTTTCAAGAATATAAATGTATAAAATATATATATGAGTTTAAATATGAATTACAACATTAATATTCCGCTTTTAAGTTCAACTTTTGCTTACTCTAGTGCCTGGCATGCATTGAAAATATCCTCCTGCAGCTCGGTTACAGCGTTCTGACACTAGACATCCATCGTCGACGTCCTTGCATTCAAAAATATTTTGACCCACACATTTACATTCTCTTGTGCAATCCTCATTTTCTTTGTAACTGAAGCCTTGGAAATGATAAAAACTTTTTAGTATTTGTTATCTAGTATTTGGTAATTGAAAAATAATTAGTTTTATCGGTGATATACACTAAGTACTGAGCTATATATCAAAATTTAGAAATGAGACTAGTACCTCTCGCGTAATAAACTCCATCAACCAGGCATCCACATTTTTCTACGGGAACACATTTGCCAACAGAAAGGAAGAATCCGTCCAAACAATCGCAACCTAAAAATAAAAATGAAATCAATTAATGTTTTTGATTTTTTTCACCCAGAATAATCACTTGTTTCGTTTCTATTTTATCGCGTCAGATATTTACCTTCAACGCAGTGGTCTCCCAAAAGATATGGCAACTTCCTCTTACAAATCGATGCGTCGGGATCCCCACATGTAGGTTGACATTGATGCATACATCTCGAATATTTGCTGTTTGCTCCGCACTTTACAGCTGAAATCCAAAACATTGTAATGTTTGAATCAAAATAAAACGTAAGTTTATATATATATATATACATATATATATACATACATGCCGCGTAACGTTGATGAATACGTTATTTCAACTACAATATGTGCTCGTGATAGTATTAGCGACCATCGAACTTACGCATTTTTTCGTCCGACCTCCACGGATCAGGACCCTTTGAAAACTCGAGACAATCGTGTGTGTATGATGACAAAACTCTATCTTTGTAGTTCATGTCTCCATCTGTTCTACATAAGTCGTTTACGCATGCCCTGTACGCTGGAGCTGGATCTACTACCCGGTGACATTTTGCAAACGGCCCTTCAGTATCCAAAACAATATTGCACTGATCCTGATAGTTGGAAAGTACATCAGGGGCATTGCAGTCATCAGGAACGTCATCAAGCTCGACCACGCATCTGCAATATGGAATTGTAAACATTTATCAGTATTCAATAATGTGTCTATTTGTATTAGCATCAGGTAACATTTTTATGTCTAAATTAATTGAAGAATAAAAAAAAAAGCAGTAAACCAAAACGTGCCCAATAAAAAAACAAAGTCGTGTTCTCAAATCAAACAATTGAATGTAATTTTACTTAGGAAGGAATATAACATATGTTCGTTGTATACAAGAAATCTCTGAAGACTGATAAAGAAAACAGGACTCTTGCAGTGGACAATCTTCACTTACTTTTTTTCTGAATGTTCTTTGATTTCCCAGCCTTTTACGAAATCATTCATATCGTTGGTAATGAGGCCGTCTGGCATGGTGAAGTCATCGTCCATATCATCATTGTATCGACCACACATTCCTTCTACCTTGCCCTTGAGATCGTCCCATACGGTTACTCTGAGTCTGTGTTGAAAATCGAAGATTATTATATCAAATATTAAGTACATGTGCTGTTGACCTGGAAAAATTTGAAACATACCTGTCTTTTCCATCCCATCTGATTACCAATCCAAAGTCCCATTCAATAACTGTGAATAATCCAATCTTGCGGATAGTTGCACCCTGTATCGTAGAACCAGGATTGTACACCTTTTCATTGATCTGACGTAAAAAAATATAAAATGTTTATTATGAATAAAAGTATGCAACTCTTAACAATGTGTGGTTTTATGATTGTTTGATGATGGCGGTTATCTTGACATAAGAAGCTCGACAGGTAACTTTTTTATCTGGACATTTAAAACATATATACTAGGCATTTGTGCGAATGCATTCATACAAATGAATAACATATCAAATTATAATCATAAGCGCTTTTTACGTAAATTTCAATAGTTTGTTTCTTCAATATTAATTTCGTTGTCTTTCCATGACTCTTCAAAGCAATGTCGTTAAAAAGTTTTCCTCGCTTTCACCTACGGAGCAATCGGCCCCCAATATGGAGTCAAGTCAAGTTTATTTTTTCCAACCAGTAAATAGAAAAAACAGCACAGAAAATACGAAGTAAAATGAAAATCACACAGTTTTACTGGGAATTGATCAGTTCTCATTAAGTTCGATCCGTCGGTACTAATTAAGTAACAATATATTGTGTATTGAATTCCAAAAAGCGCCAGTGAGCAAATTACATACCGTAACTCTCAAATTTCTGGAAACTTTTAGTTTAAAATCGTCTCCAACTTCGACGATAATCTGTCTAACTGAAGATGTTGATTGTAACGAAGACGATCTTTCATTCGAAGCAGTAACTCGGAAACGTGGAGCATCGCTTGATGGAATTGATCTGTTGAGAAACCAACGTCGCGAAATTAAAAACGCGAAGATGCAAAATGATAATGAATGAAACACAAATGAAAAGTCGATCCTCTAAAACAGGGGTTCTCAAACTTTTGGTGTCAAACATAATATACTAAAGCTGGAAATTTGACACTTGACCAACATATTGATAAATTAGGGGGCGAATCTTTTCCCTTTTGACATTGAAAGACTTAAAAGGCCGCTAATAACGTGCGCGATATCATTTTGTTACAATCGCCGATTTTTTTTCGTCAGCATGGCGTGTTTTTGAACCTTTAAACATCTTTACGCCGGTGTTTATTCTCCCTAAATCAAAAATTTCCTTCGGCATATACATGTATTGTTACACAATGACGACGTTAATTTCTTTTTGTTCTCGTGGGGAAGTATGAGTTTAATGTGAAAAACATGTTACCATATTATAGTCATCGGCGATGAAAGGCTAAAAATAATAATTAATAAAGAGGTAAATCCGCAACTCAAATTTCTTAATCGAAAAACGCCTTCTAAAATATTAAAACTGAAACTTAAAATGGAAGATCACACGTTTCGTTTTCAGCAGACTCACCTCAGATTGAAAACGCTTTTATAGACATTGTAAATAATAAAATTTGGTGTTATGTTAGGTTTTCATCGTAGTAACTGCGAAATCGAAACACAGTCAATTGTGAGCGCGATCCGCGATGTACCTTTTTTCATTCTGAAACTACCGGCAGAGCCGAATGCAATAAAATAAATTTCAATTGTTCGTATTTTGCCCAAATATTGTGATTTTTTAAACGGCGATATCTTGCTTGAAAATAATCTCAAGTGCAAAAGAACAAATCAAGTTTGACAAATCCCAAGATCGCAAAAATACGACTCCAATTTATTTATAGTTGGCAGTTTATCACATATTTTATGTTATTTTAGAATAGTATTCTCATTTTAGTAATCCTAATAGTAATCTCGAACCAAACGTGAGTAACGATGAGACACGTTAAATGCTCGCATCGGTCATGGATTGAATATTTTACGCAACAGAAATCTCGTTATCCGTTTTTTTAATCGCGAAGAATGTTGCGCGGAAATTTCCGATTCCAATTTTGAACCACCTGCCTCTTAAAAATCCTGGCTGCGCTCCTGCTTATAAATAATGCCATTTTTTAATTCCGCCTCTTTACCATATTTCGAGGCTATATTGTTGTCAGATTTTATCAATGCTGTTATTGCTTCTTTGAACAGTTACAAAATTTTGAGTCAGTATTTTGAAGAGTTCGCGGAGCCCCTGGGTTTCTCTCGCGGAGCCCTGGGGCTCCGTACGGAGCACTTTGAGAACCTATGCTCTAAAATATATTAGTTATCTGAGCATTCTCTCTGATTTACTCACAAAAACATCTCATTTAAATGACCTAGACATACATACAATATTATATCAATAGAGCGATAGGAATATTTTTAAACATAAATAAAAACAATACTGACTGTGTCATAATGTAAGCACATGTTCCGGTAGAATCGAACGTCTTTCCATCAAACGTTGTGTAGTGAGGATCTGTGATAGCTTTGCATGTCGCCTTGTTCTGGAAAAATAATAATTCCACAATATTAATTGATTCTATAAGTTAATAATTAGCAATTATTTCAGTCTTACTCGTATATGCGGTGTGCATTGATATCTTTCATTGACTTTTGTGCATCTCTCAGTTGTTCTACAAGGATCCGTTGGAAGGCAAACTATGTCACCGGCGCCTACGCATTCACATACGATGTCGCATTTACTATTCAAATATCGGAAACCTGAATTCATTGAAAACTTCAATATATAGTAGAACTGTAGTGGTTTATAGGGCTTGCACTATGATCAATTTTAAAAACTATTTTCATTTTTTCTCAAAATATATTGTGATTTCAATAAGAACCCCGTCAAACACTTATATGCTGGTCGGAGAATTTTGTTGCCTTGATCGTTATTAACATTTTAAAAGGGAAATAACGCCAACTTTTGAAAACAATCCAGTCCGACTTTAGCATGGTCGATTGTGTTGATTTGCTGTTGATAAAAATGAAATCCAGTGACAGAATTTGATCAATAAAAAATTTTCGTCATTGTCTCAAAAAGTAGATCTTGATTATTTGGTGTTTTTATTAAATAGTTATAGTTTTGATGATTACTTCGGTGGAATTTTGATTGAACAAGTGATCACATTGCTCAATTGTTTGGTCTACTTCAGACCTACTAATGTTTTTAAAATTAGGATTTTTCGCATACCTTGTTCTCTGTATTTGCCATCAATGAGACAACCACATTCTTCGAGAGTGACACATTTACTGCCTGATAAGACAAGTCCAGGATTGCAAACACAACCTAAAATTTGAAAGAAAAAAGAAACATAAATAAGTAAATTCAATGCATAAGATAAGTTTATTATATATTTGAAAGCCCAATTATTTTCAATTCATCGCAACTAAGATGCAAACATGTATAATACATTTATATTCTTTGCTATGATTAACTTACCGGACACGGGTTGGTCCCCTAGTGAATTGTTAGCTTTGCAAATTGAAGCATCAGGATCGTCACATGTTGGTTGACATTGCTCCATAGGTACCATGGAAATCATTTTGTCGGGACATTCTTCAGCTAGAAAATTTAAATATATAGCTTAAAATAAAGAACTATTCGCAGAAGACGAAATTAGGTCAACAAATAACCCATATCGATAACTGTTTCACTACAACAAGCCGGAAATCCAAGATTTACTGATAGGATGCTTCGTTAACAAGTTCATTAAAAGTGAGTGATATTTCAACTTGTTCGATGTTTTTCCTCAAAATAACTTTCAAGTAAAATACAATAATGCTGTTGCAGATTAATTTACACAAATTTGTTTTTTCGCAACGAAACGAGAATTTGGACTTTATTAAATTGGTGACGACAAAATGAACTAATATTATTCAAATCTTACTTATATTAGGGGTGTTTGGTCTTTCCTCCGTCTCAAGACAATCTTCGGTATATTCACTAGCAATTCGTTCATAGTGGCCATCATCTTTTCCCATGGCACACAAGTCAAATATACAATCATTGTAGAAAGCTTCCGGCGCAACACGGTCATGACACGCCTTCCAACTTCCATCGGTATTGACAAGCTGCGAACATATTTTATTGTATTCACTAAACCGTTCGCAATTGGCCACTACTGAAGAGTTTAAAGTGCCAGGAGGTGGATCCAAGAAGCAGCTGAAATTTATAATTGACATGTTAGTTCGGCATATAAAATATGCACAGTTATTTCTGTTTTCTTGAAGCAACAATAAACTTTGTAATTAACAGTATAGTATACTTTTCGACCGAATATATTATAAACGTTTGTCATAAATAGGCTTTAAAACTGAAAACAAATATCAGTATTTGTCACTTTCTTACAAACATCTGGCATAAAATTAGACGTTTTTGCTTTTGTTTATTCAACGCAGAAATTGTTTTTACATAAATTAATTCTCCCCAACAATTGAGTGTTATCAGTGTTGACTCTATCAGTTTTCCACTCATAAACCCTTCGATATTTTGAATCACTGCTTACCTTTCTTCACTAAATTCGTTAATTTTCCAATGTCTTACGAATTTATCAGCTTCTGGTTCTAGCTTTCCCCGCGGTGTTGTAAAATCATTCTCAGGATTATCATCGAAATCTCCACACAAACCTTCGACTTTGTTCTTCAACTTAGCCCACGCCATCACACGTAATCTGTCATTGACAAAATCGTTCATTGAGACTACCAAACACGTTCAATTTCTGAGTACAGAAACTAGACAGCAGTAAGAAACGAATAATAATAATAAAAGTGTCATTCATGCTGAACGAATCGAATCAGATTGTGTAGAAATGATATTTTAAAATACAATACAAATTTATGGAACTTCTGTTACACGTGTACCTGAATGAATCTCATACAAGGCATCTAAGAGCACTCTCCTGATATGAAACATGCATAGCAATAACCTGGTAATGAAACAAAATAGTTGAAAAAAAAGTTTACCTATCGATACCATCCCATCTGACTACGAGACCAAAATCAAACTCAGCTACTGTGAATTTACCAACTTTACGAATTTGTACATTTCGAACTTTTGTGCCGGGTAGAACAACATCTCCGTTTATCTATAAAGTAGAGCCCTCCATTAGTGAAAGTAATCGCACATTGTGAAGCCAGAAATATGATTCAAAAAGTTGACCAAATAAGTCTCAAACAGTAGGTCATTGATCAGATATAATCCCACCTTGACCACAGGACCAGCAGAAAAAGATACTCTGAAATCTCTGCCGACATCAATATGAACTTCCTTAACGTGAGATACAATTCGGTTTTCAGGAGGGGCCTCGTTCACAGCCACGACTCTAAATTTTTCTACGTCAGCGCCTTGCTTCGATCTGTCACAGAAAGTTCAAATTAATACTTCTCTGAATTTCAATCTTTTTTAATACAATAGATATATTTATATGTTGTGCATGTGATCATACCTAACCATTATGTAGGCACATGTTCCCATAGAATCAAATTTGACTCCGTCGAAGGTCTGGTAATGAGGATCAGTCACTGCTTTGCAAGTTGCTCGTCTCTAAAGTGGAAATAAAAAGAATATGAAATAGACTATATACGGGAATTGAGTCTGTATTGAACCCCTGGTTAAACTAACTCGATGTGCAAAACCACTCACTCTGATATGTTTCACGCAAGCCCTTGCACCTTCGTCGTTGAATCTACAACGCTGACCTTTCGGACATTTGTCACGTGTTGTACAGACCAGTTCTCCTTCCCCGAGGCAAGTACATTGTACTGTGCAATTGTCATTATTGTATGTGAACCCTGCAACATATGAGGTGGTGTTACATAAACTAGTTGAATGAGAACGAAAAAATTGTGAAGAGCAAAGACTTCGTGTTATAAAAAAAAATAGATAAAATGGTTCGTACCTTTCTCGATATACCGTCCATCAACTTCGCATCCGCATTCTGATTCTGATACGCATACATCTCCAGATAGTAAGTATCCATCATCACAAACACAAGCTGAAATTTTTTAAATCAGATATAAAATCATGAAAACAAGCGTTTAAATAAATTGAACCTAGAATATAAAATTGAAATACTTATAGAAAGTAAAGATCATGGATACTTACTATCAACACATGCAGTTGATACCGCGCCACTTGTAATACATTTCTCTCCATGCTTATCATTGCAAGTAGGTTGACATGGTGATACACAGTTTTCAAAATGTGAATTATCCGAGCACAAAGCGGCTGAAAAATAATAAAAAAGGCTAAAATCTCACAATTATTCTCAAAAATGAATTGATTGACAACATTTATAAATTAAGTCATAAATCCTGACCAATCAACTTAAATCTGTATGATATCCTCATAAGACTCTTTTGTAGCAAGAGTGATCGTAATTTAGTTAAAAACGATTCAAATACCTTCTTCTTCTGGCGTCCTGAAATCCAAATTTCCGGGTGGAACTTCGTCTGAAACAGCTTCTTCTCTGCAATCTTCAGTATAAGATGAAATGATTCTTTCTCTCATTGCTGGGTCACCCTTTGTAGCACACATATCAAAGACACAATCGTTGAATGTTGAATTAGGGCTTGTGATGTCGAAGCAATTTCGAAGCGGACTGTCTGGATCGATCAACAGTTGACAAGACCGTCTGTATTCTTCTAATTGTTCGTGGGATCCACAGAAGTGATCTGGAGTATCGGTGGTTGGATCTTCGCACCTGTGATATTGGTGGAATATGGAATATGGATTGTCATTCAGCATAACAAAATGAGTTAAGTAGCCGCCATGTCAAATTAAATAAACAATAAATTAAAAATTCTTAATATGTACAATAAACAGATTACATTAGCGATTCTAAGATGAATTTACTCTAATAACGATATAAACACTTACCCAGTAGTCTCGTATCCATCCACTCTCCAGCTATTTACAAATTCGTCGATTTCAGTCACCAAAGTACCGTCAGGAGTCATAAAATCGTTGCTTTGATCGTCGTTAAAATCGCCACATACACCTTCCATTGTTCCTTTCAAGCTTGCCCATGCCATAATACGTAATCTACAAATAGTGAGTATATTGAATAAAAAATAATTAAGGTATGCATTATATTTGCATTCGTCCTTGCGTGGCGTGTGTGGTGGAAACTGTTCGTAACCTGGGCACATAGAACATAACACAATCAACAGCAACAAAAAAACTTAGCTCCACATATCCAAATTTGACGAAAGTGTATTAATTTCAGAAGAAACTTAAAAAACTTATATTATGCAAAACGATAATACAGTATTTTGATATACATATCCACTAACATCGGAACAAGAAAACCAAATAGTGATTCTAGATAGTCAAGATGAATAAAAAAGTGCGAGAAGTTCAATTTGGAAATTTTGTAATCATCTCGGCAAAATAAACTTCTTGGAAATAAAGTGTCGCACTTTTAGATATCTTATACATTTTTTGTGGTTACAAAAATTTTCGCGTTATTTTCAAAAAATTTCAATTTTACTGTTTAAGTGTACCTGTCAATGCCATCCCATTTCACTACAAGATCGAAGGGAAATTTGGCAACAAAAAATCTTCCGATTCTTATAAATTCAATATCGTGAAGTGTTGTTCCCGATAAAACACGTTCTCCGTTTACCTACAATAATTAAAAAAGAATTAACAATCGTGTTCAACACTGGGACAAGTTTCTAGGTATTATCAAAAGATTCAAAAATGAGTACGCATTATATTTTATTATTCTATTTTTGTTTGTTCCAATACGCAGGCAGTCACTAATAAGGTATCTGCGGCGCTTGGAGCAAACAAGTTTTGGGTTTGCATAATCTACCAAATTTCTTCCATCGCTGACAAGATTGGAAGGCATAAGTCTAAACCACTGTAAGCATAACTTATAAATAAGACTAAAATGCTGAAGTTTAGCTTATTGCCAAAACAAAGCTAAAAAATCGCTCATAAAAAGTGTTCAGTTTATCTCAAAATTCATAATTCACCAAATTTTAAGAAGCAAACATAGAAAAGTAGTTGAAAGAGAGAACATTTCGCACACAAAAAAACGACTTTGTTATATTTGGATCAAATAGATTATTTTTATGCATATTATTGGTCTGGAAAAAATTTGAAAAATTAAAAAAAACTTAAAATAGTATTTTCAATATTGGAAAAAATATTTGCATTTCGTTCCAAGCATACAAAAAATCTATAGTATCCATTTTGTTAAAAAGACGACAACACTTACAGTAACTACAGGGCCTGCTGTAAATCTAATAGTGATGTCATCTCCCACGTAAATGAAGACCTCTTTGACACTCGATACAGTTTCGTTCACGTTTTTTGGCTTCTCGTTGACCGCTACGATACGGAATGGCGTCACACCTGAATCCTCTTTGGTCCTGTGACGAAATCATTTATTATTGATTAAGTTAATTTAGGTAATTAACATTAAAAGTACGTACGTCATTGTGAATGTCGGACAATATTGCTTCCAAATCCTTTTTTTGTTATTTTGAATGAAAAACTTTAGCGTTGGCAGGGAAAAATAGGAATTTTGTTATAGCAGCGTGGTTAGAATCAATAATTAAATGTATTAGATTGTTTTTCATGATAAAATACCATCTTACTTTGCCATTACGTATGCACATAATCCCATGGAATCGAATCGCACTCCATCAAAAGTCATATAATGAGGATCAGTAACTGCTTTGCAAGTTGCTCGTCTCTGAAATAATAATTAATTGTATTACAGCACTTTGATAAATAAACTGATATACTTGTATAGAATTCAAATTCTAAAAAATTAATATACGGGTTCTATCTAACTATTGGTAGAAAAAAATTATAATTTTCTACAAATCAAGTTTCTTTTGTGTTTTATAATCTTTCTTTCATGAGTATAAAAGAAACAATAAAAAGACTAACGACTAGGTGAAAATTGTGATGCTTTTTAAAATGAATTCGTTAAACGCGTCATGCCAAACGTCATACAAATCAAACTTATTTCTATGTCAAACTTTCCCGTTTTTCGGAGAACAGAAATTCGAACTCAAATAACCTATATAAATCATGAAAACGCCCAATAGGCAAAATTATAGACAAACTGACGCCACATCTGTCAAAATGTGGCGACTTTTTGACTATTACTTTATAATACCTTCCAGAAAAAAACATTCGAGGATAAATCGTAAGTAATCCTCGAATTAAAATAAACATAAAAACAAGACAATGCTTGAATGTAAATCAACAGTTTTAATCCGACAAAACGGATTACATTGCGGGTGAAGCTTCTGGGATTATTAGTTAGATGACCTGTGAGATGTAGCAACTTGAACATTGCCTGCTAGTCTTGGTATGGATAATGGCTTGTAAATCCTTGAAACTACATGAGCTAATTAATTGGCTTTTATCTAATTTCGGAAGCTATGGACAACAGAATGATGACCTCATGTTGTTGGTCATTAATTCTCCTACGCGTAAGAATGTAGCGCAAACACTGAAACCGGGGAGTTGTCGTCCATGTCACAACATTTGCTTAGCATATAGTTTGTCAAAGATAATATTTATTCCTTATAATTTTTGAACTGATAAGAATACCAATAGTTTGCGTACTAACTTTTATCGTATTTTGTAGAGTTAGGAGAACTGATTTACTACCAAAAATAGGTTTTTAGATTAATGTTGGAAATATATCCGTTTTGGGGCTTAGACGATATGCACCTTTTTTCATCGTGACATCAATTTTATCACAACTAAAACGTTGAATCTAAACAGTAAATTCAATATACAGTCCAGTCCAAGGTTAAAGGTTTTTGATTGCGTAACCAATGACACATGTTTTGATAAAATGAAAAATATGGATAGCCAACATATTGTTAACCTGTTTTGAATTTTGCATATTCAGTAAATATATATGAAAAATAAAATGTCATTTCATACCCTGACATGATCTATGCAACCTCTGACCCCTTCATCGTTAACTCTACAACGTTGTCCTACAGGACATCCATCACGTGATGTGCATACCAATTCTCCTTCTCCAAGACAAGAACATTCATTGGTACAGTTGCGATTGAAATATGTGAATCCTGTTTACAATTTCGATGTAAATAATAGTTGATAAAGCCAACTTGGCTACTAACTAAACTAATTATATTTCCATACGGCAAGATTTCGAAAGTGTATCCAGTTCACTCCTTTATACCATTTAATCTATATTACGCCAATTAGGCTTCAGTTGAAAACCGCTTTTGAAGTGTCTCTTTCAATGTTTATACCAATGCAAAAAAGCAAAATAGAAATTCTCCATTCATTCTCAAATTTTTGGAACAATTTTACATCAAAATGAGCCAGATTTATTTTGGCAACTTTGTCGCTGCGTGTAATACGGAAATGTGTAAACAAAATTAGACGCGAAAAACATATTTTGTTAGCAATGATTTAAAAGGAAAAACAACGTCTCACATACATATTACAATATTTTATAAATATTTCATATTTTCTGTTAATAATGATTAATTTAAGATGTTACCTCTCATTTTATCATTATGAATGCTTATATTATTCTGTTACATTCGCCGATTTCACATTATTTTTTTTATAAAATTACTGGCAATGCAAATAATGTAAATATTTTATGGTATGAAAAGCTTGAAATATAATGTTTAATTTCTTAGCTACAAAATTTATTTTGTTTCGTATTTATAATTTTTATTACCATACAAATATTTTCAATTTACAGTTATTTGACCCCGATACAAGTATGACAATGCATGATTGCATATAAAAATGCACACCAACAAAATGAACCCTAAAAAGCAATATACCTTTTTCTACGTAACGTCCTTCTATTTCGCATCCGCATTCAGATTCTGCTATGCAAGCATCACCAGATAAAACATATCCTTCGTCACAAACACAAGCTATAGAAAAAGTGAAGTAAACAGTTTTGTTACGGTAATATTGACTAAATCATTTATAAATATAACTAAATATGTATAAAAGTAGCAAGCAAATGTCTTAGACATATCGTTAGGGGTTGATTAAATTTTTAAAGAAATCTCACCGTCAACGCATGGAGTTGATAAAGAATCGCTTGCAAGACATTTTTCACCATCTTTGTCCGTGCATGTTGCTTGACATGGGGAGGTACAGCTTTCAAAATGAGAATTTTCTCTACACAAAGCAGCTGTGAACAAAGAGATAAGTTTGTATACATAGGAAAAACAAGATATACAGTGACAGAAAACTTTGTGTCATACATAAATACTACTATGTACAATTTTTATGTCATACCATGAATTAACACAAAAAGTAAATACCTTAGATTACCATAGTATCGTTTTCCATAAAAAAAATACTTGAAAAATATTAATATGCATATTAAATATTAGGAAAATAAAACATTTTGTATTTGTTTATTACAATAAAAAATTAAATAAATTTTCAACTATTGGAATAATTTCATATACATATTCCAATTTTTCACATTCTCATGTTAACAATAGCATACGCCAGTACCTTCTTCTTCCGGTGTTCTAAAATTTAAATCTCCAGGAGGGACTTCGTCAGACACTGCATCTTCTCTACAATCTTCAGTATAAGAAGAAATAATTCTTTCTCTCATTGCTGGGTCACCATCGGTAGCACACATGTCGAAAACGCAATCGTTGTAAGACGAATTGGGATTTCGAATTTCGAAACAGTTAACCAAAGGGCTGTCAGGATCGATCAGTACTTTACATTGCTCGCGATACTCTTGTAACTGATCATCAGATCCACAGAAGTGATCAGGCTGCGATGGAAGATCTTCACATCTGTAATGTAAATTCAAAAATAAATAATGTCGGAAGTTTTTATATGAAATAAATTAGACGGGAGTTGTTTCAGACCGTCTTTGTCTATTTTCTGGTCGTTATTAGATCACCCAGCAATTCAGGATTCGGGTGGACAATGCATTACGGAAATGATTTTAAAGTAAGAACTGCGTTGTCCAATGTCAATGTGTGAACCAGATCGCAAGAGGATTTTGGATATTCTCTGTTCAATTTGACACCTCCTGTCCCTTTTCGAGCATTACAGTGTATACTAACACAAATTGTAATATTTATAACAGCAAAAATATAACATACCCTTCCGTTTGATATCCAGGTTCAATCCAGCTGTTAACAAATTCATCAATCTCCGTTACTATTGTACCCTCAGGTGTCATAAAATCGTTGCTCTGATCGTCGTTGAAATCACCACACAGTCCTTCCATCGTTCCTTTTAATCTCGCCCAAGCCATGATTCTCAACCTTTGAAGTGGAATAAAAAACATCTAATTTTCTAGAACAAGAGAATCTATCATTTTCTGGGGCGAAAGAATCTCTCATATTTAGATGCGAGAGAAACTCTCGTATTTGGAAATTTTGTATTTTCGATTGGATCAGGTAAAAATCTATTTTCTTACCTGTCTATTCCGTCCCATCTTATGACAAGTCCAAACGGAAATTCCACCACAAAGAATCTACCAACCATTCTAAACTCGATATCATTTAGAGTTGTCCCAGCTAATACTCGCTCGCTGTTAACCTTGAAAATAATGGCATAAGAATTGAGAAAATGAATAAATTATTCGTAATAATTTCAGTCGGACATTAAAAAATTAAGCAAAATTGTTCTGATAGCTTGAGATTATTATACGATTTCTTGTTATCACACTGCTATAGATGTCATTCAATGCATCTAACAATGTTTCTACTGTAGACAGAAATCGATATTTTATCTGATATGCAGAGTTGTTAGCAAAGTATGAATGCATTGAACCTCATTTACAACAACAGATATTGTTTTGGGTTATGTATTAGTGCTATCGCTTTATCACAATCATATATTAAAAATTATGAAAAAAAGTGTATGTCAAAGCAATGAGAAAAACTTACCGTTACGTTTGGTCCAGCTGTAAATCTAATAACTATGTCATCGCCAATGTACGCATATACTTCTCTCACACTGGAAACGGTTTCGTTGGCGTTTCTTGGTTTTTCATTTACGGCTACAATCCGGAAGGGCGTCACATCCGCGCCTACTTTGCTCCTGAAATACGTAATAAAACCACGATCAAATCATTGGACAAATTTCAACTTATTCTAGAACTAATGAGAAAATAATCTCAAGAACTCAAAACATTCTTACTTCGCCATGACGTAAGCACACAATCCCATAGAATCGAAATTGATTCCATCAAAAGTCAAATAATGTGGATCGGTGACCGCTTTGCATGTTGCTCGTCTCTGCAATAACAATAATTGATTTACTGGAAAGAACAATTAGAGCAATTTGGATTGAACATGGTAGGCAATTTATTTTTATAGCGGATATTATATGACACAATATTGCACTATTCTATACATATTAAAGTATACCCTTGGTCTTGTGAAACATTCAAAATAGCCATCTCCTCTTTGTTGGCATCTGTCTCGATTAAGTTGACATCCGCCAGGAGTAGGCCCGCAGTTCAAATTGTCTGGTCCTTGGCAAACGCAAGTTTGAGTACAATCAGCAATAGCGAATGTAAAGCCTGTTGGAAATGATAAAAAATATGTTAATAATGACATTTACCACTATATACAACATTTCTGGTAACAAGGCTAAAGCGTTGGAATTACGTCACAAATATGATGGCCAAAATAACAAATAATCGTATTTTAATATTAAAAATTTATATTACCAAACAAAAGTTTACAATTTTATCAGTTCGCTATAAATACTATGAAATTTTCAGTAGTTTTTGTTTACGGTATAAAATAGAATACAATAGCGTTTTTGTTTTAATATACCAACTTGAAATAGGTTAGCTTGAAACTGATGAAGTAAATATCTTAGAATACAAAAGTTGATGTTGCCGAACTCTACCTTTCTTTTCATAGCGACCATTAACATTACATCCACAATCTTCAGGTTTTACGCATTCATTACCAGACAAAAGTAATCCATCGGCGCAGACACAACCTTAAAATAAAAAAGCAAGTGTTTTATTCATATTACATTGCCTAAAGAAAGCAGATTCAATCAACTGACCTAAGTAAAAAAAGCAATTCAAACTGTTCAGCATAAATATTTATATGTATATTTTGGAAATGCTCTGCTAGTTGCAATAAACCGACATTAAGTTGCCAATTGGTTGATTAACATCAAACTGATTCGACAAGTATGAATCTTTACCTTCAACACAAGTTTGTCCAAGTCTGTTAGGTTTCTTTTCTCTGCATAGTGAACCAGTAGGATCAGAACAAGTCGGTTGGCATTGCTCCATGCAGCTATTGAACGTACCATCGATACAAGTTTGAGCTGAAATTGAGTTAATTAAAAAATATAACTTGTGTTTTCATAATGACTTTTGCAGTTGAGTTTTGTGCCTGGTGATATTCATATTTCCATTCTGCAGTTATTTCATTTCTGCATGTATAATGGACTGTGAATTAAAACATTATTTACAAAAACTGTGAAACTCGCGATATCAAGAATTTGACCCAGAGATGATATTGCAAACATGTTTATGGCCAATAAGATTCAATAAAATTAATGCTATATTAATATATTTTAACGTACGCATCCCCTCAGTATCTCTCCATTCTTGTGGTCTTCCACTTTCTTCCAAGCAATCGTGAGTGTAAGATGCAAATGTTCTTTCTTTTATCGTGTTATTTCCATTATAAGCGCATAGATCGTAAACGCAATCCCTTGCAGCTTTGACTGGATCTACATATTGGTGACAGGAAGCGAACGATCCTTTTGGATCAGTTAAAGCCCTGCATTCTTCTTGGTACCAAGCAAGTGAAATAGTATCGGTGCATGGTGGCTGCGGAATCTCAGTGCCGGGATGGTCGAAACATCTGTCGATCAAAAGCGGAATGTTATATATATAAGTGCTAGTAAATATGCCAAATGAAAACAAGCAGAATAAAGACCAGGAATCACAAAAACGATACGTATGCTTGGCTTTGTTTAAAATAAACTTGATTTGATTATTATATATTGAACAGAGATTGAACAATTTGATAATTTCAAAACCACCATTTTATATAAAATTTCGTATTTAATTTTGAAATAGAAATATGCACAATACACAATACACAATACACAATACACAATACACAAATATACACAAATTTTCAAATACCAAAATTTTACGAAATGAACGTAGACTCAAAAAAAATCTTATTCACCCTTCTGTTCCGTATCCCTCGATTCTCCAGCTTTCAGCAAACGATCCGGGATCAGGTAGATTTTCTTCTGTTGGTCTGACGGCAAAATCATTGTCAGGATTGTCGTCAAAATCGCCACACAAACCTTCAACCATATAACGAAGCGGAGACCAAGCAGTGATACGAAGTCTGATAAGAATTAATGTAATATTCATGGTTCAAAATAGGTTTCAGTAATTTACTATATTCATGGGATGCTGGAAATATTTGAATTTAGTTAATTTATTTGTTCAAAATTTATGATTCAAGCTAAATTTTTAAGTTATTATATCTGTCTTGCAATAAGCTTTTTTGTTTGCTCCATTACAATCACTGATTTTGTCCCTCGTAATTTTAGCTAGTAATACGAAGAATTTTGGATAACTTTTAGGTTAAAATTTTGATCTTTAACATATTTTTTTCAAGCAGTATGATAAAAATAGTATTACCTATCCACACCGTCCCATCTGACCACAATTCCGAAATGAAAATCGGCTACGACAAATTGTCCAACTCTTCTAACATCAACGCCATGTAAACTGCTTCCGGGGTTAATGACTTTGTCGTCAAGCTACGCAATAAAACAATGAATTCGTACAAATTACCTGATTTAATTTCTGAAATTAGATGAATGGAGTTGCATTCGATCGGGTGCAACTCATCAATCATCTCGCCCATGCCTTAAGTAATTGGTTATTTCATGATACTAAATTTCCCGATGCTTGACAGTTTGTGAAATTCAACTGACCAATAGTATGGAGACTCGATCAAGTTGGTTCATTACGTCTCGTACAACATATGTTGATTGAATTTTAAAAATTTTAAAACTGAATCGCTCTCATGATGAATCGATTAGTATAAGAACAGCTTACAAAAAGCATATAATAAATAGGTACTTTATACTCGATGATTTGGTAGCAAACAATATACTTACAATTACTATTGGCCCTCTCAAGAACGTCAAAGTATGTCCGTCGCCAAAGTGAACGTGAACTTCCTTCACGTGTGTTGCATTTGCGTTTACTGTGGATTGTTCATTCACTGAGATCACAGTGAACGCTGTTGCTTTGGTTGCGTTTCGTTTTGACCTAAATTCGAATAGTTGGATGAGTTTGTACAAAAACTTTACTTTCATATTTTATGTTATAACAATAGGAGAAGCCATGCAGAAGGGGTAATTTGAACGATCGGAACCAGCACCACACTCGAGCAGAATGCAACGGGACAATGCTATTCGATTGCAATGTTTTTAAAATCAGAAAATCTGACGTCAGATATATTAGAAAGTGATCAATAAGTAATCAAATCAGTTAACGAGAAATGATGTTGTGTGCAACAACATGAATACTTTCTTACCTGACCATAATGTACGCGCATGTTCCCATTGAATCAAATTTAGTCCCGTCGAATGTTTGATAATGGGGATCAGTCACTGCCTTGCACGTTGCACGATTCTACAAACAGATTAGATATAATTTATATTTAGTTTATTACTTGCTATTCAATGCAAAGATACAAGCCACTTGGTTTCCTGGATGCGACATGCAGTGAAAATTTTATTAAAACATGGATTTATATATACCTACCAAATAATTTAATCAAGTATATAACATTGGGTAGTTCATATTAAATTTGTTGAATATTTACGACCCTGAGGCTAGAATATTATAAAAATGAATATTCGGTAGTCGCATTATCAATCTCCATCTAAACAAAAAAAATTCCGTATCAAACTATACCTGGTATCTGAATAAACAGATAAAGACAGTAACACCGTCATGTAAATGCAAAATTTCTTGGTAATTTCACCAAACAGTAAACAAATCAAAATTAAACTGCGGATGACAAGCGGTTTTGTGCACGTTGACTGAATAATCTCAGTAATCAAAAGTTTTGTCATAATATACCTGTATAATTGAATTATAAGTTCTTACCCTCAACTTTTCGATACAACGATGAAATCCATCAGTTCCTTTCGTACAATTAGCGCGACGACTGCATGGATCTACGTCTTTGCAGCCCTCACCACATATACATTGTCTTTTGCAGCCTTCTAGTCTGTATGTGAATCCTGGAACGATGTAGAAAAAGTTTGAAATGCTAAATTCGTTTATTATTCAGAAAGTTGTACGTTGAGATCAAGATTTTATTGCTTGGTGCCTATCAGTGCTCTTTTTTGGACTTGCAAATGTTATCCAAATTTTCAAAATATGTTTTTATATCGATTATTTTTTTGGTGGAACGAAGAATCAGAGACACAAATTTTTTTCGACATTGATACACTCTGATGAAATTTTAAATACCGCTGCGTCATCTATCATTTCGTTTACCACACAAATTCCAAGATTCTACACCGATATCAAAAATTAAATCCCAAGTATGTCAGCATGTCACGTTTTTTTTATAGTTGCATGGTACATTATTAGTCAGTGTTTTAGACCCCAATTATATATTTCGATGACAAGAAACCTTGTTACCTAAATGAGTCACAATACAATCTTAATCACATCTCATTAATGATTGAAAGTGTCATAATATAAAAAGATATGACCTTTATAAACTAGAGTCAAATAGCAGTAATTGAATAATAGATTGACCCTTCTATCTACTTTATAAATGTCGATGTGATTTTTTATAATACGAAATTAATAAACTCATTTGTATTGATCTGAACCCCTTCAAAGTCCTGATTTTGATAAAGACCTGGCGACTAAAACACGAAACAAACACGTGGCAGTGCTTCGATTCCATACAAAAAAAAATTGTGGTGAATATTCTATAAACGCAGCAAGTTAACGATACTATTAATTTGAATTAAAAAAGTTTACATACAATAGGCTTCAACATAGCAGAAGAAAAATCAAGACAATAACAGTTATTATTTGATGGGAGACCAATAATTGAAACTGATCGATTTGACGATTTAAAATACGGTAGCGTAAAATAGTTACCGTACCTGGATATCCTATCCATAATTTTATGAAACACGAAACCTTTGCTTTAGCGGTTTTCGGTCGTTTGGTATTTTTTAACAAAAGAATATAAATGCCAATTCATTAGAAAGTTTCGATACTATGTTTTCTCCTTTAAATCACGTTACTTTATCTGACGGGTGATAACATCTTGTCTATTGTTATTCATGATGCCTGTATTTGGTAATTGAGTCGATTTTAACCACTAGTCTAGTGCGTCACCTAATAGTCAAAGTAATATCCAGTATCTAGGGATTTAACAACTATATGCCGCAATTTTGACGTCATAATCATCCAAAGACTGACAAACGAATATCGCTAGCACAACAGTTTTGGGCCGGTGGTGATTTCTATTTACTTAGTTGTATATGAACCCATAAATTTAATCCACGGAGGAGTAAGAATTGAAAACACATGATTGAACAAAAATGGTATTCAGTTGTGACCATGGGGATTATTAAAATATGTAATACCATATTTATGGTGACAAATACCATTTAATCTGTAATACAAAAAATTAAATTGAGTCAATATACCACATGATGTGAAAGAAACATAATAGTTTCATAACATTGATATGTGATGATATTTTTCACGTTATCATTTCTTCGAACAGAAACGTAGTAATCATGAATATAGAAGTTCAACTCTGATAGTTTCCCAGTACGCAAACCTTTTGCAGGGTAATGTAGTTCCAGAGTTAAGAAATCCAGAGTTAAGAAAAAATAAAATCAGTATGTTCAGTGGAATATTTAAAATCAACTTCGCGTAAAACTAATCAGGCGATCATGACAATGAAAAGCACTAAAAATCTTACCTTTGGGATAATAGATATCATTGATAATGCATCCACACTCTGATTCAGGAACACAGACACTTCCAGATAATATGTATCCCTTGTTACAAACACATCCTGCAGAACAGATACATTCGGTTAATTGGATAGTTCGCTGCCTGACAAGAAAAATACAAATATGCTATTTTCCAAATCCATACCTTCAATGCAACTATCTGATGGTGTAGGACTGATAGTAGATATCGAATCGGCACACGTAGCGGGAACTGTGGGTGCACATCTTTCGTAGTGAGAATTTGGTTCACATTCAATTGCTGTAATAAAAAGATATCCGTTGTTATATAACTATATAACTCAGGTATTTGAACAAAGAGGAAAATCACGCACAAATTCCCAACTGCACTCTCCAGTCACAAACTGTAATTGACTCTCGTTGACAAGCATCCGCATACGCTCTCACGAGAACGTCCAAAGCGGTGAAGTCATCAGCAGATTGGCAGAGTACATTGACGCAATTCTGTAACAAAAATCAGATTTTTACTTCAAGACCACTTATCAGGGTAAATGTCAGCGAAATGTTCAAAATTCTACGCACCTCATAAAAGTTCTTTGGCTCAATTACGTCATGGCACAATGCAAAGCACCCTTGGTCGCTTTTGTCAGTGATGATGCCGCATTGTGAGATAGCCTTGCTCAATTCACTTTCGCTACAAACCGGTTCGTCTCTTAGTTGTTGAATACCGTTATTACATCTGTACATAGTTAATGTATTGAATTAATTTGGAAAATGGTAAACAAAAGTAGACCAGTCTATATGGCAATACTAATTGTGGAAGAGCGAGCCTGTTGAGTTTCCTGTCAAGGCATTACATCTGAAAATTACAAAACCGCGACAAAAGATGAATTATTTTTAAACTTGTAATCCTTAGAGTGTTCTCTTGTTAGATGTTAAGTTATTTAAATGAGTAATTATATAGGAATGTAAAACCTTAAAAATGTAATAAGCACTGCCCAATAGAACGTCACACTTGTTTAGGCTTAAAACAAATGAGTTTTATTGTTTTGACAAAATAAAGGGTAATAATATAATTCTTCTTAGCAACGGATTTAGGCGTAACAAATCACAAATCCGATAATATGGTATTTTAAACAAACTACGTAAATGTATGATTAATATGTGGTTTTAATTCAATAATAATTTCTATACACGCTGAAAGTTTCACAGGATTAAAATTTTTATTCGGTGATTATTTACTTCTCTACCTTGGACCGATTGGCGTAAAGTATAAAGAATTTGCTACCGACTATAATGCATAAACAACTCACGAATAATACGCGATTACTACTTGATTATTCAAGTTCACTAGGAAAATATTATACAGGTAGTCCTCGACTTACGACGTTGTTCCGTTCTTGAGACGTGGTGTAACCCGAATTTCAGTGTAAGTCGGAACATTATACTGTACAGTACATAAATTACTCTATACATATCGTACTGTATTGTAAAGTATGGCACAGTAATAAAATGTACAAATAATGCAAAAAGTACGATTTAAATGAGGAAAACCAATGAGCCCACAGAACTGATTTTCTTGATCACAATTATCCAGTTTAAGGGCTTAGATATTACAGTACAGAATTATATTTTATATTTTTTTGGAAGTGCGTTCGTAACCTCGAAACAGGGTAAGTCGCGACCGTCGTAACCCGAGGACTCCCTGTATACTTATATTTCAAAAGTTTTTTCGACCCGTCTGGCGCAAAAGACTTCAATTATTAAAAGTGCATTTATCTACGTTCGAATTACTCTCGTAAACTAACGAAATTGTGTATGAATAAATGTGTCCTATAGTTAGTACATATCTGTTGGCCAAATTTTCACTCCAAGTCAAATCAAAAGTTCAGTACTGCAATGCGCGATACCTTCCATTTTGTCATTGGCATGATTGTTTTCAACTGATTTAATAAAGTAGTAACGTTCGCATTGCAGTGTTCAAAAGTTTGTTTCATGTCATATAATAAAATACCGCCACTTACTTTCCCCCTTCTTCATCTATTTGGAAACTAGCAGCTAATTCTGCTTCGTTACTTGCAATTTGAATACCACCACGCATAGATAAATCATCCATAGATTCACCATTGAAGTTTCCGCATAAACCTATAGATACGTAAGTATCATAATATTGTGTCAAAAGCCGTGGTATTATCACGTAATAATTTTACGCAACTTGGTCTAGACTAGCTATTGTACAGTTACGACACAAGAAGAAAATGCCATGAACGTGACATACGTAACTTGTAATAAGAGAACGCCTATATATATAAATGTAAAAATATTATCTAAAATTAAAAAAATAAGACATCAGGGCGCTAACCTTCAACTTGTCCTGCGTAAATTTGAGGTAACTGTACAGATAGGGTCCCGTCGTCGATGTGAATACGTAGAGCGAGAGATATTCCGATGTTAATTCCACGCCCGCTTTTTTCCACACGCAACCCTGATCTCAAACGGATAGGCAAGCTTACAGCCACGCCGTCAAGCTGCAAAAATGATGCAATGAGAATAAATAACAACCTTGACGAGTTAAAAGGCTTAAGATATTGTATACGTACACCTGATACTGTGTAAATTTATCATGACTTGGGCGGTAGAATTTCGTATATATAATGGGTCAGTTAACACTGTAACAATTGGCGACTGCATCAACCCTGGTGTAATTTCCAATTATAAAAGCACCCTTTTCTTACGTAAACGTTTCTTTTCCCATCAATTGTGACTGTTTGATTATACACATTAACTTCTAGAGTCCCGATACGGACTGCTGTATTAGCTGCTGGAGTCTCTTCATTCGCAAGCTGTGAAAAATTAGAAAAATTCTGATATATTTGTCTGGATGGCAATATGATAGATTAGTTCAAACTTTCGGACAAGACAGTCTGGTGATTCTCATATACATCAGCAAAACAACGTTTACTTGGCATCAAAGAATTAAATTTATACCTAATTTTGACTGGCATTATAAAACTCTTTTAAGCATTTTAAAATAATGCGTTTTAGAACGTTGAACATATGGCACTGTATATATATATGTTTTAGCCGATATAAAAAATTGAATAATATCTCACTAAAACACTGAAAGGTGTAAGTCCAGCTGTAGGCGAAGGTATCGTTCCAATGAGTTGATATTTACACATTCCATAGAAATTATATCTGGCTTTGTCGAATGTGATGAAATGAGAACCTCCAACTACTGCACAAAACGAGGTTGCTGAAACAACAAATGTTCGGTTATTATATGATTAAAATATTTTGATAGAGAAAATAAAACATCAGTAAGATGACTATTTGAAAGTCCCACATCACAGACTGAACTATCAGATTTGAATATTAAAAATCAATACACAAAGATATGGTACGAGTAAATAGTATCCTGGTCAAGTACGCGTTCCTTCTTATGACATACGCCCTAAAAATAGCAATTTATAGCTTGATTTATCGTTTTATGCATACCTATACCGTAAAATATTACGTTATGCCCACTTTTTGGGGAAAAGAAAATAATTCCATTCGCATATTCAATTATTTAACGAAGGCACAAACTATTTTTGTTATGAAATACGCGCGTAATCTTCTAGGCGCCGCTTTATCCGACGTATAGAACAAAATATTTACATATTATGTGAATTTTGGCACTCGTTTGATAATATTTGCTAAAATATAATCAATTACAGAAACAAATGGAGACTTTTGGATTTAACACACTCCCAGATTATAAAATATCAATCCAAATTAAGTCTATAATCTGCACGATATGTGACAGAGTGGGCCCAAATGCAAGTTCAAAAACTTTGTTAGGTTTACATTCCTATGCCAGTAATTTTAGGAATTGCCAAAAGTGAGTAATATGCGTGTAATCAAGTGGTGGTTAGTTGGTAAACCAAATTTATGTTGTGGCTGAGTGGTTTCTAGACTTCAAGCTTTAATAAACCTCATCTTATTATCAATGTGTCATGCTTTATTTAAAAGATGTGCAACTACGCAATTCAAGTAATCTTGTGGCTTTCTCTCAGAGCGTGTCAAAAGGTAATTGTGAAATTTCAATCAAAATAGATTTGGCATTACCTTTTGGAACTTCGACTGTGATGCAAATCTGTTCCGACAGAACTCTAAAAATAAAAGCCAATTGTTGAAAACCAAGTAGAAACTCGATTGGAGTCAGACTGTAGAATCTATTGATAAGTGAATTTATTTCGAAAGCCATACAAAGAACGCTATAATATAAAGAGTTTTTGAAAATGAGTAAAATTATGTAATGGACCAATATAAAGTGAATTACATTTTTCGTTGCTAGTATTCAACTTTCTGTCATTGTTTTAAATTATTTTTTTGATTGAGTGATGCTGTTTTTACAGCATCAGTTCACTGACGAACACAACAAGTATCTCAAAAACATCGCTATATTCAACGATCAACATTTAGAAAAAGAAACGAGTCAAAATGTAGGAAGATGCTTTAAGTAAATAGCAATTTATATGGAAATATTATAATTGATAATAGCACAAAGTGAATATTAAATGCAAACCCATTTGAACTTCTTCCTGTCACACAGATGAGATTCGAACCGTCTTGTGCTGGTTCGGGTGTCCAAGTAATCTCGGTATGATAGACTTCACCGACTTTCAAAATTGGCGATTTTCTTACTCCAATCGGAGCGATTAAAATGAAGTCGTCAATGCTGGGAAGGAATTAAACAGTAAAGAATGTTAAACGCCCAATTAGTGACCTCTTGGCGACACATTACCACCAAACAAATGTACGATTAGCTGGACTTCTTTATAAACAATTTATAGATAATCGGAGATTGGTATGACCAATTAGTGGTCACATTACGAAGGCAATGTTGAAATGATGTGCAGAACACAATGAATTAATTGTATTTAAAATAAATAAACGGTATCTAATGATTCGGATGAGTCAGGTAAACCCAGTTGTTATTAGACGCTTCAAGTTTCACATTTAATTCGCATGATACATAAATACACATATTTGACAGCCATCGTCGACTCCACTACCCTTTCAATAGTCCCGTCAGTCCGATTACTCTGGATAGAACTATTGCAGAGATGGCGAACCATTGTCCCACCATACCATAGTCCGCCAATATACAAGTTGATGCAAAAAACATTCCAACATTTTAGTGATAGAAATTGATAGTAAAACCACTTGGAATGCGGTTTGAAAAACAAAATTTTATAGACTTGAATGAACGACTACAAAAATCTGAAAAGTCAATCCAAAAAGTATATTTTCCTTAAAGTGGAATAATTTTACTACAAACTCTTTTGACACCATGATGAGGGGTAGCAATATAAAGGCTTTTAGTAATACATTTACATTTTCATTTCAGTTATTATTCATTTATTTCCGATTGATTATTTATCTATGACCCACTGTCTTCCTTTATGACAACAAAAAGGTAAATTTTGACCTATCCAATAGGACAGGTTTGCCATCCTTGCCATTGTTCAGCGACACAAACTCATATATACAATACTCGGAGATTCATTAATTGACTCACACAGAAAATACGCATGTAATTTCTGACAGTTCATAATTCACGGTTCCGGTACCCTGGTACTCATTTATCATGAGAATAACCCTATATTAAATTTGCCGGTGCAGATATTATATACTACTTTGAAGTTACTTATATGACAGGTAATTTAATGTAAAGTGGGTTAGGTTAGAATAGGAGACCACTTAGTTCTGGTGGTTTTGTAAAATGTATTCTGAGAAGTAGAGATTTCACCAAAAGAATATCTTTATTTAATCAGACAAATAATAATATGCTACAAATTTATCTCCCCTGAATTTATTAGTGAATTGATGAGTGATCAACTGTAAAGGTATATGTAATTATTATCATATAAGTTCGTATAAAGTTGAGCACACATATAATTATCACGTTTGTTCTATCACGAAATAAAGTAAATTGAAATACCATTGCGGATAACATGTGGTGTGGGAAATGCTAAGACTCAATTAAATTTTAACGAAAGCGCAATATGAAAAAGAATCGGGTACATTGCTTCTGTAAATAATTACATTAAAAAAGTTGCCCGGCTAGTTATGATGCCGTATGGTTTGATAGAACGTGAGGACAGAACGAGATAAAGTATTCAAGTATAAAATCACTGTTTTTTTTCAGTAAACTACCAAAAATGTTCAAAATTGCACTAAACGATCCTACACAGCAATAATTTTAGGTTGAAACGGTTTGTATAGTAAAAAGAATCACATATCTGTATTTAACCTAACCACAAAGTTGATGTCTATTAGTTTTTACATTATAAATTAGTTGCGTTTATAAAATTCCGTGAACTACGTAAATGAAATTATTGATCGATTAATACAGCATACCTGCTAGTCGCGTCACACGGTGTGCTCGTTACTGTGAAAGTGAAATTGCGACCTGGTCTGACCTTTACTGGAATCTCTGGTGGAATTGATGTTTCAATCATTGGTTTTGCAAAACACAATTTTGGTGGATCTTTGACTGGAAATTTGAAAAGTATTGTCAGATACGGGTTGAAATTTACACAACGTATAATACAAAAAATTATGACTTTATTTCATTAAATTATTGGAATGCTTTGAAAGTTACGATACAGTATTCAATTAGCAATGGAAAAAGCTGAATTGAATCTTTCTGCTCTATTTCCAGGGTAGCATAGATCCATAGAACATAACCTGGTGAGGCGTTCCATCGACTGTCAGTCTGTAATTATATCCAAACGCTTTATTTATTAGCTGAGCTTATTGCAATGAAAACACAATTGCAGGTACTGTACAGTGCAAATTGGGCAACGATGTGATACACGCTTTACCCGGAATACGCAATACCCGCCGGGAACGTATTTTAATGCACTATAGAAATCGAAGATAATTTAATTAATAAAGCAGTGAAGGTTAAAAGATATCACCTATTCCAGAATAAGCAAAATGACAAATTTGCCAAGCACGCAAGTTTCTGTCGAGCATGTAATATAAATGCTTTAAAGGCTTATTGCAAATGACGTTATTTACTTAGTTGTGTATGAGTTGAAAATATGAAGTAATACGATATTGGCCAGCAGCAAGTCGTGCTAGCAGGTCGGGCATTAACATACACAGCAGTGGATAATTTCCGCGACAATAATTAATGAAAATATGGTAAGAAAATAATCTGAGTAAATGATAATCCGACATATTTTATATAATGTTTGATTGATATGACGCAAATATGACAATGGGTCGCCAAATATTGGTATGTCATTAACGAAAATTATGTTCGCGTTTCCTTTTGAATTGTGAAACTGTTGTCAATTAGTTAATTAATGGTCCGAAAATTCATGGCTTCACCATATTATCTACAAAAATTACGAACAAATGATACTTTTCCTAGACAGTTAACTAATTTATTCTCAAATCCTCTTTATTTTAAATTGTATGGTCAAAGTCTCCAGTTTATCAACCGATATACGACAAGTATATATAATAGTATATGAGTAATCGTTTTAGAATTTACACAAAAATTTTGCCTATTGACTGTTTATTTTAGTATCGTAAAAGCAAGCACAAATACAACATAAACGAGGTTGTAATGACATGTGGCGTTACTGCCTTGTGTTCGTTCTCAAATCACAAACTTATCTCAAGCTCAAAAACATGTTTGTCTCCAAATTGTACGAACAAAGTTGTTAAAACAGATTTCATTACATACTATTTTATCTTTTGTATACTCGTAGTTTTAAGTACCTGAGGCGTCTAATTGGGATTGAATAAGTTCACCAGCATGATGACATCATTTACCTATTCAAACCTCATCAGTCTATATTACAATAAGAAGCATATATTTATCAAAAACTTACGGACAACTATAAACTGTACTGGGACTGTACTAAGAGCATCTGACATCATAAAATTTTTCTTTCCCATTGTAATTCCATCATTCGATCTGTGATGATCCTCTACCATGATAGCAACAGGAATTTTACCCGTTGTATTTGACGCAGGTGTATAACGGATCAAGCAGTTTTCCTGGTAAAAAAAAAATGGAGACTTAAAATAAAAGTAAATCTTTAAAATGGGGATTCAGGATTACTTTGAATAAATATAGTTTAATTTTTGGGCCGTTCAAAAATGCATACACCTCGTTTTTCGCATTTTCGAAATTACAAAATAAATAAATACGAAATATGAAATTAAATCAAAATGAACTAATGTGTGTACTATGTTTTGAATGAATATCCGCCGGAATAACAAATGAACATCGTTGTGGAAGTTTTGGAATGTGCTTGTATTATTGATCGAGTGTATTAGTCCCATAGTAAGAGAGTCGATATAGCAAGATGTGATACAAACCTCGTCTAAAGTAAATTCAGAAAACAGAGAGCAAATTGTTCCACATTCTCCTACATGTCTTCCCAGTCGACACGTGACTTTGTCTCCGTCTGAGTCTCTGACAGCCAAATCGATGACATCTGGAACTCCCGCTCGTAATCTGCCAAAATATCATAGAAATACATTAAGCAAAATTATTTAAATTCGTTACGAAACTTAGTAGTAAATGTACTGATTTAAATTATTGATTTAAACAAACTTGCAGCTTGTTTATTAAATTCACATCACCAAATGATGGCGATTTAAAAATGCACCGTATACGAACAATGGTAGCGACTAAACTATAAAGAAAAATTAAATATAGGAATAATTGTGATAATACAATTACATGATTTATAAAATTGACTAGCAACAACTCATTGCTACTATCGCCTCATCAGTCGTGGATGATCACACAAAAAGTTTTGAATATTACGAAATAAAATTTGGTAAAATTGTAGGCAAGTATCTAGCAATGAGTCACTGAGGCATGTCTGCTCATGGTATCATTTCTATTTCAGGTAAGGTCAGGTTTCCAATGATATTATCTTGCTAAAGGTGAGTTTAAATTTTAAACCCATAACTAACATTATAATACCGTTAGTATTATTTTCATCATCTCTTACCTAAAAGGTTAGATTGTACATAATAAATATCAAATAAATCCTACATAATAGATCATAAATATCATCACTTGTTTAAAAGGTTTCCTGGCATTTTATAATAACCCATTGTAAAACGCGGATTTGTTTGTTGTGAAGGTTACATTTATAACAATCGATTCTAAATATGACTGTTTTATCACGTTAGTCAAATTTGAAGGTTATCAAACCCTGCGACTCTCTTGCACAACAATATCCTGTTGTCAATATCCAATCGTTGTCAGGCAATAAATTCAACTTAATGTCTTAAACCGGTATCATGACGTCATTGGTGCAAAATTCAAATCGAACTAACCCGACATTGTAGTTTAATTAATGATATGGTGATACGATGATATGGCCAACGAAGCTAAGCTGCAGCATTGTGTACGCCAATCTACAGACGCACCTTTACAAAATAATTTCAAAATCTCCGGCTTATGTGCAACGGAAGCTTGCTTTTTGAAAAATTTTCAGACAGTATTAATGGTTAGGTTATCCATTTCTTGGAGATCACCTGCGTGAACCGAATACTGGAAGTATAATACCGAATGACGCACGTTATTCGCATTTCCTCAAACCACGTACAATAGCATTTATTGAGTATCTCACTTCCGGTTAGATGCAATTGATTTGAAGTTCGTCCAACAAATCAATCACCCTGTCTGCTATGACGTCATTGATGTTGCCAGAGTGACATTATGGCAGTTTGATTAACTTTCTATCCATAAAAGTGCGTCATGACTACATGTAAATCTTTACTTCCGTTTCATCGCCGAGACCCCGAAAAACGCAAATTAGCGAAATAAGTAAAGTAGCCAAAACAATCTACATGATTTCGTAAGCCATCGTCAATAAAACACGACGGAAACTCAAGATTATTGGAAGTTTCCTCTAGACGTGACAAAATGTCGACATGCTCATGTCAGCATGATGGATGTAATATGTTCAAACATGCATTGAATTTGCTTTCGTTCGCGGAATTCACATCGCAAGCACATTTTTGTGGCGAGTTTCCGACCAAGTATCTGTGGAAGAAATCCAGAGCCATTTGGGTTAGAAAATTGAATTTATAACTTTTACTTATTTATTGCAAGAAACTTTTCATAATCTCAAAATATTGTAATTTTACCTTAATTGCTAGTGGCCATACAGCAATACAACAAACTTTCCCTTTTGTTAACATAGGTGGCAAAATATTTACGTGCGTCATTAACTAACGATTTGGCTTCATTTTGAGAATGTTTATTCACTTTTCTATAACGTTGTAGTTTCGCCAGTAAACAAGCAAATTTATGCTAATGTGGATGCGAGTGGAGGACGCTTGTTGCTTTTATGCTAATCCGTAACAGATAAATTCACAATTGGTAAATGGTAATTTTGTTGAAACTAATGTAATATGCCTCATATCAGTTTTGCATTTATCTGTTATCTAAAATTTCTTTGAGACCCCACGTCAAAAACTTAGAATAAAATAGGCAGATATAAAATATATTAAATGGCGACTTAATTTGACAAATCTAGAGAGTACTAACAAAACACCAATATTTCGTTTTTTACTCTTTAACTTGTTCTTGTCGTTACTTTTAACGGATTGAACTAATTTGATCACTTTTGATTTCTCATCATATTCTAAGTTTTGAATAACTACGCCATTAGATAATAAATTTCGGGATTATTAATTATTGCACTAAATACTTTAATTTACACGCAACTTTTTGAGAAATTGAGTCTAAAACTTGTTTTTACGTTATCATGCTAGAGTGACTAGACGTTATCTTACGTTATCATTGGAGCCATTGCTGTGACTGGTGAAGAGTTGGGTCCCCCAGTATCAGACCGGATTCCTAAATTTAATGTGGTGGTAAGAGCCCATTCTCCTCCGGCACCGACCACTAAATCTGTTAGCCAACAGCATTCCATATATGATATTTCAATTGGACCATCGTCTTCGAAAACCTTTTTAAAAGTATTACTTCCAAACATCCAATCTTCACCAAGATTAAATTCTGTACATTTTTCTCCTGCAAAAATAAAATGCATTAATTAAATTTATATATTGCCAATATGTCTTCTTCAATCAAGATTTTTTTAATTGAATTGTGCAACTTCTTGCAGTCACCATCATCAATTATATCAATCTTATTTTTTATAATATTGAAGACTACAATTCATCAATTCTTTTTGAAAATTTGGTTTGCTTAATTGTGTTGTGCATCACAATTTTCCCCTTGAAATCGTATGCTGTCTTTTGCAGCGTCGTGATATTGCATTTGGGCAGCACATTTTGATTTATACGGTTAATTTTTTTAATAATAAATACTATGAATAATCTGTCTGTGCTTCGAAGATTTGTTGTGCAAACTTGAAACCTCATTAAATTTATTCAATTGACAAAAAATTGGAAAAAAATACTTCATAATTAATTGTTTTGAATGAAAAATTATATAATTTCACGCCAACACGCTGGTGGAGATAGACGATCAAACGCCATATTCTTAATAGATTTGGTAAATAATGTGATACCCAAAGACACACATAGTTCTCAGAAAGGCGATGTGATTTGGAAAAAGATTTGCAAAGTTTTATGATTTGGTGACAACATATCAGTATAAATTACATTTTAAGCGACGGTAAATTTATACAACGGAAATTTATTTGATGTTTCCAACCCATCATTTGTGCACCCATGCTATTTTATCAAATTATTTGATTAATGGTAAAAGTAAGATCCAATTTCCATTTTTTGTGAAATTATGTATTATATTAAAATTGTTTGCGGTGTAAAAATTGGCATAATGTTCTACATAAACTATTAAATACAGATCCGATAACATTCCAGTCTAACTAAATTCATATCTTATTTAAACGATAATACAGCAATTGAAAAGAATGATGTGAATGTAAGAAGGAATCTTTTCAGTGTGACAATATAAATAATCATATGACATACTCTAACATCGATGTGAACAATCATTCATTAAGTATGTGGCCGTGAATTCCTAACAACAATGCAGATTTTTATCATCAATGTGAGATTGTTTTTGCCACAAGAATTGTATGTTTTTATTGTTGTCGAAAGCTGTCGGTTTACGGTCAAAATTATAATCGGCTTGAGGAGTCATTAATACTCTTATAACGTGACGATAGGTTGAGTACTTTCCGATAATACTGCTAAAAATAAATTATATATGAACTAAAAATTTTAATTCATTTTTCTTCATTAAAAATTGTTTATTCCATATAATCAGCAAAATACAGAATATCCCGGAATTTATTAAATTATCCATCCAATAACAATATTTATTAATTTTTAATAACTGTACTTTTGGGAAATTTTCCATGACGTTGATAATAAAAAAGTTAAGTTTAACTTAAGTTGTCACTATAATTTAATTTCGACAATGCAAGATATTAATATATTGACAGGTGTTGATGTAGATATTAACATTTAACTAGTTAATCTTTTGATCGTGTAGGCTATTTAAACTTTGATTGGCACATTTGCATAAAAGCTTCAAATACTGTTTAGCTATCAAATACGAATTACTTCTGATTCATACGTGGACGAATCTAATTATTTGCTTAAATTCAAATTTACCTAGTTTATAAATCCTTAACATTTTGTAAGACGAGCAATATGCACAAGTTACATTTTGACCTTCGTAATTCGAAGTTTAAAGTGAGTTGATATTTATATCTTATTACTAAATAGCATATAACGTTAATGGGGTTCGTCAGACCGGTATATTAATTCATTTTTTTTCAAATCCAATGAATAATAGAAAATCCGACAATTATTTGATCATTTTTATGAACTTTTAAATATAAATTTTAGACGAACGGATTTTACAACATTGCTTATGTAAATGTAGGATATCTGAATCAATTGGGGTATTAAAAATAATATAAAATGGAGGGACCTCTTCAAACAAAATGGTTGTTATCTGCAAGTTCATTACGCAATTGTCAAATAGAGATTGAGAGAAAAGGTTTATTCTTTGTAAATGATAAAATCATGGTCAATATTTTAATGAAAACAAGATAATCAGGATATGTTTGTTATGTATTTTGTACCAAATTCAAGATCAAATCTCATTGTTACATCACCTAATACAATAACCCGCCATGGCCGTCTCTTTACGATGTCATAATCGAGCTTGTCACAAAGAAGGCAATATTCAAGGACAGTTTATTGCTGTTTATTTAGTTATAGGCTCCAATGTTGCTATAAATATCCAAACAACTGACTCACATAAATAGGTTGCATGAGATGGCTAGAAGTTGAATCCTATTTCAATAAGATGAGTAGTTTCTTATCGACATGAAGTTTGAACAAATCAAGCCTTTTAAGGAGATATGTTAATATGAAAACACTTACGGGTCGAAGCAACGACTCCTGAACACCCAAACATACAGAACCATCGCGCGTCTTCACCGACCAATGTTCCAGAAGTAATCGTTCGTTCATCACATCCAATTCTGGACAGTCGCCACCCCAATTTGAAAGTAAATATCACCTAAAACAAGAAATATATGATCAATCAATACATTTAGCTATATAAATTGAAAACCATTTGTATAATCGTTTATTGTTGTCAAATATAAGCAGGAAATAAAATGGGACAATGGTGTTTTTCTAGTTTTTGGTTTAGTTCATATCAGTTGATATAATGAGCGGGTGCCATTCACTGCGTTGTCTTGCGGTAATCGAGATGCTATCATGAGGCTTGGTTGGGCTAAGTCACCGACGCCTGTCACCGACTGACGAAAAACGATTTTGTTCACTTCAAATATTTTATTTAAAATTCATTGTAATTTATCACGTCAATATAATTGTTGGTAAATGAATGAAAGTACCAAACCCTTAAATTATGCTTCTGAAATTTTCGATTGTTCACTGCACCTTAAAAATAATACCACCATACTAAGTGAGGAAAAATGCAAAATTATTTTGAGAATGATCCTACATTTTAGGGCAGAAAATTATCACAGTACTCAACATATCAAATCAATACAAAAATGACATTTGAATAAACTGTGGCTAAAATGGTCATAAAAATTGCATGGTTAGTTCCGATTTTTATACTAACAGCAAATAGCAAACTTTCTTTTTCAATTAATTATAATTTCCCTTAATTATAGCTTTATAATAATATTTACGCTATACTTTTGTCTCGGGGCATGATTTATATTCATTGGTAGCTTGTATTGTTTGTTGTTATCGCTTATCTGTTTAAGTTGTCAAACAATGGTCATATTCTGTCTGACCGAATGACCACTCGATCGAACCTATCTCGGATTTTTTTATGGCAACAGATTTGTGACTATAGCATGAAATGTTGCTTCATCTCATAATTTTTTTCAAAAACTTTTTCGTATGTTTGTATATGTTATTGAAACGCTAGTTAAATAACATAGATTAGCCTTAAGTGTAATAATATACAAGCATAGAACACACACAGAAAAAATTTAGTGAAAAAAATAGAAACTCGTCATTCGTAATGCCGACACGAAATACATCGCTGATGAAAGCTCATTTTAATCGGAAATTTATCGCGAAAAACAAAGTGGTCGATGTCGCTCCACGCTTTAATCTGGTGTTAAAGTAATAATTTCCTACTTATGTTATAAAAAATGCAGCGGTTTTTAGGTTTCGTTATATTTTCAAAAGATAAGTAAACTCCTATAGGAAACAGCGGCGTCAATTTCTATGTAAGCGAACTTAAATAAGTCTTAACATTCTGGCACTTAGTGTCTCAAACCGTTTTGCATTTTAATCTGGCATTTTGTAGCATTCTCAAATTTCAAGTAATTTTTGCTACATTAACTACATTAAAAGATCTGATAACATTTCAATGCTGTTGAAGACCATTCTAGCAACCCTGTTTAAAAATATTCTCGCACTAGTTTGTGAAAAGAGTTCATGAAAACAACGACTCACGGGGTCAAATCTATTATATGTTCCACGCGCCATTTCAATTAATCCCGATAGCAATCTATCAAACACTTTCGCTTGCGACTTTGGATTTGCTGATTTCAGATAAGGGTTAAATTTAGGATCAATTCAAATCACGAACTTGTCGTAAATAAATAAAAACATGTCACCGTACCGTTGTATCGTTCTTGGTACCAATTAATGCATATATATAAGTGTTGGTCATAGATATTGTATGCGATTAAAAGCAGTATTTTCCCCCCGAGTTATACTTTTGTTTATTGTCCCGTGATAATGTTCGCTTCAACCGATATAAACAATTTAATTTATATGTAATATGCAATTGTACACCAGAGACTCATGTAATTTATTTCTACATTTTTAGATTTGGCTTGTCAAAGCGGTTTAGTAAGTTTCGAATTAATTGTAGGCTGGCGAACCGTAACAATTAGAGTATCTGTTAATGATTATCCCACCATCATCTTATCCAAAAATTTGGACTTGAAAAAATGAATATCACAAAGGAATACGCATTTTTTGGGAGTTTATATTCGCTGTCCTGATAAACATTGTCGAAGTATTTGGCGCCATTTTTAATAAATTATGTTGGCAGATGTTCCTAATAAATGAATTATATCCCCCTTATTTGTTTCCAAGTCTAGCTTTGACTAAGGCTATATTGATAAATAATTTCCGAACACAAAAATAGGAAAATTCAATTTATTGATATCATCAAATTTAATTTATTGTAAAAGAAGTTATATGTGAACAATCCCTATAGCCCAACCGCCCCAGATTGGTGTATTTATGTTACTAGTAGTTTATCTCACGATTATTGACATTAAAGATAGTCCAGGTTTACGTTAGTAAAGTTTTTAAAAACGTGAAAATTGATCTATATATGATATAGAAGATAGATATCTATATAAGAAATATGATCTTTTTCGAGTCGTGATTCAAGGCCAAGTTTGTATTTTTAATTTTCGATTGTCTGCAATTTGAGTTCATAATTCTCGAAATAAAAGTCGTAGTCCCAAAATATTGTGTATTGCTGGCATATAAATTATCATTTTTACACCTTTGTTGTAATATATTGCACTACGTTCAAATCGGACATTGAAAAGTTGTAATAACACTAATAACTGCTTTCCTTAAAGCTTGTGATTCAAAATCAATTAAAATGTAATTTTTTCGCATACTCGCACCGGTGAATACCTCGAAAAATGTTTGTACTATATTCTAAATTACCCAGCACCAGAATAGATATGTGTAATTCATTTGCAAAACTTCAATTTGGACATGTTTGTGCTATTTTCTGTAAGATTTGGCCAGATATGGATATTAATATAGCCATGGAGGACTAACTCACATCATCTGTAATATAGGGGGAAAGGCGTGTTTAATTGAAAAAAATTTGCATTTGAGATTTACTGAATTTGATTTCGTGTTCTAAATAGGTTTAGTAAAGGTCTCTTGGGCATTGTCAGAGAATATTTTAATTTCATTAAAACTAAATTCGAGAAAATGCTCTGATGAAAAACTAAAATACTTCTACCATTAGGAAGTAATCCAAGAGAGTCAAAATACATGTATGCACTAAGTACGGCGAGTAGGAAATTTTAAAATATAGGATACAAGTTTGCATTATGGGATGGAAAGCCGCATACCTAAAGATGAAATGACAGCAAATTAGATAAAAGCCATGCTCGTTGATTTGAGTGCAAGAATTAAAGCAAGAAAAACACATTAAAGAAAATTGCATTAGTCAATATTATAAGTTCGAATTTTCCGTTGCGGCATGTGATCATAAGACTAACATTTAGGGAAAATGATGATACATATTCATGATAAAAAAATATTTGCTAGTTTCAAATAAGCACATATGTTTTGTCTTACAACCCAACGAACTAAAAGTCGTAAATTGTAATGACACTATTTATGTAATTGCTGTGTTGGTATTGGTGAAACACGCAAAAATGGAACAAACGCTTTTGTTTTACCAAAATGCAAGTATTTTTCATCACTTTTTATTGTAAGCTATCAGAAACGCTTACTGACATCGAACGTGTATTACTTTGCAAATCTAATTTCAATATATCATATTGATTTTGAATTAACAAATGTAAAATAAATAAACGTGACGGCATAATTTCTGTTCCCTATTAAACGTGCACGACTTTAATACATACTCTGGTCTAGGCGAAATCATTAACAATTTGAGTTCAATATTTTTATGTAGTAGAAGCTACCATAACATTTAATTTTAACGTTCTCCTGGACTGAAATATCCTTACCAACGCAACTTTTTCAAGTTGAGCAATAGTTGGTTTATCGCTGGTACAAAAAGTCAAGTTATCGTTAAAATAAACACTTGATTTGCGGAATTATTGATGATTTGTTATATCAACAACTCATTCATTTGTAATTTGCCTGGTGATATTTTAGGAAAAGTATGATAGGCGGCACTTTTACGCGCCAAAAGCTTTATAAAAAACTTTGCCGTGTCCAATTAAGATCGTATTATAGAAACTCACCTCTCTATATGATAATGAAAAACTATCGCTTGGTTTCCACGATATCGATCCTCCACGAAAATGAGTTGCTTGAACATTGCCGGCCCCTTCGCCAATTCCAGCAACGATAATATAAATAACAATTCCGACCACGACCGGTCCCATAACAGTGGTTTTACCGTACGACATTTGGAGACTTGCAGTCACTCAAACAGCACAATGAAACTTGAATTCACGGCAAATAATAAAATATATATAACTTAAAGTTATATGGAGTATAACTAATAAAATGGAACTGTGTGTGAATCAAGATAAGGAAGAATTAAGATAACTGCAATCAATTGAATATCGTATGTAATGTATAAAATAATCAGTGAAAATATACACATTGTTTACTCAATAAATTTTCCAAATTTCTGATTTTTACTGACGTCTTATTATTAACCGATATTTGAATGCTTTTGCATTTTTGACGAAATTAGATGAAATTCATGTTAACAACAATAACCATTTCCACTATACTCTAAAATTAGACCGAAAGTAGCATCCAGCTGGCGACACCGATGTTCAAAGCGTACCATTAATACAAAAGACTCGGAAGTTGCAGCCGATTTCAGTTTATAACCTCAGGCACAGCAAATATATTAAATTTACGCTGAAACTTTCTTTTTTCTATTGAAACAAATCGTCTAAAATTTACCTAAATTTTAACGTAATGCAGTTTCTCAACGATGCCAAGGATATACAATATATTGTACGAATGCCACGCTTTTTACATATAGACAGCATGACATACTGATACCAGACATCTAATGCACGACTTGCACAAAACAGTTAGTTTATTCTACATAAAACATACTGAATTTGGAACAAATTTGTTACAGCAAATTTTTGAAAAATGACATATAATTTGATCCAAAAACAACGTGACGCTCTTGACGCATATTTATATCAGCGTGGTAACGCGAAACCGAGTTTGTATAGGTTATACTAGTTTTTATACGTCTGTACAGATTATTATATAGCGGATCATTTTTTCGTTGACTTTTTGATATCCCACGAATTCCACCGTAATATGATATACCAATGCCGTAATCGGTGCTGTGTGACGTAACAACATATTTTCCAAAAATTGAGGTGAGAAAGTCGTTGTTGTCTCATGGCCAAAATTTTCTCGCCAATTTCTTTTTGAATTTTTATTGATTTGAGAAAAAGAATACCTGTGATTCTCAACAACGCAAAGTTGTTCACAAAATAGACAAATAAAAGAGTAAAAAAGTTTATAAAAAAGTAGACCGCACATTGATGTAAATTATTCCTGTTATACAACGCATGGAAATGGTGATATAACAGCTAAAACACTTTTGTTATCATACTTGAACTCGAACTTTTACGCTAAAAATATTTACCAAATAATGAAAACCACATGAAAAGTTTCAGGAATTATTTTCCGTTGCTAATACCGACGACTTCCACAAACAAAAATATTGTAATAATCATCGAATGACGTTTGAACGTCTATCAAAATAAGCAATCCACAAAAGTTCCGGAGGCGGTCACGTCACCTGCGCCAGCATTCAATCAAACCACCTGACAAAAAAACAAACCTGTTGTTAACCTCTGTGAAGTCTTTAATTGAGCGGCCTCAAAGTACTGATGATAAATATTCGATTATAGCTATACTTTTGAGTGGTTAACAAAATAGGAAGGTCATTCAGAAACGGAAAGTCAGACGTCTAATTTGTATTTATTAATTAGATAAAACCTCCTACGACCTCGCCTATAAGCTTAGAACTAAATAATGAATCAAAAATAACTGAACAGGTAAATTAATCGTTTGGTGACACTATTTACGTCATTTTGGGTCAACCTCAAACCGATTTTTTGGAAATCAAGCTTGTGTATTCTTCGATATGGTTTGGGTAATCTAAGGCCCGTAGATAATCAAGAAAAGTAAAAAATTAGTATTTGTCATCAGTTACTATTAGCGACATTCGCGAGCTAATTTGCCAACTGTATTTTTGCGATTATACTTGTATGATGACATATGTGAAATGTCACAATTTATATAAAAGCCTTACAACGGTTACAAGCCTTTATTTAATACTCATTATAATACAAATAAATGTCTAATTCAAATATGATAGAGTTTCATTCTTATGTCTTGCAATTATGAGACCGTCATGTGATTAATTATTTGAAAGTGAATCGAATAGTATTGTATAAGAATCGTTTTCCTTATATTCAAAATATATGCCGTTGGCGCATCATTTTGGAAGCGGAATATCTGTCTAACATATTATATTCCAGGAAGCCACGCTTTTTTGTCAAAAATCGGTCCAAGTTAAAACAATTTTTTAAGTTGCATGTACAAAAAAGCATTGTTTTGGAAAGCCATATTGAGATCGGAGGAAAACATAACTTGCCTAATTAATGGCTGTTCATATTTGAAGATCCACGAATGGCTGCGAATCATGAGCATGTATATTAATTATAGTTCCGAGAAGCGAAATTTGCAAATCTGGATACTCCCTGCTGTCCATACAAATTATATATAAAAGCATTAGAATTTTGATAGCAATTGACAATGTTTGAATAATCAAATACCACTCTGAACCCACTCGCGCACTCAGAAATAAAGAGAATTTATGAATAACGCTATTTATTGAATATGATTCCGTGAGTATGAATCCACAATATGCATCGCTGCACAGACCTATTGATTTCTGCCGAAAGTCCGTCAACAGACTTTAAAACCAGATTTATTTACTTATTCGTAAAGTATAAAAACATATTATGTACTTGGAATGTCATGATTTTGTACCAGTTATGGAAATGCAAATGATAAAGTACAATACGTAATATTTTTCCAATACTTTGAATAGCAGAAAGTTGAGGTATAAACAATGAACATGCATATCCCTGTACATACATATATTCGCTAAAATATAGTAATATACCAATATATATCGAAAACATCATTTTTTTTTAAATCAATAACCTTTCAATCTTTTTGTTTGACTTTACCTTAGAAGCTTTAGAATGAATAAAGTTTTCTTCATCTCAGGACCTGTTCTGACCATGAGCGTAAGAACACAACTGCCTTGAATGAAATGGTTTGAGAGACATCTAGCGTGAAAATATATTTCAGATAAATTTACCTACGAACAGTGCTGGCAAAATGTCTTCCGTTGAATGTCAATTTTAACTTTATAGAATAACAATGCTTGATTTTAGCGTAGGTTGTGAAAAATGTTCATGGAAATACACAAATGGGGTATTTCGTTAACTTGGGTAGTTCGTATTGTCACCGCGTATAACCTTCCAGCTTGATTCCGAAACTCCTTAAAACCACAAATGCCTTATGTAAATACTGCATATATATGTAACAATACTTTCACGAGAAGAACAAGAAATGAAATGACTTAAGAACAACAACACGACGACTACATTTGTTTTCCTTGTCCATCTGGTCAATGCATGGAATAAATATATTAACTTCGCATTAAAAATCACGCCCTCGTGGTGCATCATGTATGTTTCTGCTCCATCTAAGAAGAGAATCCCTGCTTGCACATCTACGTAAAAGGGAAATGAGTAGCTGGGAAATATCGCGTTAAGCTAGCAGAGAGTTAGTAGGCTCTTATTTTCTATTAAAAGAAACATGAACAAAATGACGTCGGTACAAAAATGTATAAGAAATATCGTCGCGTATCACAGATTTAGATCAAACGCCTTAATTAATTCGTCAAAATCGACATGAGCGAAAAACCTAAAATTTCACAACTTTCAAACTACTATAGCATGTCTATTCAATTAAAAGGGCGAGATTTTATTATTGAAGCATATAATATTATATATGTGGTACATCATCATTTTTCATTTATGTGTAATCTGTTACTGAAAATGCCATATTTTGTCAAAATCGACATATGCGAAAAACCTAAAATTTCACAACTTTCAAACTACAATAGCATGTCTATTCGATTGAAAGGGCGAGATTTTATTATTGAAAAATATAATATTATATATGTGGTACATCATCATTTTTCATTTATGTGTAATCTGTTACTGAAAATGCCATATTTTGTCGAAATCGACATATGTGAAAATCTTGAAATTTCACAACCTTCAAACTACAATAGCATGTCTATCTGATTAAAAGGGGCGAGATTTTATTATTGATAATTATTCTACTATATACACTCTTCATCCCACATCTTGAGTTGTTGGGAAAAAAATTTTGCATTCATGTGAAATCCGTTTCTAAAAATGCCCTATTACGTCGAAATCGACATAGGCGAAAAAACTGAAATTTCACAACTTTCAAACTACAATAGCATGTCTATTCGATTAAGAGGGGCGAGATTTTATTATTGAAGCATATAATATTATATATGTGGTACATCATCATTTTTCATTTATGTGTAATCTGTTACTGAAAATGCCATATTTTGTCAAAATCGACATATGTGAAAATCTTGAAATTTCACAACCTTCAAACTACAATAGCATGTCTATCTGATTAAAAGGGGCGAGATTTTATTATTGATAATTATTCTACTATATACACTCTTCATCCCACATCTTGAGTTGTTGGGAACAAAATTTTGCATTAATGTGTAATCCGTTTCTAAAAATGCCCTATTACGTCGAAATCGACATAGGCGAAAAAACTGAAATTTCACAACTTTCAAACTACAATAACATGTCTATTCAATTAAGAGGGGCGAGATTTTATTATTGAAGCATATAATATTATATATGTGGTACATCATCATTTTTCATTTATGTGTAATCTGTTACTGAAAATGCCATATTTTGTCAAAATCGACATATGTGAAAATCTTGAAATTTCACAGCCTTCAAACTACAATAGCATGTCTATCTGATTAAAAGGGGCGAGATTTTATTATTGATAATTATTCTACTATATACACTCTTCATCCCACATCTTGAGTTGTTAGGAACAAAATTTTACATTTATGTGTAATCCGTTTCTAAAAATGCCCTATTACGTTGAAATCGACATAGGCGAAAAACCTGAAATTTCTTAACTTTCAAACTACAATAGCATGTCTATTCGATTAAGAGCGGCGAGATTTTATTATTGAAGCATATAATATTATATATGTGGTACATCATCATTTTTCATTTCTGTGTAATCTGTTACTGAAAATGCCATATTTCGTCAAAATCGACATATGTGAAAAACCTGAAATTTCACAACCTTCAAACTACAATAGCATGTCTAACCTATTAAAAGGGGCGAGATTTTATAATTGATAAATATTCTAGTATATACACTCTTCATCCCACATCTTGAGTTGTTGGGAACAAAATTTTGCATTTATGTGTAATCCGATTCTAAAAATGCCCTATTACGTCGAAATCGACATAGGCGAAAAACCTGAAATTCCACAACCTTCAAACTACAATAGCATGTCTATTCAAACTTCACAACTTTCAAACTGTAATAGCATGTCAATTCGATTATACGAGGCGATGTTTTATTATTGAAAAATATAATAGTATATATGTGGTACATCATTCAAGTTGAGTTGTCGGGAACAAAAATTTTGCATTCATGTGTAATCCGTTTCTGAAAATGCCCTATTATACGTAAAAATCTGAAATTTCACAACGTTCGAACTACAATAGCATGTATATCCGATTAAGAGGGGCAAGATTTTATTATGGAAAAATATAATAAGATATACACTTTTCATCCCACAAGTTGAGTAGTCGGAAACAAAATTTTACATTTATGTATAATCCGTTTCTGAAATCTAATTCTTATTTGCAGCTCTGGGTACATGATTCCACATATGTCAGATAAGGCGTTTTAAATCTACATGTATAGAAGGAACATGAGAATCGCCGACATAGCTGACTAATGGGATATAACAGAAATGTTGAAAAGATAGAATGACAATAGACCTTAGTCATTCAAAATCCATCCTACGCGCGAAAAACAAAAGTGGCATAAACAAAACGATTTTAACATTAGCTCTTATGGGGAATGTGATCACCAAACCAGAAATTTGCATTTTTTGTAATTTTTTAGTTATCTTTCATTGTAGACGTGTGTAGATTTGAGAATAGAATAGTTTTTATATATTTTTTGATATTTTTATCATGATAAACATGGTCAAGATTTTTGATAATTGGACACGTCAGTGTCAGACACGTCGTTTCAATATTATGTTGTTGTTCTTGTTAGTATTCTTCCCTTTCGTCATGACGAAATCGCTTTTCTCTTCGAATACTGGACCAATTGCTTTGAAATTTTCAGTGGTTAAAGATTGATTTTTTGCCAGAAGAATAATACTTTTATTTATTTCAAAAATTTCTGTGGACTTCAAAAGATTCGTTTTTTATGTATCTGAATAAAAAATAGCGACACCTTGTGACGTGTCCATATATTTGAGCACAGCTCTCTTGTTTTTCATTGAAATTATAATGGGCGTTGTGTTTCCGCTGGCGTCTTTTTCACTATACCATGACATTCTGCCAACGCGTTGTGGTCTGTAAAATATGCGCTCCAACTGGATGTATCTGAATGAATTGGATAACACCGATGCTGAATTAATGGAATATACGATGGTTATGGGAACTATCTTGTATTTGATGGTGACATTTAATGGACTGTGATAAATATTATTTTTTTTTTGCGTTTTAACACATATTGACCATGTTTATCGTCATAAAAATATCGAAGAATATAAAAAAATCACTCTATATATAAAACTACCGACATTTACAACAAAAGATAACTAGAAAATCACAAAAAAAATTCCAATTTCTTCCCTGGTAATCTCATTCCCCATAAGAGCCAATGTTAAAATTATTTTGTTCATGCCTCTTTTATTTTTGCGGGTAGGATAGGTTTCGAATAACTAAAGTCTATATATTCAGGGTTACCATATCATACTCATTTCTAAGATTTATGCTTATTTTCTGGCCCGTGTCTTATAAAGTAACGGCGTGCTTATTTCTAAGAAAAGTGCTTATTTTTGAGTTGCGTGCTTATTTTGTCTTAGATATGTGACATTTTGGGGTAGATAAGCTGCACCTTTCATTGAAAAGGCGCAGACACCCTTTGGGTTGTTGTTTCATGTTCAAGATGTCAAATGCTGGATTTTTTAGGTGTGTATTGTATGCACCTTTCTATGTGGCTTCTTACATTTCAGAGGTTGCATGTGGCTGTGGAGAGACTTGTGTATGCTTTATTTTATTTTCATTATGCGTTTCCGCAGTTGTCAAGTACCTCCCCTCCGCAAAAAACTAAAAATAACCGTTCGACGCCCGTGCTTATTTTCGGCTCTAGGTAGATGGTAACACTGTCTATATTAGATGAACGCTATAAAATACAATGAAACGCGTTTTTAACTTCAATAATAGCCTCGGGCTAATCAATCTTGATTACATAAAAAGAAGCTGATGCTGTTGCTGTGTATTTAATTTAGTCGTGGATTGTAACTATTGTAATAGTTGGTATTAAGAGTTTTTCCTTTAAGCATTTTATATTTTAGATATCCTTCTTTATTCACATTTCAAAACTATGAGCGACTTAAACAGTTGCAGGTTCGCTATTGTTGGGCACGCTACGATAGTTTAGAAAGTTTAGATTTGTTAGTTCATGTAATGCTTGCGGAACCTCTATACAATTGTTAAATTGTCTTATAAGGAAAACATCATTTGAATAATATAAACTGTAAATATTTATAAAAGCAAACCTAATATTGGTGAAACAAAGTGATTTTTCAAAGGTTCAATAATGCCAAACATGTAATTGATTGAAAACATTCAAGCATTTATTTGAATGTAAAGCTGCGAAACGACTTTATTGGCGGAACCCCGGGGCTGAAAAGCCTTGCTCCACGACGAACTTACGAAAATACGAACCAGATACGAACTGAAGGATGCCGCAATCTTCTAGGAATGACTGTTGACATTTCGCTATAGCGAGAACAACTTGCAGACTTGTTGCAAGTTTGCAGTTGTCTTGTTGGAATCGAAGCTCGTGGTTGTGTGTGCGTGGTTCTATGGTTGGAATATGAAGACTCCCTTGGGGCTGTATAATGCTGCGTGAGTAGCCAGTTGACTTAGGCAGAAAATGTGAAGAAGCAACTTACAGTACAGGAGTATCAACGGCTTTGACAGCCCAAACTTTTGGGTGGAGCAATTTCAGAATTTGTTTATTACTGTATTACGACACTTGCTCGTCTCTTTCGCTCCGAACAAGGCCAGGTACGGTACTGGTACCGCACTGACTGGCTGTACAAGTAGCCACTGATATCGAACAATACGGTACCTACTGAACTACGGTATCTCAAAAAGCTATCCACAGACAGGCTTACTTTGCTGTTGAAGTTCAGAAGTTACAGAGTTATGCAAGTGCTGAAGTGCATAATCCAGTAATCTCACTTTCTGACTTTGTTTGAAGATTGATAGTAAGCCCAGGCAGACAGGTCAGAAGCCAGAAAACGTCAGGATAACCTATCAGCAGTGAACCGCTCATGAATAGAGCAAAATAGTTTTTAGAAATACATAGCCCTTCAAGTTTGTCTCACTGCAAATGCTGCAAGACACTTTTCAAAAAAAACATACGTCTGTACGTTGAAACGCCTAACAGTTAGCTAGTACAGCAGTAAGAATCACGACCCAGCTACCTACAGGTATGGTAGTCTACGGTATGTCTCTACTAGCAGACTAGACTAAATGCGGCCACAAACAAAAAAGTTACGATTGAAAACCAGACCGAAGAAAAAAAACGGACTATTTTTTCATGTTGTCAACTACCCATTGTCCCATTAAAAATACTTATAATCCATACAAATATAAGAGATAAAATGATGAAACTTGGCAAGGGGGTAGAGTTGTGTTTCATTTAACTAGCTTTAAATTTTTGCGTTTCTACATTTAAGGGAGGACTGGAGGAGGAATAGGGGGGTGCGCATTTCCAATACGTCGATGATATCTTTGTCGACCAATTTGCGACCACCGTGTTTTTGTCTGTTTGATTGCTGTGATGCAGTGATTTGTATATAATTTGACCAGTTTTGTTCAAAATGACTGTGTTCTTAAAATATATGCCGGTCAGAAATGCAATTAGAAGCCCAATATTTTTCATGCATGACTGCGTATGCTTTAGTCTCGACGCAGCAGAAACGATGTTCAAGGCTTGAAATTCGTAGTCGCACACTGGTTGTTGGTCGCAAATACGTCTTTCGAGTGTCGTACTTTGGTGGTTTGTATAGCTCTAACCCCTGGTCGTAGAAAGTTAATTCGAGGTTTAGCGTGTAGAATAAATGCCAATGCACCTACGGTGAAAAAATTAACGGGTTTGAATGAAATCGTCCGCAGACTGGCTACACCACCCTATGAGTTAGGAGCGAGTCATGGCAGCATGGTCAAACCGCTTAAACTTATTTCTCCATCTTTTTCATCTTTGTTCACAGTTGATTAAGTTATTGATTTTATTTGTTTTTATTCTCTTACAAAGCCAGTGATGTCAAATTCAAATTCTGCCCCAACACCGAAACAACCTGTATCATGGAAGAGAATGGGACAACAGTTTGCGTCTGGTGGTTCAGCGGGTAAATCTATGGGTTTCATTCTTATATTTGTCATCAAGAAATTAGTTGGTTTTAAAAGGAACAGATAAATCTGGTTTTAAATATTATCAAAACAGGTCTTTTGGAGTTTACAAGAGATTCAAAATGTGGATCTTAGTATCGAGTGCTTTCTGATATAGATTTCGTTAACTGATTTTTAAACATGTTAAACTATGTCAGCATTTTTTTCAAAAGATCTTGTCTTTTTTATTTACGAATATATAAATAGGTTTTGCTGTAATCGTAATCATTGATTTAAAGTTGACATTTTTTTTTTTTTCAATTTCAGGTCTTGTGGAAATTTGTCTGATGCATCCCCTTGATGTAGTGAAAACCAGGTAAACCTAATAATTGCAAGTTTTTTTTTATTTGCGAAAAAGCTTTTAATTTTTTTCATGTATAATTTCGGGTTTTTATCTTATAAAAATAAGTTACAAAAAGGCTGTTGTGGTACAGACCAAAAGCTATAGAAAAGTGTATTATCATTAACCCATATATTTTGAAAGTTGCTGGACACATGAAAGATTGTCAACATGCAAATCTCACAGTTTTTGATAAATTGATGACTGGGCTACACTCTGTCAAAATGTGAGCCAAATAAATTTTGCATTGATCATTTGAAAAATCTAGCACTTAATGAGTGATTAAACATTCTGCTTGAAAGCTGTTCTAATAATACATGGATTAATTGTAAATAGCATCATGCTGCAGTAGGCATACTATTGATTTCCTTTATTAAACACCAGAACACTGTGGTATAATTATTGATTGAAATATCAATGCATGTAAAATGTTGCTTCAAGAATAAACTTATGAATTAATACAGTGAAACATTGTAATATCTGCATAAAATATATATATCATGTTTGTATCAAAAATGTAAGATAAATTATACTTTCAAATTTAAAATAATTTTTATGTGTGAAAATAGAGAGAGCCTGGGTGAAAAAACATATAGGAATAATAATTTGTCTACATTCAATTTGAATTATTGTTATATATTCCATGCTTTTACTATACCATCACTATACTACTAAAAACTTTCAGATTTCAACTGCAAGGTGGTGCTAATGATCCCACAAGATACAATTCAGTTGGGCACTGTTTTCGTACAATGTACAGAACAGAAGGGTATGTTCACAAAATGGTACTGCTGTTTTATATAAGTCAATCTTTCATTATAAATCAATTTTTTTTAATTGTTATGCATATTATTGCACTCATGGGTATTAGGAAGTATAAAAAGTTGGGTTTGCAAAATAAAAAGGCTATGCACTCATGGACCATTGTATTTTGATTATAACGCATTTTTGGTGTGATATATTAAATGAATGAATTTTTTAAAAACTTTAAATTTTAAATTAGTGCAACCTCATAGTTGTAATTTGTCCATGTTCTACAAGCAAATTTAATTGACTAATGACTTCATGATTTTAAATGTCAGAGTGTGAACTTCCTGTTTGCAGCTGGCTTAATCATGCAGATAAACTGAAACAACACTTTCATGGCACTTTTTCAGATGCATTCTCAAATCCCAACTACATTGTCTGTTTTAAATAAAATAAAATCTGGCATATAAAGAACCCCTTGCAGACTGGAGAATGGTATACCAAGGGTTGGGTCTTTGTGTTTTCTATTTGTGGTTTATATTTCTAAAATTTAATGTACCGGTATGTATTATTGGGCTAAAACGCTTATATCTGTCTTTTCTATTCCAGGTTTCTTTCTTTTTACAAAGGAATTTTACCACCAATTCTTGCTGAAACACCAAAACGTGCAGTCAAGGTTAGTTTTTTTTGTCAAAATTCAGCTCATATGTAATCAAAAATAATGAATTATGGCACATTTCAATGGACCAGTTCTCGTATAATGCTTCTGAATATAATTGTAAATGAATATTTCTAATATATAATATGTTGTAAAGCAGCTCATTGCCAAAGTAATATTGCTGACTTACAACTTATTCTCTCAACTTATTCTATACCTAACCTTACAAAACATACCTACCTTACATTTTTTCTTATACCTAACATGAAATGTCAATGAAATATCTCAGTTTTGCTATTTTTCAGACCTATATTTTTGTAACCCAATACAAATTTAATAAGATGTCTAAGAAGCTCATAAGTACATCCAATTGGCAGCTAAAAAAGTAATTGTTTGAAAAAAGATGTTCTGTGAGAATTTGCTATATTATGTAAATAATGTCTAATGTGGTTCGATTACTGTGCACTACCATCATTATCAAAATGGTAATTCTGTGAATGTTTCCTACCTATATGGTCATTGCATTTAATAAAAAAGTATGATTATCTGTGATATAGTTTTGATTTTCATTTAAGCTATTCTTTTCATTGTGTATTTTCAGTTTTTCTGCTTCGAAAGATACAGAGATCTTTTTAGTGCTGGTCAACAAGCAACACCTGCAGTAAGTGCAGTTCATAAATATCATAAGAGACCCTAGATATCTCATTCAGTAAATTTAAGTTCATTACTCTTAGCATACGGGGTGAAAATAGCGATTTAATATAGAGAATTCTAATATTGTTTTGACATATGATATGAAGTCCTTTTGTCTGCACTTCATTAAGCCACTAGATGATGCAAAGGAGCTGCAATGAATGTACTTTTTTCCAACTTCAAATACTCCTCGAAAACAGGAATTCGAAAATTTATTTTTTGAGGAACGACTATTTTTGGGTATTGCTGGATCTGTGTAAAATGAAACATGCCTAATTAATAATAACTCCTGCTTCAGGTTTATGCACTCGCCGGTTTGTGCTCTGGTTTGACTGAGGGTTTTGTCATCAATCCTTTTGAAAGAGTTAAAGTTCAGCTCCAATCAGAAAGAAACATCAAACTATCTGAGGTACTAAATTTGATTATTTTTGTGTTTGATTTCTTATTTTATATATTTTTTTAAAATCATTTATAAAATAAAAAGTACGTTCTAGTATTTATTCAATTTCTATTCGGAGAGAATTTGTTGCATAACAGCCCTTTTTCATATAGTTTTATAGTATTTTGTGTTTTTTTTTCTCGATTTATTATCATGCTGTTGAATGTAATTATAAAGTAGCCATGCACAAATGGTAAGATTTTATTAACGACTATAACGCATAGTTTACCTAAAGTTTGAAATATTCATACAGACAAACTTTATCATACTTTATACTTTAAATTCATTGCCGTGATAAAGTTGATCTATTGAGACATTTGAAACATTGATTAAACTATTGTTTGTTTCCTACTATGGACATGCATGGTAGCAACAACTCGCTTAAATTAAAACATATTGCACAATGTTTTTACTCACCTTGTCTAAAGTATTGAAGTCATGAAAAAATCTGATTGGACACGAAGTGGCCTAAAAGATCGTTGTGATATAATGTTGATATTGTTAGAATTCTTGTTCTTGTCGCTTTTTTTTAATTACTCTTACAGTGGTTAAATGTTGTTGTTGTCGCTAGAAGGCTATTTACTTTATTTATCTAAAGATTTCTGTGGGCGCTATGGGATTTTTTTTGTGTGCGATGACGATGATGTCATCAAAATTAGTCAGGCGAAGTCGTAAAGATTGCAGTACTGGTAGTCAGTCTACTATAGAAGATTAGATAGTTGTACTACTTCGCGTCCGTATATTTAAGCATTGTTCTCTTGTTGTTTTGAAGATAATGCATTCACTATTTTTTATTTCAGCAAGAATCAACATTTTCTAAAGCGAGAAAAATTGTCAAAAATGAAGGTTTAGGAATGCAAGGAATCAATAGAGGTTTGACTGCAACATTAGGAAGGCATGGAGTGTGGAATATGGTTTATTTTGGGTTTTATCATTCAGTTAAAGCGCATATCCCACAAACAGATGTAAGTGTGAAACTAATCTTTTCTAATTGCTTTTGAAAAAGCCTTTTTTGCCACTGTAAATATATATAACCACAGAAAATAGATTGATGATCAAAATTATATATTGACCAAATTCTTCATATTTGATATTGGCTGTCTACGGAGTGCTAGGTACTAGATACTATCCTTTTACCCCCTGTTGATTTTTATTGGTCAAGCTATTCTTTAATTCAATGATGTTCGGTTGTGTTTACCAATTGACAACATTGGTAATTTCTTTCAAGGGGAACACTAGTGAGCTCGTATTGAGAAAAATTTCTCATTGTATCATCACCTCTTCGACCACACTTATTTTCGGCGTTGATTTTATTACCGGCCTCTTTTGCGATCACCCGTGACACAGGGCAATCTGCCGCTTTACCCACAAGCCACCATCTACTCAAAAATTTTGATTGATATCGTAAACCCCTCTTTTTGCTCCTTCGAAAAATAAAAAATGCCGCTAAGTGACATCGATACAAAAATAAAACTGGTTGTCTTCACGATTTTCAATACCAAGGTGCGGCCGGATGTACCTTTTCGAAATATTAACAGCTCCAAATTCTTGGCCGAATTATGCACTATTGTTATCTAGGAGTCGCTTGACTATTCATTGATAGCCTTTATATAATTGAATCCATAATTCTAGTTATTAAATCTAACACGTTTTCGTTCGCCATATTTATTTTTTTTTGCTGTGAATACACATCACACATTCAAAATCATAACAAAACTATGCAATTTCAATTACAGCTAGAGAATAAACATTCTTCCAAGTAGTTATTTGATTAAAGTAACTCTAAGAAATGTATCACTAAAATTTGTTGCTTAATTAATGGAACGCTTTCATTTTTCTAATTTTACATTTGTCTTTCTTTTTATAGTCAAAATATTTTGTGTCAGGTTTGATTGACAAGGGCTAATAATTTCTTGGAGACAGTATTATGTTTTAAAAAATACAAATTAAAATATGAACAATGCCTAGTTATATAAAAATTATTTCTAACTTTAAAATCAGTCCTAAAGTTTTCATATTTAACATGTTCTCAGAAATAGATAGAAGTAATTTAATTTAAAAGTGTCTATTTTTAGACTTAGAATCTGCAATTCTTCCTTTTTGTATGACTCATGTCACATCCACAATTTTTTTCTGTAAACGGTAATCGAGTGATTCATCACCAGGGATACTTTGTTGTTATTATGTTATTTAAGAAAATTCAAAATATTTGGATGAAAATTTCATTAGTGGAAGCCGCACTTAATCTTGGTTTCTCGTTCTATTTTTGTTCATGATTACTTTATTCAAATGACGCCCAACCCCCATTTCGCCCCATATGATCCCGCTTTCATGCCCTTTGTTTTTGTTATATCGGGTGAAGTGATTATGCGATACGCCCACATCGCCTCAAACGTCTGCTGCTCCTGTTGTCACGCAATGTGGCAAAACACGAACGATCGACTTGTCATTTGCCAGACTATATTTCACTTTTTTGCTGACAATTCGTTGAAACGTTTCCATTTCTATAAGATGTTTTTTGCGTGCCCCATTTATTGTGTTGTTTCTGTCTTGATGTTATTTCTTGGCGAGTGCGGCAAAGTTTATTTGGTTTAGAGATTGGGGGAAGGTAACACGGCAACACCCAGTTATAATATAATTTAAACTCTACTTAGTTAAACTCAGTCTCATTTCTTGATTCTGATATTTTACCAAGCTCATTTTATTGGCTTTTAGTCTACTTGAAATGCCATAGAATGAATAAATTAATTTATGAAATGCATAAAATTAAATCCTGTGTTATTATCATATGATAAACCCTATCTTGAAGAAACTTGGGAGAATTTTCCACAACGACATACAAAATTTAGATTTATTTAAACTTTATTTAGAATAATTATACTATTATTTGTTAAATGATATTACTGTTTACTCTTTGATTTATGAATCAGACCAATATGTTAAAAGTATAAATTCTTAGATAAAAATTTTTTAATTTTAGTGCTGCTCATTTTTCATTGATTATTATCCCAAGATAAGCATTGTCGATTGACCTTGTCCAAGTAAAACAACAACTTCGGTCATAAATAATTTGACTTCTTTCATTTGATTGTTTTATATTTTTTGACCTCTGACATCAAATTCCCTGTGTTTTCACAACATTGTTTTGTATTTTGATTCGCGTTGTTGAAACAGTCTTTGGAAAATTAGAAACAGATGTTGTTTGTCATCGCATAAAATTTTATCACAATTTGTCTCAAAGATTAGTCTTTACCCTGCAGCCAGCTTTCATGGAAGATTTTATGTGGGAAGACTTTAATAAGATGTATGCCATTAATAGCATTCATCATTTTGGCTGCACCATCGTAATTTTCAAAAATTTCATCATATCAAAATAATTGGGATCCTGTCTTTGTGCATTCAATGCTGGAGTTGTTGCAGAATTAAGGACTCAAAATGTCATAAATTGTGTTTTCTGATTTCAATTAGTATTATTAGTTATTGGATTACTCATATCTGGACACTCAAAATAAATATCTGGAATTTGCTCCTGCTACAAGAGCAATTATTAATAAAACGTTTTAATTTTAAATGTATTATACGCTTCAAGTATATTCGCTGTGCTTTTTAATAATCCTGTCATGGAATCTATTGTTGAATGCTTTTCTACTCGCACGGAATGATTTTGAATGGATATTTATTTTGATAGCGACATTTTCACACCAGGTCTATGCCAATTCATTGTGACAAATTATGATTCATATTTCACACGCTATGTTCGAAATTGTGTATCTGGACTTTTTACTCATGATTTGAATCTGAATCAGCTATTATAAATTTATTTCGACTCCATAATCAGCATAACAGACGATAAAATAATTGATAAAAACAAATAAATAAAACTGATTATGAAATCAGAAGAGCAAACAACACTCTAAGTAAGAATTATAACAAACAGAATATAAGTTGGAAGGTTATGCCAAAGTGGTATGTGTTCATTCACCAAAAAGGATTAACTTAATTCACACACACTCACATAGCATTTGTATACTCACCTACTCTTTATATGAAATCAAGATTTCAAACATATAATGAATTTAATCTTTGAAAAGTTTTGATGGAACTTTACTTTCAAAGCTGTAGAACTGTAAGAAGAAACTTGTCCAACTAGTTTTGCATTAGGCATAATAGTCTCAAAGAATAATCATATACAGTGGATCCCAAGGGTTTACTATAATCGTGGTCTGTTTCATATGCTTAAGTTGCTTGTACATGAACTGTACAGTGTGCATATGTTATTATATTTCATCCAAATCGAATAGTTTACACAACTTGAACAGTTGTTTCTACTCATTCGAATCGTTTTAGCTTTTACGGGCACTTGCTGTTACATCGCCCTTTCAATATTTCTTACCGGAAAGCGTGACGCTATGATAAAGATGCATTTTGGCATGACCCCGGAATAGTGTGAATGATGAATTCTCTGCCACAGCTGATTGAGGATTTGAACTCCTTACTCCCAATCAGCCATAGCCGAGGGGTTTATCTTTTCACACCATACGTTTCATCACCTTCCTCAACCCGCCGGAACTTTATGTTACATTTTCTGCTATATTTTTTGAATTGTTACATTATTCTTTAGGCATGATTTACATAATCCTCTCGTTAACGTCTAGTTTAACAAGGATTATTAGCAATGTAAGCGTGTCCTTATTCATGGTTCCGGTGTTAACAAGAACCGTGATAATTTAGCATCAGACGACCTGTTGATACGCATTTTCAAGCTTAGTGACTCTACTTTCCCATAACGAGGGGTCTTCACTGTTACTCAGATGAAGCGATGCCTGTAAAGTTGATGATTAATGTGTATGAATTATATTGTACATTTTGTTCGTTTCAGATTATTGCATGCTATATCGAATATTAGATTTCGAGGGATCGCTTAAAATTTTTAATTATTGTGTGTGCTATCGTCGTTTTTTTTTCAAATGTTTTATTGCAATCAGAAAAGAATAATATTCCAATTTAGAATTAGTCAAAACAATTTGTTTAATAATCCTTTAAAATTTTAATTTTTTTTTATTATTTCAATAGTTTTTCACCCTGTTTCATAATTATTTCTTCAGTCGAAAGCGAAAGAATTTGGCATTAAATTATTGATGGGGTTCACTGGTGGTACAATCGCATCAACTGTTAACATCCCGTACGATGTAGCAAAAAGCAGGATACAGGGTCCACAACCCGTGCCGGGTCAAATCAAGTATTACTACGCTCATAGAACAATGTTGCTTATTGCTAGAGAGGAGGGGTGAGTATCAAGATTGGCATTTTTAAGGATAAAACTGAAACGATTCAGATTTGTTTTATTATCTTTTTCGAACATGGTCAGAAAATAATTATGGTATTGTAACATGGAAAGTCAACTTGAGTTGTATTGGAAAACACCTTTTAATTCTATGTATATTTGAATCATTGACTTTAGTGGGACAAAGTTAAATAATAGATTTTTTGTACTAAACATTGCCTAATATTCATCTGAATATTATTTCCAGCATTGTCTAAAACGATTATTGCACTCAAACTCTTATACTCTCAAAATTATATTTTACATGTAATATTGCAAACACAGCTTGATTTTTAATTTTCAGTTTCCGAGCACTTTTCAAAGGTCTTGTGCCGAAGTTGATGCGACTTGGGCCAAGTGAGTATTTTTTTACAAATGTTGATTCTAAAAAACTAGATTTCAATGTTTAGTATTGTATTATACTTGATTTGGACAATTAAACTGTCCCTGATATGGCTGATAAGTATAACATTATGGAAAGAATTTGATAATGTGTAATTTGTAATTTCAGGTGGTGCGATCATGATGTTGGTGTATGACTATTTGTCAACATACTTAGCGAAACGATACCCTTGAAATGCTCTATGAGGAAATCATATTTACTCAAATTTTACATTGAATGCAATTAGGTCCGTCAAATTTATTGCTGCTAATTTATTATATATCATCTGCCAAATTTTTATGAATGTAATTTTGTGATTTTTGAAACTTTTACTATTTGGTCTTAAAAAATTTACTCTGCCTATAAATCATATTTATTATTAAGGTTGTGGTCATGAATGTCACTCCTGTGCAGTATACTATTGGAGGGAATTTTTTTTTTCTTCGGTTTTAGTTTTTGAAATCTCAAAAAAAATCAAGGTGCATGGATGGCACAATAATTTACTTACCTGAAATAAGTATATATTGAAGTCATTGTCTTTATAATATACCTAATTTGATATGTTTAGGAAATGGTTCAATTAAGAACTGCAGTGACAAATATATTAATAATGATTTTAATTGCATAGTGGACTCATCACTTCTAATACTTCTGTAAGTGTTAAAATCGAAATCATCTTTTTATGAACCCATTTCATGTTGAGCAAATGTTTTTAAATTCTTCCCATGATATACGCTTCACTTGTTATTGCAGTGTTCACAAGTTCTGATATAACTTTCTGATATTTATTTTTTAATACACCTGCTTGAAAATTTACAATGCCTTATACTGATGATATCATAAGCAATCACCCATGCCAATCCCCACATTTTTAAAGTTTTTATCATATTAATTATTTCTTTTTATCATGCAAAAGCTAAGTAGTTCAATATTATTTAGTGCAATCTCGAGCAATTTAACTGAAATTAATTTTAGTTTACTTTTTTAATCATATTTTTTATCAAATTCTCTGTAGCCATTGTTGCAATACTCAAATTTTTATGGTATTGTATCAATGATATCTGGATATTGACTTGTGTCAGAGTTCGCATCAAATTCACTTATTACCCTTATTTGAAGTATTTTTTGAAGTTGATTCAAATTTTTTATTATGCTAATGAGTGGTAACATTTCATTGGTAAGTTTTCATCAGAGGCATATGTATTTATCTGTGTTAATCATGTACATCTACAATCGTTAGGATGGACAATTTCTATCTCAAATAAGTACCGTATATAACTTTTCTCATCCTTTCAATCTAGTTAAACTTATTAAACTGATTGAAAAAATGAAAAACAAACTTTTGCATGAATGCTTTTTTGCCATACCGCATGAACTACATAATGTGAAAGTATTTTTATCCAATCATATGTTTTCTAATTCCTTCTCACTCAAAAGTTTCATGACTATACTAGTGATAAATGTAAGTTTTCGATACTAAGGTAGTCTATATTGATATGAAAATGAGTCTTTTAAGTAGAGCATATAAGAATGTTTTAATAATTGCTAAACTTCATTACTAGTTTTTCTCGATTTTTCAAAACCATGATTAGGTCAACCAGGGGCGTAGACACCAATTTAGACCTATCAGCTAGCGGGTCCGGCTGTATGCCACAAAACGTGAGTTTTCAAGTGTCTTGTCGGTCTAAAAAGCGTCCCCCTCTCCAGGGTACACCCCTGAGGTCAACAATGGAGTTGATAATGTGTAGTGTTATTTTTATATCAAATTGACACAAAAATCAGAAGTCGCAACTAAGTTCACGTTTAAACAGAAAGGTCGGGGTTTCCATCAGAAGAAAGAGTTACATTTTTCATTCAAGCATGGATACCTTATTTATCGTATCTGACGTTATTCATTTGTTCTCATTTTTCTCAGAAAGATAAGTTAAACGACGACGACGACCAGCAACTATATGGTTTAATGTCATAAATTTTTATATACACTATCTGTCTGATATAGAATAACGTTTTGCATCTAAGATACTTACCTAAAACAGCACAATCCTACAATATCAACATCTTATATCTGTTTGTATGTGATGTAAATGTTAAATTTGAAACTGTGTAGAAGCAATACTGTGGTGCGCCAGGAAATTTCAAACAGTGTGTTGCGTGTTATCTGCAAACGTAAATTTTACTGACATGATCAAATATTTCAATTCTAATTTTCGTTTTATTTCTGAAACAAGCGTGGTATTCGCTTTCTTTTTTGTGTCATCAATGAAATAAATCGCTAATATTTTGGTAACTACTTTGTATTTTATTTCTATGTTATATTAGGTATCTGAAAAAATTAGATGACCTTGTGTGAATTCCTACCTACAGCTCATTCAGTTGCCTAGATAAAAAATAACAAATACGGTATTCACACAACTGTTTATCAATCATATCGAGGTACCGGTAGTATGTGCCTAATTGCTACTTCTTTTCCACTGCCTTTGTTGCTGATAACGTGTTTCCCCGAAAATAAGACCTAGCCTGAATTTTGAAAATGATCACAATATAAGCCCTCCTCTGAAAATAAGACCTGGTCAATAGCGCGAAATTTTTTTGGTCTATTCGATAGCACGAAAACTCTCCTACACGTATTAAATGGTTAATCTAAAGTAAACCATGTGAGAGAGGAAAACTTGTTATTTATAATTAAATGGATATCGGTTTCCATATGTATATTTGAAAATCTCGTAATTTTATACTTGTGAATCCCAGGTCTAATGTTTCGAAAAAGTTCGCTTAAGGTTTTATCGTTCGCGCAAGAAATAGTCTCTTCGCCTTCTTATCAATTTGGAAATTTTATCAATGGGCACGCACTTATTTCCTTAGTGAATAAACCAAGCCACTAAACTGCCTGGAAGTATTATATATAATTTTTCAATCAAATTATTGTTTGTATTTTTTACTTGTTACTGTTATGCACGTGCGACAAGACTAAATAAATCCTCGCCCGTAATTCGATCATTCCTTGCCCATGAGGGCGTAGCGGTTTAATTTGTGAACAAAATTAGATATTATTCTTTGAATTGAATTAATAATTTTTCCATAATAAGTTGTCATCGTTTTTCGGTGACATGCACCATACAGCCAGTGACCTCCTTGGTTTTGGCGCGAGGCGACATTTAAATTTCTTGTAATACTATTGAAATTAAACTTTTCTCTTGATTCATCGCACTGATTTCCTCTTTGTCTGTAGGAAATGCAAAAGATTAATATATATGAATGTTGTACTTAGATTTCGTAAGTTAGCGGTGTTGTTTCGAACATTTCCAAAATTTATATTTTTAACTAAGACAACTATGGGACAAAAATGTTTTTCACTTCTTTTTCCGACTCCTTGAATATCCGTTTATACCTGATTTTTTAAAGGTATAATCTCCGGTGCGCAAAAACTTTCGGTAAGAACCCACATGGAAAAATTGAGAATGATAGAATCCCAACCTTCCTGATGGTACAAGAGTTTTATATATACATAATCAATTATACCGTGGAGCAGGGGTGGCAACCCCAATTAGATACCAAGAGCCGCATTTGATACTTCATTCCCGCGAAGAGTCACATCATAAACAAGAACACACATGAAAATCAGATGTACCTTTATTCGGCTTGTTTTAATTCTAGTTTATTGTAAATGTCATTAACCAACATGATTATCACAGAAATTTACAAGCTATTTATTGTTATGCATGCTACTTAGCGGGACTTCTGGCATTCCTTTGGTTTTGTAATGTAACCGGAGCAAGAGCCGCATGCGGCTCGCGGGCCGCGTGATGGCCCCCCATGCTACTTAGCGGGACTTCTGGCATTCCTTTGGTTTTGTAATGTAACCGGAGCAAGAGCCGCATGCGGCTCGCGGGCCGCGTGTTGGCCCCCCAGCCGTAGAGCATTAAGATTCACAAATTTTAGTTAGTTACCATTTCTTTTATAGCATGTATGATTGGTAAATGAATGTGATGTTACCATATATTGCTATTTCGTAGATTGTCTCAGAACTTGCAAGTCACCCGTTCACCCTTCAGCTTCAACGCCCACGTGAATGAAGATGCGTTAAAAATCTCTATATGTTTTTATTTGTAAATTTCCACAACACACAGAATAAATCTTAAAACATTTATCCAGACTAGCTTAGAATGGTTTACATCGTCTTCTCTCTATCGAAAGATATCGGAGTCGTATTTATACGTTGATCATAAATCCAATTAAATGCTGTAAACGTGAGCTCGTGATTCACGTTATAAACAGAAATTCCTATTATCTCAATAAGGGTAATTATGTACATCGTACGGATGGGAACTTAGATATAATTATTTCAATCAGTGCCAAAGGTCTTGAGAATATAGATTTTAATTTGATAATGACTAGATGGAACCTGTTATGTTCTTAAACTGGTGTAATTTGATTCCTACGAAAGTCTTTGTTCGAATTTTGGGAAAAATTAACTTTGTTTTCATATTTTTAACATGAAATGGGGTACATTTGGGGGTTAGTTGCTATATTATCTCCCCATCTTACTAACTGGAAGTTTAAAGATTTGGCACCCTCTAATAAATTGAAAATATATAGAAAAATACAATACACAATGCTAAAATTGATGATATATATATAGGTCAAAAAAATATTTAAATGTATATGATCTATAATGAGACACGACATTGAAATGAAGAAGAGTTTATAGAAAGAGTAAAGATTGTAAAGTAGAATTACAGAAGGACGGCGTATTTTTATTTTAAAAATTTTGGTTTGGACGGTTAAAACATATTTTCAATTTAATGTATTTCGCTAAGTTAAAATACTTATACTCGCTTTATCGCATTGTTACGATTTTGTAGACCTAGTTGGTCAATATATGCTTGTCCCATGTCGGGAAGAAAAAACGCGTTGCGACCTAGTTGGTCAATATATGCTTGTCCCATGTCGGGAAGAAAAAACGCATTTTTAAGTTTATGCCATCTCAGGGCTTTTTTGAAAAAATAACGCTTTTGGATACAATTTTTGTTTAACGAGCTTATTATTTCACCGTTCTATATGACGGCTTTGTAAATAATTAAAAGTATGACTCGCTCGAATCTACTTTTAGAAAGCATTTTAATTCTAACGAAATCTATTTAATCGAAAAGAAATGCTAACCACAAATATTCAATAATATAAATCTCTTTAAAGGTATTTGAAATTAGAATATTCAAAGTTGTTACCATTAATTAATTTATAAAAATTGAAAGTCGAATGAAACGCCATGTATATATATATAAGAAGAAAAAGAAGTACTTTACCTTAGTATTAGTGGAAGAATGAAAAATGTCTGTCTCAATGAGGAGAAAAACCTGCAAATCATGAAACAAATTGTAGAATTACATGCTCCTGATTTGTATATCCATTAGGTATGCGCGAAAATTCCTCTCTCTATTATTCGGAATAGAGCGCGTAATTTACCGTAAAACAGTCCATAGAGTTCATTGTTTTCAACAGTTCGTTTTTTGATTAGGTTTTTCACCTCGAACATATATCATGTTCTAAAAGAGTTCATTTCGATCGATGTTCAATACAGTCCATATTCATGATTTTAACGTTTCCAGAGTCCGTTACCATAGTTCAACTGTTTTCAATTGAGATTATTGTCTTTTCATAATGTTTCTGATCATATCGGCTTGTCAACAATTTGCTACTTCAATCGTTGTTCCAGGCAATTCCAATCTCCCAGACGTTCGTAAGTTGGTCGAATATGATTTTTGCACGTTTTGTATAGACGGTTTCTCGGCAATTGTTGAAAGCTTCTGCTTGGTCAGCTTTTTGGTTGATTCCGTCAAATTGTTGCTTGTCCTGGTTGTTGTCCGTTGATCTGATCCGTTTCAGAAGGTTAATTCAAGTCGGTTTTGTCACCATTTATAGCATGTATGATTGGTAAATGAATGTGATGTTACCATATATTGCTATTTCGTAGATTGTCTCAGAACTTGCAAGTCACCCGTTCACCCTTCAGCTTCAACGCCCACGTGAATGAAGATGCGTTAAAAATCTCTATATGTTTTTATTTGTAAATTTCCACAACACACAGAATAAATCTTAAAACATTTATCCAGACTAGCTTAGAATGGTTTACATCGTCTTCTCTCTATCGAAAGATATCGGAGTCGTATTTATACGTTGATCATAAATCCAATTAAATGCTGTAAACGTGAGCTCGTGATTCACGTTATAAACAGAAATTCCTATTATCTCAATAAGGGTAATTATGTACATCGTACGGATGGGAACTTAGATATAATTATTTCAATCAGTGCCAAAGGTCTTGAGAATATAGATTTTAATTTGATAATGACTAGATGGAACCTGTTATGTTCTTAAACTGGTGTAATTTGATTCCTACGAAAGTCTTTGTTCGAATTTTGGGAAAAATTAACTTTGTTTTCATATTTTTAACATGAAATGGGGTACATTTGGGGGTTAGTTGCTATACTTTGTCTAGGCAACTACATCGAGAGCAGTTGTTTAGCACATTAAAGCAGCATAACATATAACTAGCGACAACAACAAGTTCAGCTGAAACTTTTTGAAGCAAATGAGCCCAGCAGTTGAAGAGAAAGGCGATTTTTTTCACGACAACAACATAATAACAAAACGATCCATATGTCCATTTCGTTTCTAATAAGTGGAATATATAGATAACAATCTTGTACAGAAACTTACCCTGATGATTGAAACATAGTGTTAATAATTTTTGTTTTCATTGCCAAGTACGTATGAATGAGAGCGTCGTTAACCGTGTACTTTAAAAGTATTTTATACATTGGGGAAACCGGCTTGGAAGTAGACATTACAACACTAAAAGCAGTTTGGGTGCTTTATAGACTTCTAGGGTAATGGATTATCAGCAGTCAGGGAAAAGTGTTTCTGTGGTCTATGTCGGCAGTAGGCAAACAATGGCGGACACACGAGGTGGCTTAGCCACCTGCGAGCTGATAAGGATTGCAATCGAGCGTTCCAAAACAAAACTCCATTATAATTTGAACATCACAGAAACGGAAATTCTCAAGAAAAATTACGTTAAGCTGGTGAAGAATGCAAACTTATATATTGAATTAAATATATTTGAACCCGTTCGTACCATAATAAAGTTTCCGCGAAGAACAAACAATTTTACTACGAGGCCTCGCGACATTTGTATTTTTCGATTTAAACTTTAACTGGACTTCTAGATGAAATTTGCCACAATTTGTTATTGATTTGGACGGTGAAATAATTGCCACTTATGAATAACGGGATTGCGATTGGTAGAGGATTCAAAACATTCACATCAAACTACTTGAAATTGAATCCGATACTCGTATATAAAATTAGAGTGATAAAAATAAATTTTTATTAAAACTTATTTCCCTACAATTCGATATGTGCTCCAGCATGTGCACTATTTTACGGTATGATGATGATTGCTTCCCCATGCCGACGAAGCTCATCGCGATCAGTGTCAATAAGTCTAAATTTGATTCAAATACAAAAATTAGGTAATTGATCAAGTTTGCCAGTCATAATTGATTTTACCTCGTTTTTGTCTTCTAACAACGTTTACATTTTAAGCCATATTCCTAATACTGATTTTAAATATTTTAATTTTCATGCTCATGACATGGCGCGCCTTATATTCCTATCCATTAACTCTGATGTGTATTGCAGACCATAACCAAATAAAATACCCAACTATGTTTGTCGTCATATATTCAGACATTTGAATAGAGACCAATAATAAAACGGTGGAACATAATATGAAAACAAAATGTAAAATTTAAAATGATATCCCATACAACATTAAAAATTGAGATGAAGTGCGGGTTTCACAACGGAGAAAATTCTAAACAAGGTTTTTATTTTATAATCCCGCGTTCAAAACTTGTTTTGCATTTTGTCATAAATTGCTTTATTATAAATATAATATACACAATAACATATGCCAGATTCAACGTTGAAAATGTTTACGAAAAAGCAAAATAAAGATGTTAAGTAATTTTCATTCGGCTGAATGGGATATAAACGAATCAAATTCGTCAATTCGGAAAATCATCAAGATATAAGCAAAGTAATCTAAAATCCTGTTTATAACCGCATCGCATCGCATATTCCAGCAGTATTTTGATTGACGAATAACGACTAGTTAATCAAAAAACTCATGTCGTTTTTGAAATTTCAATGGCTTTCAACAAATAAAACAACTAACGCAATAGCAGCATAATATGCACTATGGGCTAAATGAAACAATAATGCTTATAAGTACAGGTTTTAAACAAAGGCATTCACATGACATTTATAGAATATCTTGCTCAAATATGCAGGCAGTCTGGACGCCAAAAATGGCAACTTAAAAAGTACAAAAAATTCATATTTATTCGTTTTTCTTAAAATTATGAATTCATTCAAAATATCCGGATAAAATTTCGCATTTATCTACTCGAGCCAAATTGATACAAATTAATCTTCACTAAACTTTTTTTTCGATTTGAAAATGCAATCATGATTCCGAAATATGACTCTAACATTCGAATTGAAAACAAAACTTGATAATTCTGAAATTTAAAAAAGATAAATCCGCCACAAAAAACTAAACATATTTAACTTTACATTAACAAACGTGAATGTAATATAAGAATTAAAAGATATATAGGTACAGTCTGGAGTTCTGTCAACCTGGCAGGTGTTTGGGAAGAAGATAAGGTATGCGTAATTTAGTGAAGAACTTCATCCGGTTTTGTTATTTACGTACTGGCTGCATAAATATGAAACTATAAAAGATTTTGAAAAAAGGCAGGCAGCATAAGCAAAAAATAGGCAAAATTTAATTCGCGTCAAGTCATATAGTGTAACGAAAAACGAGTAAAAAAGTTTAAAATCGCCGCACTGATAAACTTCAATTATTTTAGTTTTCTAATAGAAAGCTCTCTCATTATTCTCAAAGTGCTTTCAAGCACACATTATTCAAGAATTTGTGGACTCGAGAGCATATCAGTCTGCTTCATCCTGGACTCCTGTAATATAGATAAACCTGCAAACCAATAAATCTCGATCCGAATCAAATATTTGTCCAATAATTTTTCAAACCTCTCTTTATGAGGCGTTTGCTGTTGCCATTGCCGAGACCGGTGTGTGTGAGTGACTTGGCGACTTTGTCCCGTTGATAAGTTTACTGTCTGTGAAATTAAAATAGATTGATTTAGGTTCTATGAGATAAGATAAAATCAGAATACGCATTGCTGTAAACGAGAATACGCATCGATCGTAACGAGTAAATGTTAACGACTGATGGAATCTTTAATGTATTTGAAGAAATGTTAGCCATGACACGGGGAACAGCAGTTTAAAATATATATACGAAAGTTTTGGTCATCGTTTCGCAAACTACCATTTTTAAAATAATATAACTAACCCAACGTGGATGTTATTAAGTTATGAAAAACCCAAAAGGCTAATAATATATTTTCGCGGAATGTCTTTTCCACGTTTTGTTTTTACATAGCCTCATACTTCGTTCTGGCTTTTAATCTGGTGCATGGTGTTGATCGAGTGGACAAGATAATCAATTGTATCGATATCGCAGTTATGCAACCCTGATTTACATTCTGTCTCCTCGTATGAACTCATCCACTTCAGAAAGTTTCTTTTTGTAAGTGTTTTAGTGAATAACAATACCAGTAATGGTTCTAATCCAATTTATCAAGATATCATTTAGTAATATTTTATAACAAATTTCCTACTTCGCGTGGATTGCGGAAACCGTTGTCGCATTTCTTTATGTCACATGATTCATGATGCTGGCGCACGACAACCCAAAAAAAATGATTCCTAATCTACTTCAACTAATGAGATATATAGGAAATATTGTTATTATAAGGTCCATCGACAACCCACATAAGTTAATTCCGATGTGACATAGTTTACCCCTTGTGACAATAAAGTTGTTTTTATAATTTGAAAGTTTTTGCATTACGTAATGTGTAGTAGCACGTAATATATGCACGCAATAATTACAAAATAATGTAAACATCGATGTTTATGAAATGCATAAAATCTATTTCATAAAATTGTAAATTGATCATACAATCCCAGAAACCTGGCAACATTGGACTTACCTCTCGTCGCGGTTGCTTGCGATTTTAAGTAAACTGGTAACTGGACTGGGACGCCATTTTGTGAGGGATGAACTGCCAAGTTGTGCTGCGGGTGCAATTGTGCATGATGCTGATGGTGATGTCCGAGTTGCGTCTGCGTCATCGTTGGTAACATCGTGTGACCAGCAGATGTTGGCGATCCATTAGCAGCGTGCAAGGCCCTGGAGTGATCGTGATGCCACCCATTCATGGAAGGTACGGCAGCATACTGATGAGGTAAGTACGCGTGACTGTTATGGTAAGATGTGGCAGGTAAACTAGGTGTCGATGTTGTAGAATAGTCGTTTTCCACTGTCGTTTTAATCGAACTGTAAGCTGTGGAATGCACATGATTCTGTAAACGATAACCAATCATTTATTTTTCATTTTAATAACATTTCAATGTACAAACATCATATAATTCGAATACATATATGCTGTGCTATCGATTGGGTTTTTACAAGACCAACTACTTTTCCGTTTTCTATGCTTTTGCGTCGGTGGATCCGTATGTATATAATGCAAGGATGCTGTAGCGAGAATGAAGATAACTATTCTGAGTAATTCAATAAATAGTCTTGCTGCATCTTTCTGTAACGTTTCGTCTGATCAAGGTTAAACTTCCTCAGACATACATATTTCCTATGCTGGTTTGAATATCCTTTTTTGAGTTCGGTAAATCACAATTTTTTAAAATAAAATTAAATAGCCAAAACATGAATCTGACTTACATTAGAAGGGATGTTGGTATGCGAAACGTTATGGTTTTTCTCAATTTCATTTGCTGACCCTCCATTGACTTCGACAGATGTCACTTGGGCGGGTGGTGTCACACCGTATGCTGGGACTGCGGACCAGTCCTCCATCTTGGCTGACATACTGGTAGAAATTCCGTCAATAACGGGAGAGATATGATTGGGTTGACTGCTGTAGTGTCCGTTCATTCCGGGTACGCTGGAATTGGTTACGGATACTGTAAAATAGTAAGAATTTAACATTTTGCAACATATAAATATTCTCACTTTATGAGCATAAGCAAGTGGCCTCGAATTTTTTTTTGTTTTGTAATTCGATACCCCTTATATGAGATTCCTCAAAAATGTCATTAACTTCTATATTTTATGAAGTAATCACGCTTTCAGTATATTAATTCTAGTAACAAAATAGTTTACAATAGTAAAAATGAGATATCGTAGGTTGAATCAAACGAACAAAGACGTAATATGATAAAACATATTCCAAACTGTTTTATCATCACATTTCCTTTTGTTGTATATCATGATCCATCTTACCAATTTTGGTCACTCACAAAGAATATAAATTATTTTACATTTTCAATTTGTTATTACTTTCATAATTCGACTTCCGCATCCTGAATTACCGAATTATGAATCATTAGTCCAAGAATGTTTTGATTTGTTAAAATCCGTGAGAACAATAATTCGACTACACTTTTTTCCATTTTTGTGTGGTGTTAACCTTCACATAACGTGAGTGACTCACTGCAGTTTTTAAATATTGAAATTTGTTTAAAAAAGTACGTTTAGCGCTTTTTAGCTGTGCATTGTCTTTACCAGGGCTAAACCACGAACGAACCCTACTACAACTATGGTTCGTTACTATATGGCTTAGTTTTGGCGGAGGAGGTATGAGAGACATATTTTTGCGATTTATCAGAATACTGTTTCATTACCCAGACTCACGTACTGGATAAATCTCGTGGAAATGCATGCAAATGCAAATCGAGCGAAACCAAAAAACCGCATCTCCCGAAGCACTTACGCAATTATCCCATTTGTTGAGGTTTCAGTTGATTTTGTTAACTTCGCGTTTATTTATCTATATATATAACAGCAGGTAATACTTGCCTCATCCCCTGACTTCTCAAAAAAGGCGAATTATTGAAGAAACCCTAGTATTAACCAATTTCCGAAATTAATTAGGTCAATTGCTTTACAGGTATCGCCCATAGCCGCAATGATATTGTATCCATAAATATATTTTTCATTCATATTTTGCATTTGGATCTAGTATCAATTGTGTAAAACTGAGAATCGCAATATAGGAATTGCAAAATGAATCGTACATTTTCTAGGGTAATTGGAGGGTTCTAAGTGCACATTGAGTTTTTCGTGAAAATGTTGCGCGTAAAATACTCTTCTACTTTTAATTTGACGTAGGCTTTTACTAATTCCATACACAGGTGATAAATAAAAATTGTTTATGAAACGAAATACCACAAATTGAATTACCGATTTGAATAATAAAAATTTTCATTGTTGTTGAGAGTCGAGTGAAAACGCTCCCAGGCAGCCGTTTCCTGGCTCCTCTATTCAAACAAAAACTTTCAGTGTGCTGACCCTGTTTGTTCAGGCTTCAAAGGCACTTCGCTAATTGGTCTGCACACAAAAACTAAGAAGTCAAAATGGATACATATTTGAAACAAAATGGCGGATCCTATTTTTGTGACATTGGTAAATATATCTCATTGAGTTATTGTTGCCGTTGTTCGCACGCAATGTGAAAAAAATTATTTCTCATATTTCTTAAATCAAAAATGTCATCTGTTACATCGAGACAAAATGAATTCTTGTTTCGATATGGCCGGGTTTACCTCCATGTACGTTAATACAATTTCGATAAAAAGAATAAAAATACCACCAATTGGTCAAATTTCATCAACCTTGAGAATACATGTAACCTTTTTATTGCGAAAGTTATGCTTTCTTGCAAGTTCACAAATTCTCCATCGTATAACTTGTAACAAGGTTTTCATTTCGTTGAAGATTTAGGACTAAGAATAGATATGTGGCACAAATCGCCATTCATATGGTCTCATCCGTATAGTGCTGTGGGCATATGTTCAGGGGATTTTTTTTAGTCCTGCTACACAAGTAAGTCGTGTACTGTAAATTAAGTGACATGTTTAGGTGAAGACTTATTTGATCAAACGAATATTAAGTGTCTCTAGCCTACATAAAAATGTGATTAATCTGTTTCAACATTTTTAATAGAAATGCTTGTCATATTTTCTAAAATGATCTTGAAGTAAACCGACCGTACAAAATATCATTATTACGTTTACTTTAAAATTGAAAAAATGTCCCAAGCATTTCTAATTAAATTGCAAATTCATATTTTTTGGTATGAATGTCTCTTCCAATCATCGAGTTAACTACTGACGTAGTGGGAATATGTTCAACAGCAAGTATTGGTAACATACTTTTGCAACTTCTTGTTTTTGATGGATATGTGCGGGGGAAATGTAAACTTAGCTATGAACATTGATGTAATTGTATATATAAGAATTTGTTGACGTCCATTTTGTTCAAAATTGCGTGGAGTGTGTAAAGATGTGTGAATTTCCTGATGTTCGTAGTTTCCTATATTCCACATAATACAGAGATTTTGTAAAAAATAATCATAGAGAATTTATTGTCATTACCATTGTACGCTTTCGATAATTTATGCTGCTGATACTCATAAAAAAATTTGTCGTTGCCATACAAATTGTGGCTTGCTGCAAAAGATTTGCATGTTGTCTACATGAAGTTTTCAATTAACTTTTAATTAACATATTTGCATAGCTAAATATATACTTTAGTTTTCTCTAGAAGGTAAATTTAGGAAAATATTTCACGTAAATTTACTTTGAAAATTATTGAGGCAGTATAATTATAATTTGACCGTGTTATAACTGTAGCTGAATATATATATTGCCTTCGGACTCTTTCGGCTTCACGCTTTCATAGAAGCAAGCATTCACGCACGTGGGTGAAAATTTCAGTGGAGCACGGATGATGGGAGTGTTACGTAGATGCATGCATGTTTCAACCTGGCGTATCGCTGTAATTTTATGAATGAATGACCCGTGCAGCAGTAACCGTATCGTAAATGTAGAGGATAGAACACTATGAACCATGAACAGATTCAGCTTGTTTTTGTTACCCCGCGAGGGCATCATTGCACATGTGGCCCACACAAGTCACGTAATCCGTCTGGACTATTACAATGAAGCCCACACTCGGTTCAAAACAGTTTCTGTTTTCTGTTAAAATATCCACTAGAGAAAAGAGCATTTTAAAACACTTCAAATTGATCGAAAAAGAATCGCAATTACCACCTGGGGTATCGAATGCATTATTTTCTTAATTTCTTCGCGGCGTCTTTACCCCCAAAACGTGACCCCCGCTGATTTACCATGGCCAATTGATAAAGGTGCAAAAAACTGTCACGGTTGTTACAAACACTAGATAGGCTTGTAACAGGTGGGCATTGATTGTCGGTTAATTCTAAAACTAGTGAAAGTATAAACTCATGTAAGTAATCGTGTTTTGTTGGAATGCTAAATACCTCGATACGCGCAAATTGTCGTGTTAAACTTTGCATGGTGAACCGAGACTGAAATTACTACTGAAGTGCAGCAGCATGGTTCACGAAAATTAGATAATGTATAGCTAGCACTGACTTAAAATGAATTTGGAGAAAGGCTTTTGTGCTATGGCTTAGTAAATCGCGATGTGAAATTCAAATGTGAACAGTTCAAATAAGTTTTCTATTATAGACTGGTTATTTATACGTGGTACTGAAGGCAAAATATTCATAGTACCTGAAATCTGAGGCTGATCAAATCGTGGAAACCCGAGTATTTCACTGATTGAATGTGAATGGTACATCGAATAATGCATTCCTGGTGTACGAAACGACGGAGGTGCTGTGGGCACCGTCGGAACGGGTGCCAAACCAGTAGGTTTTCCTCCTTGTTGAATCATGTACGGTGTGTACATTGCACTTGCATGATTACTGTACGGATTTGGCCCAGTAGCCGTAACTTCTTTCATCACTTCAGTTGGCCCAGGAGTATAATTTGGGTTTAGTGGGTTGTTCGGGTGTAGCACATTCCCAATTTTATTTCTCAAAATACGACTTATTGAACTGACAGACGGCACATTGTACTTGTCGCATATGCAGTCCGACAAAAGTCTATCTCTGATTTCCCAGGCAAAAATACCAGGATCTCTGACTTTGTAATCTTTGATAGCGTTAACCACCGAAGGGGTGGTAACGCGAGGTTTGCTGCCCCCAATGGCGCCTGGTAATATTGAACCTGTTTCGTTGTAACGAGCCAAGATTTTGCTCACACACCCGTGTGAAACTCGCAATTGTCTGCTGATATCACAAGGTCTGATGCCAAGTTGAGCTAGTTCGACAATCCGCAGTCTAATGGCGTTAGGTAGCGGGCGACCGTTGACAAAAACTCCGCCAAGTTGATTTACTTCACCGAAGGTCTGCTCTGATGTTCTGACTACGTTGGGATAGATGCCGTTTTGCGGGAACATAGAAGAACATGTAAAATAAACATTCAGTGTTAAATTGCTATAAATACATCTGGCTCATAAGTCATTGAAATTATGAATAAACTTTGATTTTGTTTTATAGTATTGTTAAAAAATCCGTTTACATAAATCATTTGATGAGGAGATCGATTAAATTCCCAACTTCATGGGGTAGTAAATATGTTAAATAGATCCAAATAAGTTCAAAAACTTTTTAAAGTTCATAAATTTGAAATCATATTGTGCATATATATTCAAGTCACACCAGTGATAAAATGCACAAAAACGCATACATTTCGGGAAAAAAACGACTGAACGATACTTGAAGTATAGTTTAATTAGCTAAGGCTGCCACCGCTATGTGATGCATGCGTAACCTATTCGACGATAAGAAAAGAAAACAAAATGGCTGCTGTGCTGATGGAACTAGCGTGCATATTGGTGATTCAGATGACTAAAACAGAATATCGTGTACGGATTGTTGGTAATTTTATAACATATTGTTTGTCATATTTGAATAACAAAAAAATTGCAAATAAATCAAATATATATATATATTTAAAAACTCGACCAAGGTAAACAAGAATATTGACTATTAGACTGTATTTTTCTGAAATTCCTTAACCATGTTAACAGAAATTATTTAGCTAATCACTGATTGGAATTATCATCTTAGAAACAATCGATAATAAATGTTATTTCTAACTTTTTAAAATACCCTCAGTCCTTCGAAAATTAGCCATTGCTAAATAACTTAGTGACAATTATACTCACGGCTAATAGAATTCAGCAATATAGCGCTCAAAACTTTGCTTAAAAAAATCTGATTTTTTAAATGAAATAATTAACCTTGTTGCTTTGCATGAAATCGGGCAAGGGAAGACATTGCGCTTGACAAAGACAAATCAGCTGCCGTAGAAAAACATCCTGCGTCAAAATCAGCAAAGTGCCTCCGAGTAGACGGAGGAAATCCCATACAAGACAACATTATTCTTATCACCTATTCTATGATAATTCCACTGACCTACATAGGAATCAATAACCACAAAAAACTTTTTTAAAAAAAGTATTCAGATCACCATCTATTCGACAAAATCAGGGTGTTCTGTTCTGGTTTTTGAAAGCTAAACGGACATTCCCAATTTTCCTACTAACACAAACTGCATTGGTTAGTTATTATTATACTGTGTTTTGCAATTTTTCATACGAAATGGTATTTTATGTCAGTACTTTTAAGTTTCTTCAATTTAATTTGCCGTTGGCATTAATTTTAAACGTCCCATCTATTCTAAATTTAGATGGATCTATTCTAAATTTTTTATTCGATTGCAGAACAGAATAAATCCATTCGCTCCCTTCTATCTTATGTCACACATTTCTGGAAGCACAGTGAAAGCGTCTGGTATCCTCCAGTCTAACGGTGTCGTTCAATTATTTGTTTATTCATTGTATTTTGTGGACACAGTGCATTGTTCCCCTCATTTATCATTTAGTTTCTTTTTCAACCACAGCATAGTAGCTCCTCATTGCTCTTCATTGATCATTTTTAGTGTCTTGATTCGTTATAATTTGTTTTATTGGAACATGCCAAGACAATACCACCTATGGGCTCGGAGGGTGTCTCACTTAAACCGAGCCAAATTCATTGATGTGTAATTGCATGGGACAAGATTTCAATTTTCTCTGAACGTTTCGAATGCCTGTAAAGAAAGTATCTGTATATTCCACTACACCTAGTTTACAATCAGTTGTTTGTCGAGGATTCATGTCAAGTCATTCACTTGCATGAAGTGTATTAGACAGGGGATTTATCATTTAGTGATACATCATTTCTCTATCGTATCCTAATTGTGTCGCGAAAATAGTATTCTAACGCAATCTAATTAGAAGATTCGATATATTATAGATAACCCTTACCAAAATAAAAGAATTTTGAGATGAATGGAATGAATGAACATCTAAAACCATTTCAAATACCTCAATGTATGTTTGAGTGTTTTTTTTTTCAAGTCGCGTGGCCAAAATAGTTCGCTTACCTCACCGGTAAAGCAATCACGTCGCATTATACCCACTTCAGCGACCCAGAATAAACGTATAAGCGTCAAATCAAATATTATCATCTTTAACACAATTTATTATTTTTAATTCAAGTGGTATTGGGGGAGGGTAGCGTGCTTGTAGTGATTACTCACTAAGAAAAAGTAGGTGGGACGAACAATGGCGTCGACAAAAACAACAACCAGTGAGCTATCCTCGCTCTTCCTTTCTTTTGTAATGAAAGAATGTTAGGTGGGCTCAATTTGCGTGACAAGACGATCAGGGTTTATACAATTCTCGAAACACTAGGTCTGAAACAAGTCTGAGTTAAAAAAAATTGTATTTTACTCGGTCGACAATGCTAATAAAATGGATTAGTGTCTATATTCCGCAATATCTGCTTTATTCTAGTTAATCTGATTTTTATTTTAATGATTCAGGAAGTTGATCTCTGAGACGAAATATATTTGTAGACTTTGTGATGTCCAATATTTGAATTAAAATTAGCAAATCCAAATAGTTGCGCAGTTCAAATCTAAACCAAACCGAAATATACGTATACACCTGATGTATGTCTAAAATATGTTTGACAAAATTGGTAACGTTCTGGTATGAGAGTTTAAATAACTTAAAACATTTATTAATTGACGTCTATATTTCAGGTATATGTTGGTCAATTAAACTAAGCCTAATTTGATCTTTCTACAGAGGAACCCAACGATGTGACATTTGTTGTAAATTTTGTCTAGCGTCAATTTGCTTTGACTGTCAAAATGTGATCCATTCTGCTACTTCTACAATTCACTTGAGCTTACGCAAACCAAATCCATTGAAACGATTTCGACCATTCATGCGACACAAAGCTGACGTTATAAAGGCGATAGTGCAGAGTAATCGATTTGTTTTCTTTTCCAAAAAATAAAAGGATGGTATTGATAGGAAAATATTAACTTTTTTAGATATTTGTTTATCTATTATTCGTAATAAATAATAATAATTCTTTAAAACTATAATTCACTACATATATTGCCAAAAAATTACATCTTGAGTATTTAGCTCGGAATTATCAACCAACATTGCAACATCTGAATACAATGCTAATATAGTACTAAATTAACAATATTACTGTCAGGTTGGAGTAAATTTAATAATTACACAAAATTATACCACTAAGAATAATTAAAATAAATTTTAATTGATAAAAAATTTAGTTTCGTAGAATTACCAGAGACAACATTGAAATTTGAAGCCTATACATATTCTAATAATAATGGCATTATAATATTATCGCTCAGATTACAAGATCGTGTGATAAAATTAAAACACTTCGAACTCTTTTATAATATGGAAAATTCCACAGTAGGTACGCATTGATAAAATATCAGCAGAAATAACATTTTTTGTCAACTGTAATGTATCTTATTTTAGTTTCAACGAGCTTCTTAAACGCAGTTGGTGGGATCTTTATTTAATCGTATTTGGAACTTAACTTTTTACCTTAATCTTTTTAACTAATATTTGTACACACGGTAACATATCGTACACAGATTTATGTATGAGTAAGAATGATGAAACTGTTTTTCTAACGTCTTATAAAATACCACCCTGCCAAATCAATCATGAATCGTAAGAATGACAATATTCAGAGACTAAATATACAATCATCCTAGAATTTTGTGTGTTGGTCAAGATCAGTACAGTAATCGATTCAGCATCAGTATTAAATACCATTTTGGTATAATTCAACGAAGAAAAAAGATTGAATTTTGTGCAATGTATCACATATCGGGATCGATTAACCATTCAAAATTTAAGATATTTTCTTACATTAGGACCTTACACATTTGTGCTCAAAATCATTTTCTATAAGTGAGCAAACTTGATAAACTAGGATATTACAAATCTACACTGATAAACTTTATAACAACAATTTGTTTAATCACCTCCGCGATACTTTAAACTTCCACGCGGGACAAAGGTGTTTATTCAAGATACCAGCCATAGAATAATCTGAGTTTTGATCCCATACATTTTGATCGAATTATGTCTGACATAAGTTTGATAACAAAGAAGGTGTAGTATACACGATAATGTATGTATGTACTAACTGAGAATTAGCTATCACTTCACAAATAAAGATTTAAAAAGGTAGAGAACTGAATCTTTCATTAGCACGCGACATAATTTTTGGCAAAACAAAATGGAGTTTTGTAAACAGCGTTGTTAACGATTTTGCGTAGTTTTATCATTTTGTTTAAGGTGCCATTTGTTTATTTCAATCTTCTACAAGTTTGGCCATCACAAAATAATTCATTCGAATATTTTTTTCTCAACAATCAGATTAGAGAACCAAAATTTGCAAGGAACTTAGTGTATGTTCATATTCAAGGTACATATTCATCATCCAATCCCGACAGACGTTTCAAAAGAGTGAACCAAATGAAAAATACGAATCGGGTAAACAATCTTTTGTTATCTGCCTCTTTTGTTTGGATTGTGAAAATAGAATAATATGCCCACAGTTTTTGTAAAACCTCGGCATTCGCATGGGGTATTTTTATCGCGAAAATATTATCTCAAATCTGGACCCCAAATATCTGAAGTGCGTGCGAGTAGTCTGTCACCCACTTTATAGGAATAAAATACCGCGAATGGGCGTCAACTAATCCGATTTATAAATAAAGAAATATTATATTTATGACAACATTTATTTTCAGTTTTATATCATTATCGGACTGATAATTTTATTTCTCAGTGTGAATTTAACAGCACTATCTCAAATCATTTGAATTTGTTCATTAATTGTCTATTATTGATATATATACTTATATATCTTTCCAGAGCAAAATACCATTTTACCATTAGCACAAAATATGCAAATTAAATTGGAAAGACAGTCAAATATACAAGTAATGCATTATAATAAAATACTTACTATTAGACGTTGTTGGCATAATCGAAACCATTCCCTGCGTAGCTGGATGAGGAGAGTTGAATGTTACCGGCTGACTTTGTGTTGGTGACTGCATCATCTTGGGGCAGTCGATCTTTTAACCAAGCGGACCCACCGCGGAAGACTTCACTTCAATAGCAGCAAAACAACAGGAAAAGTAGACGCACAGTATTTTATTTCAATCGTACGAACTTGGACTCGTAGGTGTAGCCTTTCAGTAGTATTTATACGCTAACGCGAATTAAAAGTCTGTGCACTTTATTTGCGGTATTTCAAAAAATATGATTTGACAGTTTTCTCAAGATTCGATAACTATATTACCAAATACCGCGCAAAGTAACTCATTTATATGCTATAAACTGTTGAAATTTGTGACGAAAAAGGGGGACCGAGATTTTGGACCGCGTCATCGTTCGTTGCTTATTCTGGGGTAAAAGAAAAAAGGGGGTTCGCTCCTCCGACGCAGGATCAGTATTGTTTTCCTAAGGCATAATCGTGACACGTTAGAATCGCCAAAAAGTGCCGTCACCCACTTCAATTTTTTTTTCTGAATGAAACTACCTAACCAAGAATGGGATAACGATAAATGAAGTGACATTATTTTTCGGTGTGTATGGAAATCGACGGTAAAAATTCTGGCGTAAATTTAAAATTAGTATTTCTATGAAACGCCTAAATATGAGTGCTGAAATATACGTTTTGATTCAATCTCATCAATGTTTAGACTGTTTTCACCCTTACCTGTTTTCACGTCTAAATCCCTATATCAATGGCAAACAAAAACCAAGCGACCCATCCTAAAATCAAGTTATATATATATATGTATAGTTAAATCCACATTAAAGTATATATGTGCAAACCGAAAGACAATCTTAAGTGTAATGTAACCCCATGAGACAACTTGTAAATTTTGTCTCAGTGAGCAGAAATAAGAAATCTAAACTCTATAACATCTTGTATCCTCAGGTTGTAAAATGTCTAAATTTTTTTCAAGTTTAATAAAGTCTCTGCTTTCTAGAATTTATGTCACAAAAATACAACCATTACGTGACAACATCGATTATGTTGTGATATTATAAATAACAATTTAGTAACTCTACACTTGATATGGGTGTAAGTTACCGAAAAGGGTAACACTTTTTTACATTTTTGATATAAAATTGATGTTATAAATTAAATTTTAAACCTTTTTGTTGTGATGTCGGCTCTGTGGGCTTTTAAGGTGTATTGCGTTTTGAAACATTTTACTTAACGAGCTACTGTTTTTTACTCCAAAAACAGTTATAAAATTAGTGGCATGTCATTGTATTTTTAATAATTTGATTTCTGATTACTGGACCCGAAGGTCTTGCCTTCGTTGTATTCATAATAGCCGCAGTAAG